TAATGCTCCAATCTCTCGCAAGTCAAATGTGCGAAAACGTCGGGGGTTTTAAAGAAAAGCTTCTTGATCAGCTGAAGCGGCCTCATCAAGTCCTTAATCTTAAGGATGCGTTCAAAGTATATCTACAGAACCCGCTTGATGAATTGGAATTAGAAGAGTCGTGTTTAATCGTTATCGATGGCTTGGATGAAAGCGCGGCAGATAGTAAGAATGAAATTGTTGATTTGATTGGGGATTGTTTTGAAGATCTTCCAGACTATATTAAAATCCTGGTTACAAGCAGACCGGAAATTACTCTTGCTAAACTAAGCAGGGTTCAAGTGATTGATATTAAACGCCATAACACGGACAATTACTCCGATATTGAATTGTATCTCAAGACGTGCCTTCCTGTTCTAGCGGACAAGAAAATTAATTGGTCAGATATTCCAGTTCATCAGAGTGACCTCATGTGCGGGAACGTTTATAATATGCTTCGCAATAAGTGCGAGGGTTCATTTTTGTACGCGTTTTACGTCCAATCCGAATTGAATAAACGCGATGATCTCGATACAATGACGTTTCTGCAGATTTTCCAAATTCTTCCAAAAGGCATAGATTCTATTTATCACACATACTTTAAACGCCTTGAAATCGAGCTTAAACGCATAAAACAGGAGGATTTCGATGTTTTGAGAATTTTGGAAATGTTGGCTGTTTCCGAAGGACCTCTTCCTCTTACTTTCATCACTCGTGCTATTGGTTTGGCTCCAGATTGCCGTGAGACGAAAAACATCATTAACAAAGTGAATGAAACCATATCGTGTTTATTCTACGTTTCTAATGATCTGGTTACTGTGTTTCACAAGTCAGTTATTGACTGGCTTCTAGCAAAAGGCTACGAAGATCACGAATATGCTGTTGATATCCAAAGTGCAAATATATCTCTTTGGTTATTATGTGAACTCGTTTTTGATGAAATAAAGAGAAATGTTTGCACCGAACACGACTTTAACTGCGAAAGCTTGCATGTTGACTTGAAGTATGCCCTGGATCATGGCTTCCAACATCTAATAGCGGGTAAAATGAAAGAAAGATTCTTTTGGTTAGTGGATGGGATAATCATATACATTCTATTAACTGTTGAACCTAGAAGGAATAAGGAAAAAATGTTAAATTTATGGCAAGAAGTTCTTCAAGGCGGTATGATCTTAAGCGACGAATTACGAGCACGAATTTCATGGCATATCGTTGAAATAAACTTTCTGTCCAGAAACGTTCCGGATGAAAGAATCGGGTTTGAAGTAAAAGATCTTCCTGTTTATTATTTACAGAGTATTTTTACACATTCGCCTAAAGGATGTTTCAATAATGAAGAGAAGAAAATTGCAAAGCTACTCTCGTCCAAGTTACAAGAGTTTGTTGTGTTTAATAATATTATATATGATGTGGGAATTATGCCGCTTGCAGTCTGGAAGAACTCGGAACCAGAACAGGTAGTAGCTGTTTGCATATCTCATGAAAAGAAATTGGCTGCCGTTGCATTTAAGAATGGAAAAATAAGTGTGCTATCGGTGCCGGACTTGGTTGCGCTTTGGTCATATTCAACAGAATACAAACGTATTGCCTGTTGCGTGTTTGCACCAGATGAGTCGTTGCTTTTATTTGGGAAATTAGAGACGGCACTCAGTACTGTTGACAGAAAAGAATTACCCTTCCTTGATGATAGTGATCAGACCTTTGTATCGGCTGCATTTTCTCCGAACGGCAGTAGACTAGTTACTTGCGATAATTCATATACCGTCATGTTATGGGATGTTTCCAGGAAGTGCTTGTTGTCTATACTCAATGCTGAAGTACATGTTAATTGGTGCTCGTTTAGCAGCACTGGATTATATATTATCGGAGACAGAAAGTGTAGCGTAGAATGTTTGGCTCGGGTAGACTCTGATTCTGACGATGATGATTCAAGGATTGGAGATTTCGACTACGATGAAGATGGTAGACGCCATATTTTTGATCTATTCTACGACGACGAAGATTCTTTCTGCGTTTGGAACGCCATTACATTGCAAAGGGCTGACGAGAGAAAAATGGATGGTGAATTAGGACAATATCAAAATTATAGGAAGTGTAAACATTGCTTCCAATTTGAATTCGAAGAAAAAGCACTGAAAGTCGAACTATGTTGTCAGGTGTCGCCACAAAATAATTGGTTTGTTGGAAATCATAATGGTAGGAGATGTATTTTTCTTTTGCATAATCATTCTTTCAAGGTGTTAGATACTTCCTTTTTTCCCATGCGTCGTATGTGTGAAGCCGTAAACGAATGTGGTGAGATAGCAGCCACGGTTGATGATCTGCAGTTCTGCTTGAGTTCGGGCAGGTTAATTCTCTACAAGAAGTTACCCGCCAGTCAAGAGCATACTTCATGCTCCTTGCATCCAGCACTAGTTTTGTGGAATTCGTTTTCTCCTGATGGCTCCCGTCTTGCTACTTGTGTCGCAGGGGGATGTATTGAAATATGGGATGTTTATGCCAGCCAAGTTAAACAGCGCTTTCAAATAAATCATGATATGCAGTCGTTATTAGCTTGTTGGTGGTCAGAAAAGTTCCTATTCGTATTTGAGTTTTCTAATGGGGTTCCCAGCTTATCACGGTACCCCGTATGTAATTCAAAGGTAATATTCTCCAAACATCAACAAATGTCACTGTATCACTTAGCAGATAATTTCGCATCTCTATCGGCAATCCTTGATTTTTCGGAAGGTCTTCTGAGTTTCGAGTGCGGTGAGACGGAGCCTGTAAAAGTGGTGGTTGTTAACAGAGATGAGCTCCCAAAAATGATCTCCTTAGAAAAAATGAGGCCAATGATGAACATCACTGTTTCACCGGGTGCTTCCTTCATATTTGGAGGCAGAAAAAAATATTTCATTTGGAAAAGAAATGCCTGCAAGGAGATGTGTGCGTATGACCTCGTGGAAGAAGAGTATTTCCTTGAGTGCTTCGACGAGGATTCTGGCGAGGTATTTTACGATTATTCGGACGACAGGTTTTCCGTTGACTCATTCGAGGAGCCGAATTATACATGTTGTTTCAGTAAGGACTCCAAAATGGCTGTTGTTTCCGACGGTAGAGGTAGTTGTAGTTTGATTGACTTAATTACTGGCAATTGTATAAAAAGTCATTTTACAATGGCAACAATTTCGACAAAATACCGACCTGTCCGCAACTATTCTGCATTAAAAATAGGATGCTGATTGTTGCATCTGAACGTGCTCTGCGAATTTATGACTTGGATTCTGGTGCGCGTTTGGCGTTTTCGTTTCAGCGATATTTGTTACCGGATTTACCAAAGCAAACTAAAGTTTCTCCAAGAGAAAATATGGTAACTTTTCCTAAAAGAGATGGAAATATGGTGTTCGTTCGAATGTGCATCCCATCTGAACATTTGTTATCTAAGATTAAACGTGATGTAGAAAACTTCAAGGAAGAGATGGAAAGAAGTTTTGATTATTCGCAATTATCAGTTAGAACAATTCCCAAACTTCACCACAGATTTGTCGTAAAGAATGATGGCATTCCCACCACTTACAGACGAGTATATAGTAGATGGGCTGTTGAATATTAACGTGGTGACGTAAGGACTGTTTGGAAGAGTTACTTAGGATTGAATTACTTATTAAACTGGACCTCAGGTTGCTGATTTTGCCTGTATTGTTTTTCAATAAACATGCCAGTTTTTACACGACAAATTGGATTTTCGCTACTGGAATGCATTTGCGTTGCAAATGAATTTCAATGGCCAATAAATGAGGTTACGCAGTAGCCAAGGTAAATATCACAGGAACTGCACGCGGGATGGGCACGTGGTATCTATGGGGCCAGGGACAAGGCCTATGAGTCCTGAAAGCTTCCGATATAGAGAGGGATGAGAACGTAAGGGTGTCGGAAAGAGATAGTTTACTCGAGTAACCGTGGAGTCGTCCTCATCAGTAAATTGGGCCGCCCCGTTTAACTCGTCGGCGTTTGGTGCTTGGCGCTGGTCGCGGGTGCAATGGCGAAGGAGTCTGACGTCACCTCGTTGGAACAACTGGGCGACATACCGAAGAGTTTCAGGCATTTAAGGCATTGGTAAGTGCATCCGGCATTACGCTGACTGCTCCTTTTTTCTTGGGATTGTTGGATCAGTGTAGGCGACACAAAATCGAGCGTTGGTCTCGTTGATGAGAACACTCCGCCCGACTAGCTTAACCCACGCACAGTAACTAAAACAGTAACCTCGTTAGGACCGGTTGGTGGGCTTACTCCTGCCTTTTTTGGTCCGGATCATCCTTTCATCTCAGCCAAACATCTCTCAAATTTTGGCCTGTAGGTTTGTCGAACTGTCCTAACTTATCCCAGAGAATCTCGAGACCCCAATAAAGTCATGCCATCCTTTCCTATTTGCCGCTCGATTGTGCACGCGCAAGAACGACATTCGTGATATTTTCGCATGGTCGACACTTCCATGGCTTACCTACACTCGGGACTATCATAAAAACGATTTTTCAAGCATGCTTGGCATAGGTCACAATATCACTGGAAACTCTATCAAGCTGCCAGAAACAAAATTAACATTGTAATGCGTAAAAGAAGTAAATCAAAATATCTTTAACAAAAAATTAACAATTGTGAAAAAAGATCCTATAGCAACCTGGAAATTGATAAATTGTACTGTTAATAAATCTCATTCTGATTTACTCAATATAATGAACTGGTTAATTGATATTTATATTAAAAATTAAAAATATACGGTCCGGAATTGGTGCAAATTAATTGTCACCTACACCAGGCCTACACATATTTCTAGTCTGGTGGGGGGGGGCATTTTCACGCCCGAACATCGCTTGCCATGAACACAGAAGACCCTGGGATGGTTGTTCAGTGTTCACGTCATGTGTTCACGTCAATGAGTGATATTTAACTCGTCCATACTACTCTAAGTTCGTACTCCATATTATATATTTATATATAGAGCTCACTGGAACGAAGTGGAAATTTCAAGATGGCGGCATTGCATGCTCGTTAGTTCATAAGATTTTATTTGATTATTCGACTATTCGTGGCAATTACATGCGACTGCTTCTTTCGAAAGGAAAATAAGTTAAGGTTTATAATGCCATAAATAAAAAGCAAATATTTATACTTCGACGTAAACACAAAAGCAATGGAGGAGTTGGAACAGTTAGAAAGACTCTCGCTTGTCTCGAAGATTTGCACAGAGTTGGAGAATCATTTGGGTATTAATGACAAGGACCTTGGTAAGTAATGAAATAATAAAAGAGAGTTGCTTGCATCAATTCTTTGCTTTTATTTGATCCTTGAATTCTAATTGTGTTCTATTTGAATTTACTGCCATATTCCAAGTTCCAAGGAAATAGTAAATACAAAATTACTTAAATTAGACATCTTATATTTTTATTTCAAGACAATATCAGACGGATGAAATTGAAATTAATAATCAAACCAATAATAGCCACTTGCTTGAAATTATGTCACTTCATTGGTCTGAATTCTGACAATTTCTTTGAAATGAAGCCAATAATTATATCAAAGTCACGTCAGACTGTCTCTTACTGTTTATCCAGCCTTTCTTTCATGTTAAGTATCACATTCTTTGGAATTTTTCATATCATCTATTTTTCTCAAATTCCCTGCTATATTCATGAGGAGCAAAGTTAGATTATTATATAGATTATTACATATACATTGTTTGTATCATAATTTCTGATTGGTTTGAAGCACCAGTTACAATTCTCAATATTCTGTATTGTGCCCAGCGTTCAATAATTATTCATTTCGGTCAAACTTGCATTCGAGCAACTCAAATCCAAAATAGTGTAAAAATGAAATAAACAAACAGCAGAAACTACTTGAAATTAGTTGTGTGAAAATTTATTGTAATGTAAAAAACAGTATTTTTGTACTGATATACTTTGAGCATTAATAAACTTTGTTTAATCATTTTATATGCATGTTTCTGATGTACATATAGTAAAACAATTAATATTAAAAAATTCTTAGCTTTGCTTTGGCAGATAACATTGACCTTGGTACCTGGTACATATGAATGTTTCTTGATATTATCATAGACAATCCAGAAGACACTTGTCTTCTGGATTGTCTATGATATTATGCACTAGCCTTTATCTACTAATTGTTTATTGTCAGCTTGAGATCTCTATGAGATCTATGACGAGATTGATAGGGCAGAGCTTGATCACAAAATGTAAGAAAAACTAAAAGGAAAATAATTATACATTTTCAAAAGTTATAATTCATTTGCTTTTGCTCAAGTAAAAAATTCCAGATGCTATTATGTTATGCTATTAGTTATGACATTAAAATTACAACCAAGAATTATTGGTAAATATATAGAGAATAATACATAGATGTGCGGAAATATGATTATTTTGAGTGTTGTTATCCCCCTTTGTGTTATTATCATGAATATAATATATCGCACATGCATTATTATCGCTTTTCAAAATGGCGGATTTGCCAATAAAACACTGCGTATTATATAAAAAGAAATAATAATTACAAATACCAGAATTTGTTTGCAGGTAGCTAATCAATCAAAACAGGAATTCAATATGCGGTGAACATTAATATTATTTCTGTTTCTTTTTAAATTTCATTGTATTGTTTAGCCGAGTTTATTATTATGCTTGGAGAAACCAATGAGACACTGGGGAAGTTTAAAGCTGCACTGAAACAAAATGGAGCAGAATTTCCTGTAAGTGAAACAGAATACTATATGGTCTATGAACATACTTTTCATGTTACTCTTCATGAATAATCTGAGCTTACATGTGTACTGAAAACTCTACACAATGTTCATGCCCTTCCTCCAGCAGTAGACTGTGAAAACCTGTTCACCAGGAGGGAGTCAGGTCACAGCCTGCTATTTGACCATAACTCTTAATTTATTTCATCCTCTAGGATTCATTTTCTTCCAATCTGCTGCGTCTTATCCAACAAATGAAACCAACATCTGGAGCACAAACTGACAGCAAAAGTAAGACTTTTTGTTGATGTAGTCAAATTAATGAAAAAATAAACAATGCATGGACTTTAAATTAATCTTCAGTTGGCACATTTGCAGTACTTATATCTATTAGCAGTGTGGACTAAACTCATTGACATATTCCATATTTAAATTCACTAATCATGAACTGTAATGCATTTTAATCAATTAAAATTCCCAACTCTTTATCTCTGCGATTTGACTGCAATCGAATTTAGTGACATACAATGTACCAGTACAGTATAAGTTAATTAATGTAGTACAGTATGTATATTAGTAGAAAAGGAAATCCAAAAACAGTAAACTTCTTGAGATTGTTCAATACCAGTATAGGTTTTGACATTATTCAAGATGTTTCTTCAGCCAAGAATGGTGGTACAGTAATACAGTGTATTTCCTCAGATATGACAAGTTTGATTTAGACTGGGTCACACTTTGATTGGATCGTAATCATCCAGACCAGTGCAGTAAATTTGATTCCATTTCTTTATATACATTTATTGTGTGCCATAGTAAACGATGATTTTGCCGGAGACAACGAAGAGTTATCGAAAAAAAGACAGAAATTCCATGGCCTCTGTTTGCCAGACGAAGAACCAAAATCGGTAAGTTGTCATCTGAACTTCGGATTTTCAATGTGTTAAAAGTTCTCCAATGAAAATATCTTGTTCTTTTATTTATTAATCAAAGGAGGAAGTAGAGAAATCAGTTGATAAAGATGAAGCAGTTGTTTCTCAAGCAATGGGAGAGGTTTGCATCGTGTACTTAGGATCGTTTTATTGCTGGGTATTTCGTGTTTCTGAAAGTTCCAGGCCAAATATTTATGACAAGATAGATTTGTAGCACCCATTGACTGGCCACATTTAGCCCTCCTTGTTATTTTATATCTTCAGAAGGTAGGCAGATACTGTACTGTACTTTTGGAAATTTGGGTCTGACAATGGAACTGACTGACAAGTCACAATAACCATTGGAGGAAGAAACCTTTCTCATACCCCCGGGGATTACGAGTTTACACACCTTATCTCCCCACAATATAGCTAAATCGAACGACAGTTGTAACTTGTCGCAAAACTACATGTATATGGTTATCTTTCGTTTCAGCTGGAAGCACTAATGGCTAAAGCAAAAGAAGATGAGAGCAAAGTAAAAAGGTTATAAATGCTTCAAACTGTATTTTCACTGATGCGTCTAGATCCACAATCATTAATGCCTCGATTTGTGCATCAACATCTCTGGATGTCTATAAATTTGAATTGTCTCCGTTTATTCACTGCGTGCATGGGAATTAAATCGTAATGATTACGGTCCTTTTTGACGTTACGGTACTGTACGTAAAGAGAATGACATGAAAGAGAATCTTAGAATAGGTAAAACAAAGTTTGGTCGGAAGAGATTTTACAAACTCTGTATAAATTTTACGCAAAAACTTATTTCACATGCTTAATATGTACAGTACAACCTTTTCCACCAAATCATTTTACGTAAGATTCTCTTTCCACAGATATGGTGTTCGATTCGCTTTTTTTTTTGCCTGGACTCAAATTTAGTGTGAATACTAATATCAGCTGTTTACAGTCCATTTAGCTTCTATATAGAGATTTTACTCAGAAATCACCAGTTAGATAATTTTTTTATAGAAATTGAATCAAACTTCATGCCTATACTATTTTACAGCAAAAATACAGAACGTGAGAGCAGTCGCAGTCCACGTAGACAGCGAAGGCGATCTCGCAGCAGAAGTAAAGAACGGAGGAGTCGAAGGTATGATTATGCAGTGCACCCAATTGAATACATATTTTCAATTTTACGAGATATGATTGAAATGTTAGTCGACGTTAATTGATCTCCTGCGAGAGACGTCACACTGTAGTTTGTAGCTACAGTATCTTTGCTTTCCATTTTGAGTGAAAAATAAAAATTCGTTAGTTAAGAGCAAATTATTACATACAACATAGAATTCAATGAGAACAATTGATGAAAAGACATTTTCACTCGCAGCCGCCATTTTCCGCACGACGGTGCTTAGCAGCTAAAATTCACCGAAGAAATTTCACCAACATTTCTCCCATAAGATATTCAAATGTGGAACGTGTATACAGCGTACTCACAGCGGTAAGTTCTGGTCATTTTTGTCATTTTTAAGATCTCGGTCTCGAAGCCACGACAGAGATCGCGACAAGAGAAGACGACGATCAAGAAGTAATGAAAGGAAAGGTCGTGATGATGATCGACACAGCAGGAGAAGAAGCGACGATAGACGCCATGGAGGATCATCTCGGGTTGAAAAACCTCCACCAGATAAACCTACCGTTAACCAGGTAAATGACTGTTTTCCTTTAAAATATTGTTTTTCCAATAAAATAGCTAGGTAAAATAGCAAACTGAACTTAGTAAACTATAAATAATCAGTCTCGTAATTCTCTATAGTTGACTGAGCATTCCTTAGCAATCAGAATATTATGTATAAACAAGTACAGTAGACAAGACTCATTCGTTCATGGTCTAAGGAATCACTAATTTCCCTCGAGTCATATTACTCACAGTATTTTTTAATGAAGATTAGACTAACCTGCCAAAGTTTCAAAGAACGCTGGTCAGACATTGACCCTATGTACAGTATAGCTCGCCATGTTTTTCAGCGAGTCGTATGTAGACGAAGAATACAAAGCTCTGTTTTTCACTTAATTTCGCAAAATGCGATCATTTTCGTGAAATTACCAAAACGTGTATCCATTTCTGGTAGATTTACGATGGACGGGTTACTGGAATCATGCAGTTTGGATGCTTTGTTCAGTTGGAGGGTCTTCGCGGGAAAAATGAAGGCCTTGTGCACATCTCAGAGGTACAATACATGATTAACCTTTTAGATTGTGTATTCTTAAGTATTGATCTACATACAGGTGAGAGAGATGAAGTCCAAGAATGATCTAGGAATGGTAGCAATATATGATTGAGTAAAACTCAAGTTTGGTTTCGAAACGTTGTAAATTGTGAAAACAATTATGGTGATGAAATCCCCGCTTTTACAAATGGCATGCATGATCTTTTTAGCTTCGACGAGAAGGAAGAGTGGCTAATGTTGCTGATGTGGTAAGCCGTGGTAATAAAGTCAAGGTTAAAGTTCTATCTATGACTGGAACCAAAATTAGTCTGAGTATAAAGGTATGTTGTACTCATTCTGTTACAGTACATAGCTTCTATATGATAATTCACTCATCGACTTCTTTATATATTGACTTTCAATAAAGTATATTTATGGCAGACAGTATTGGTATATATAGCTATACGTATATTAATTATTTCCATTATTAGGTCACAGCATATACGGTGTAACATAATAAAAATGATTTACACCCTCCTTCATGGTAACATAATAAAAATGATTTACACCCTCCTTCATGACAACTATGAGTTCAGGGTTTATAGTAAAGGAAAAATAATGACTGTTGATATTTTATAGGATGTCGATCAAAGCACAGGGGAAGACTTGAATCCAACGAGGATGCGGCACAATATGCCAGGCGATTCATCCGCAATGACGAGAAACCCAGACAGGTATTGGGGGATGTGGTGTAGCATTTCGTGATATTTTGCGCTTCTTCCTATGGCAAAACATTGCCCTAGCTTTAGATTACAATAGAGCTCCGTCGCTCTAATTATCCATAGACACGTAGTTTATATTCATCGATCAAGTCAAGTGATGTACCGAGTGCACGATGTACAAGTGCATGCAGGATAAAGTTTAAGGGAAAATATGTACTCGCATATTTCATACAAATTCCCCTTCATGAATGTCATCATGTTGAGATTCTTAAAAAAACAGTCTCTGTCTGCTACATATAGTAGCTATTATTCAGGTACCATATTATCAGGTGTATATATATTATAATATTTATTGATTGTCAGACCTTCAGTGGCATCAGTACCTGTTTACGACGATGATTCCGCAAGGGAAAAACGTAAAGTGCAACGTGTCACCTCGCCAGAAAAATGGGAAATCAAGCAGGTTGGTTAGCTTTTCTACTAGAAGATATAATCATAGCTTTTCTATTGCAAATATATTTCTGGAAGTGCCCAAAAGAAGCGTATTTTTTCACATAACCGAGAACAGAGACGGACCTGTGATATATGTAGGTAACAGGGAGGGCGATTTTCTACAGGGATAGGGAGATATTTCCATTGTTCCAGGTATAGAATTACTTTATGCTATTTCACCCTTATTTAGCTTATATCTGCTGGGGTTTTGGACAAGGCTGATTACCCTGACTTCGATGACGAGACTGGAGTATTACCACAACGAGAGGACGACTCGGGTATGGGCACTTAATTTAGTTTAATTATCAGTGACACCGATAAAAGGAAGGCTGGCGCGAAAGCAGGCAGCTTTCAGCTCGCCATCACTCACCACTTGCAAACATGTGGATGCTGAGTTGTTGTGATATTTTTAGATGAAGATGTCGAAATTGAATTGGTCGAAGAGGAACCTCCATTCCTAAATGGACAAACCAAGTTAAGCGTTGATATGAGTCCTGTTAAAATAGTCAAGGTAAACAGCTTTAGGATGAACTATAAGTAAACTGGAGGGCTAACTCAGATGGAGGCACGCTTTGAGCAGAAATACGCAAAACGTTCAGCTGTATATCGCCATGAAGCTAATTTAGAACGTAATTTGGTGTAGAAATTTCAAGACAATACAGTGACTGGAATTAAGGAATATAAAATAATAATTACTTATAATTTGCCATTTTTCACCGAGGTCTCTTTTAATTGAAATTTTCACGCCAAATAGAAGCCCCCCCCTCTACATATGTCTCAGGCGCAACATACGTTTTGCGCCCTGACAACGTGGTTGTTGAAGCAAGAATAATTTATCTTTAAAAAACAGCCTGTATTATTCTCCAAGTTTAAATAAACATTTCACTGCAGGAACGCTGATAATGTACAATAACTATTTTTCCGTTAGAATCCCGACGGTTCTCTCCAGAGAGCAGCCATGACTCAAACTGCACTTGCAAAAGAACGACGTGAATTGAAACAAGCTCAAAGAGAAGAGCAAGCGAATTCTGTACCGAAAGATCTTGGAAAGCTGTGGGTTGATCCCGTGCCTTCTGGTAAGATGCTAAATTCTACTTATCTCTTTCATCAAAAGCACTGAATTCGACCACAGGTTAGAAAATGCTCTCTGTAAACTGCCCTTTACTTAAAATATACTTTTTCCTGTCCAGGTGACGATGACCGACCACAGTTTGCGCAAGAAGCAAAGGGAATTGGACTGTCTGCGAAAGATGACATGCCCGAATGGCGTAAGGCTTCTTTTGGAGGCAAGAAAGTATCGTATGGCAAGAAAACAAATCTCTCTATCTTGGAACAGAGACAAAGTTTGCCCATATATAAACTTAGAGATGAATTAGTCAAGGTAAGATCGTGCTGTCAAAGAAATGTTGCTTTTTCCTTCACTCAGTGGCGGGTATTTACAGGAGACGGGATAACAATAAGAGCTGCAGAATTTTAGCGATCAAAATCCTGTCTCCCCACCGCCGGAAAGAATATTGAATAGCCCTTCCATGATTCCATCTCGTTGGTAGGCTGATTAATGTTCACGCTTATATATGTACAATGGGAGTCTAAAACTCCTTTGTTGTCCAAAGTTTTGTTCCCCAGCTATATAATGACGTGTTATACTTTTGAAGCAAAAGTGGATAGAAATTAATTTCTAATTTTATTAAACCTGAATATGTATTTTCTTGATTCACCTTTCGTATTCCTTTTTACGGGTCTCTTAATACTCTATAATGTACCGCGATATCCACACATGCTTTACTATACACGCTCTCATGCCAGGAGCATCGACTGAAAAACCTGTGCTTTCTTTGGGATTTGTTTAGGCGGTGCACGATAACCAACTACTCATAGTTATTGGAGAAACGGGCAGTGGTAAAACTACTCAAATAACACAATATGTTGCCGAGGCCGGCCTGGCGTCGGTAGGCAAAATCGGATGCACTCAACCTCGTCGTGTTGCGGCCATGTCGGTTGCGAAGAGAGTCTCGGAAGAATTCGGTTGTCGTTTAGGTCAAGAGGTTGGATACACCATTCGTTTTGAAGATTGCACCAGTCCTGAAACAAAGATCAAATACATGACGGAGGGTATGTTGCTGCGGGAGTGTTTAATCGATCCAAACCTCACGCAGTACTCAATGGTCATGTTGGATGAAGCACACGAAAGGACTATTCATACGGATGTCTTGTTTGGTCTGATGAAAAAAGCCGTGAAGAAAAGGCCCGACCTGAAATTGATCGTCACTTCGGCAACGCTCGATGCTGTTAAGTTCTCGACGTATTTCTTCGAGGCTCCAATATTCACGATTCCCGGTCGTACATTCCCCGTGGAAATATTGTATACAAAAGAGGCCGAGACTGATTATCTTGATGCAGCTTTGGTCACAGTCATGCAGATCCATCTGACGGAACCGCCTGGTGATATCCTCGTCTTTTTAACAGGCAAGTTCATTTCGTAGGGTTAGGTCTAGAATGACAGGGAAAATCTGAAGTACATTGGAAACTGCATGTTCATTACTTTATGCTTTTGAGAATATAGAAACCTTGAACTTAAAACTATCCCAACCTGTTTTAATATCGAGCTGTCTCTACCAAATGAAGTGATCTCCCTGAACGTTTGGTATAATCTTTAAAACTAGGTAAAAAGTTATTACCAAATACCACTTTCTGACCGTACTGGAAAAACACGAGTTCCGTACGCTTAAACGTCAGGGGTCTAATATTTATATCTAATTCAATACAGTATTTATGACGCGCTTGCATTCTGGACAGCTTTTCCTCTTGCCAGCATTTATGTGACTGTTGAAATTAACTTAATAACCCGTTAATGTAACAGGTCAGGAGGAGATTGACACATCGTGTGAGATCCTTTATGAACGTATGAAATCTCTTGGTCCGGAAGTACCTGAGCTCATTATCTTACCTGTGTACAGCGCATTGCCAAGTGAGATGCAGACTAGAATTTTTGAGCCCGCACCACCCGGAAGTAGAAAGGTTAGTGGTGCAAAGGATATATTTAATTCGGAGCCGGGTTAATGCATGGTCTTAATATCAGGTGGCAGCCATACAAATTTTCAAACTGGAGACAACCGTTCCTGACTTGAATTTGCAATTTCTATGATTTCATTTTTAATAAAAAACTATGTTATACATTTTGAAATTATACAGTACTGTAGTATAGTTATAAAAACCTACAAAACCCTCAGTTGTGTAGCAGCGTTTTTAATTTTACGGCATTGCGAAGTTGATGTTTGTCATATTTCAGGTTGTCATCGCGACAAATATCGCTGAAACATCTTTGACGATCGACGGCATCTATTACGTTGTTGACCCTGGCTTCGTTAAACAGAAAGTGTATAACTCCAAGAGTGGTATGGATGCCTTGGTAGTTACTCCAATTTCACAGGTAATAATGCGCGATTTGTAACGGTCGATATCACGTGAAGGCATCTCTGCATATTTATTGGCTAGAACAAAAATTGACTAGACCGACCCACAATGTCGGACAACATTACTAGCTTCCGACTAAAGTGGCTGCACTATTGTTTTCCTACAACTGAAGTTATTAACCCACTCATAGTGTAATCGTTACATCAAGGCGTCCCGAGGCCAAATTCGTCAGCATTCAGCAGAATTCACTTCCACCTTTGTACTGTACATATATTGCATAAATAAGATGATCGTAAGTGATGCGACACAAGGTTTAGCCGGACTTGGAGTACTAAAGTACAGTAATAACGGTCCTTGCAGTGTGTTTCACTGTTATTTTCCAATTTTTAGGCCCAGGCTAAACAGCGATCGGGGCGAGCAGGTCGAACAGGGCCGGGGAAATGCTACAGGTACAATATTGACCTTACAGTGTTCATTGACTATTTAGCAAGTGCAACCTCGAAGTTATTACTTGAATATATCTTTGAGCCTGTATTGTGATTTTGGGCACAAATTACTGGGCATGTGCAAAGTCATTTATTTCAGGCCACGCCACGTTCTCCTCATGTTAAACAATAGATAAACACCAGAGATTCGTCATAATGTTCCGTTGTTGTTGATGTGTTCAGCGCATGTGCAAAGGGACGTAAGGCGCTGACCTATTCTTGACGTTCGCTATTTTCGTTTAGACTGTACACAGAGCGAGCATATCGTGATGAAATGCTACAAACTGCTGTACCAGAGATTCAGCGTACAAACCTGACTAGCACAATCTTGTCATTGAAAGCCATGGGAATTAACGATTTACTGGCATTTGATTTCATGGATCCTCCTCCAATGGAGGTAACTAATTTTCTTTTTTTAATTTATTGAGTTCAAATCCCTAAAACACCGACTTGATAATATCAGCAGTCTCTACTGCAACTCGTCCTGATGATATCAGCAGTCTCTACTGCAACTTCGGAATTACAAATATTGGGCAGCAGAGTGTGCACTCGCTAGTGCTACAACACCCGAGGTTATTGTTATCTCACATGCATGTTTTCTACGTAGACGATGATCACAGCAATGGAGCAGTTGCACTCGCTTGGTTCGCTAGATGATGAAGGTCTCTTGACAAGACTTGGTCGAAGGATGGCTGAGTTCCCTCTTGAGCCACCCTTATCAAAAATGTTGATACAGTCTGTCCATCTGGGCTGCAGCGATGAAATTCTCACAATTGTTTCCATGTTGTCCGTTCAGAACGTCTTTTACCGTCCCAAGGTAACTGTCCATAAAATTGTCCGTTTGCATGTGATACTAAACGTCAAAGTCTTGGATGGGCTTGTTTTCTGCAATTAACGAGGTTCAAACTTGACTTCCACTACTAACATAACTATCTTTGAGAGAACATGAGCCAATCAAATACAATAAACTAACCAATCACGATATTGATTGTCAGAGTAACATTGACCTATTCTGTACTCAAATGTTTCCAGTTACCGATTAGCGTTATTCCATGCGTTAAATTGCCACTCTTTCTAATCAACAACCCTTTTTGTGCATGCGTTAATTCATGCCGTTCTGGTTCAAAGGAATGTGGGTAGGGGAACTTGAAGCAAAAGTATAGTATTTGCTAGGACTGAGATCAATATTTGGCCGCACATGATGGCAACTGTATTGTTGAGTTGAAATGGTGAGAAGTATATAATTTTCTTTATCTCCTCCAGGAGAAACAAGCTCTTGCAGACCAGAAAAAGGCGAAGTTCCATCAAGGTGAAGGGGATCACATCACGTTGCTGGCTGTGTATAATTCTTGGAAGAATAACAAATTTTCGAACCCGTGGTGTTTCGAAAACTTCATACAGGCGAGATCTCTGAGAAGAGCTCAAGATATTCGAAAACAGATGCTTGGCATCATGGACAGGTTGGATATTTTAGTCAGTTCTGCTCTGTGAACTCTGAAATGACAGTGAACAGGAACGACAACTCGAGCGCCATCATAAAGCCAATTTGAAGCCAAACTGAAGGACAGTGCAAGTGTATTTGCATTATTTTGTCTTCAAAGTAGTAGGAAAGACTAGCATACACTCACTGGTCCTCAATCCGGCTTCAAATCGACTTCGAAGATGGCGGCCAAATAACCCTCAGTTGATCGCATCAGTCTAAGTATAGAGTTCACTGGTTCTGTATGATTAGCTGAGCGCAGTTTTAAGGTTGGTTTCAACTCGAGATATCTACAGTTTTATTCTTAACTAAATCGGACAGGAAGGTTATTGTGTGTCAAACATGCATATTAACTAACCACGGTTCATTTCGCAGGCACAAGCTGGATATCGTGTCGTGTGGAAAGAACGTCAACCGCGTTCAGAAAGCAATATGCAGCGGTTTCTTCCGAAATGCGGCTCGAAAGGACCCACAGGAGGGTTACAGGACATTAGTGGATAATCAAGTTGTATACATTCATCCTTCGAGTGCGCTGTTCAACCGCCAGCCTGACTGGGTTATCTATCATGAACTAGTATTAACTACTAAAGAGTACATGAGAGAATGTACTGCAATAGATCCGAAATGGCTTGTTGAGTTTGCGCCATCATTTTTCAAGGTAGGAGATCCAACGAAACTGAGTAAACGAAAGAGGCAGGAACGCCTGGAACCACTCTACAACAGGTATGTTAATCTCTGATAAGGGTTGTTTACATATAGGATTACATTGAATGGATCATTGTTTCTCTCGATTTTGTTCCAGCGATATTTTTCGCGCGAAGCGACTTCATTCCTTTGCATTTGAGCAAATTGTTCCAGATTGATTGTTGCAGTTGAGAGCTCTGAAACAAAAGTAAAATGGAAAACTGGCTTAAGACTGGTGTACGGACGAGATAGTTGCATAAAGTGGTTTTCTTTATCTTTGCATGCAAACAAACGTTTTACCTTTAATGATAATCGTATATATATGTACGATACCTCCATGTCACATAGTTGCATAAAGTGTTTTACTTGATTGCATTGTGTACTGGATTAAATTGTTTTCCTTGTCCTAGCAAACAAACTCTTCCCAAGCAAACAAGCTTTTTAAGTCAATATTTGCGTTAGTGTCTGCATGGCAGTTCATGCTATTCGTATACATGAGTCCTCAAATATTCAATGTACTACCTGAAATTTTCATTTTTGGGGGTCCTTAAATCCCTGAATATTTTGAGTCCTTAAATTCCTGAATATCTTAAATTTCTTGTCAAATGGTTGTCGTAGAAAAACATGCTTTCGTGAGTTTACAAGACGTCTAAACTCGTGCATGCATGCATGGTTTTCCAGATTGCACTCAAAGTAATACTCGTACCTATATACTCTTTTAGTTAAACAGCCGGCACCAGTGGCCGGCACGAACTCTGTGAGTTAATACTGATTTGTTTTAATGTGTTTTTCTGAAGATACGAGGAGCCAAACGCCTGGCGTATTTCAAGGGCATTTCGAAGACGATGAAAGAACAAAATACATGCTCTTGATACTGGTCTATGGCGTTATACGTATTTTGGCTGGACAGCTATATATAAAGTAATTCACCAACTAAAAGGATTTGAAAGATGTTTCTATCCACAGACAAAAAGCTGCAGAACCTGCAAGCAATGATACTTGGTTTTATTAGCTAAAGTGATAAAGATAAGCTAACCTAAGCTAATGTACAAAGATTGGCTATGGGCCTTCCTTATTTTGCTCAGCCTATAAAATCACCAGTTTTGACACCAATGTATTTGTCCTAGCTTGGGTTTTACAGTGCTCGCCATCTGCCGGACGGTGCTTTTTAAGCTCAACAAGAATCGTAACTCAAATTATATGCCTAATCGTACACCTATCAGAATTATAACTCAAATTATATGCCTAATCGTACACTTTAACGTAAAGTTTCTCTGTATTCACTTACACTGTTGAACACGAATGTTAGAGCGGTTTATACTATAGGTGCAATTTTTTTAACATGCGATCAAAAAGCAGATACATGCACTTAATTAAATGCACTTAAACTAAAAGCGATGACAATTAAAAAAGGAAATCAATTGAAAATTCAATCTCGCAAGCCAGGCTTTCGAAAATTATCGTTCAATCTGAAAATTCGCCTTCAATCTCCCTAAATCTCTGATCTGATCTTTTAAACAGACAGCACTTTACGGTTGAAGCGGAAAAGAGCCCCGACTCCCCGCAGTTTGGATGGACCAATTAGAATTGCTAGCTAACTACAAAGTTAATGTTTAATTCATCAGGAAGAACGATATTTGCAATTCAATACAACACGAGCGACGAAATCACTATTGCAACAAAGCTCGGATTATCCATCGTACGTGGCAGGGTTTGAATTCCATTTCACATTAATTCATATTCGGGAATATCGTAAAAAATGGCATTGTCAAAGCATGTTGCAGATATAGAGGTAAAGTACTCCTAATTTGATGCCAAGAGACAAGAGATTGGCGGCAACACGGCATACAGTCAAGTGTAACCTATGTAGTAAGAATATAAACAGACTGCAAACTGAGGCACATATAAAGTTGTGGAGACAGTACTGAAAATGAAAAATGTAGCTCTAAATTACTTTATTTGATAAAAACTAAGCGAGTAAGGGGTAGCTAAATAAGTTTCGTGACTATACCCAGACCGTCATCCGTCATCGATTGCACATTTGTGTTCATTCTGTAGCCGAATACCGAACGGAATTAAAAGTGTATAGCATTACAAATATAATCAGTCCGAAGAGTCAAGAAATTATTGTTCATTTGTTAATTGCTACCATGATATATGATCTAAAAGTACAACACTTCCCTTTGAATATGACGAGCCGAAAGGGTTACCCTGCATGTCTGCAATCTGCATGCATCAGGCATGGCCATTGTTCGTGGTGATAATATGGCTTGTTACGCAATTGTTAAAACCGGCGAATGACTTTGAAACAAGACATAACAAAATATGAAATACGTAATTACTCCAATAGCTTTACTAAGTTTAATCACTATATGAGTATATCTATTGACAGAACGGTCGCCAAAACAAGATAATATATCTGACCTATATTTTAATATTTAGACAACAATTTGCCAAAGCCAAGGTATCAAAAACACAACTATGATGGCAGTGGAATCGTATTATAATAGACAAAGATTTAGATACTTATAGCAAATTGAGAAGCCGGTATTTTCATACTATAAAAAGCCTACTTAATTTTTATTCTTGTTACGACCTGCCGGCCGCAAGCCACTCTGGACCCGTTGGGTTGCGTCATGCATACTGATGTGACTCACCGACTTAGTGCAAAATGTTACAATATTACGTATGTGCTTTGAATTTGAAATTAGGGAGGCCATACAGAACAGTTTTGAACAACTGTTCTTACTGTTCCTCAAATCCGGAATAATCCGAAAAATTAAAGCCTTGCAACATTGACATTGAGCTGTTTCATCCATGCAGTCTCAGAAGACGTTACAGGTTTCATCCAAGTGCTAGTACTATTTTTCCTAGACCGTTTGTACAGTGAGAGAAATCACGAGTGCTCCGCTTTGTCGTCAATTAAGGTTATTCGGCACTTGGTAGTGCGGCGTTATAAGTCTTTATAAAACGAAACGAGCACAATGCTACTGATTCTCGGGATGACTAGGCAATGCAGGATCAAGTTATATCGGGATCCTTGTAAACAAACCCTTTTTTCCTATGTTATATGTAACATACACGTATTAAATTTTTTTAGAATCTTCTATCTCTGAATCCTAAAATTCAGCCCCATGCCTCAACAGTACCTTCAGCAGTGACAAAGAGAGGAAAGAAACACTGGAAGAGAAATAAGGATAAATCGTGTTCGGTGAGATTTGCTTTACGTATATATGAACGTTACTACATGGAACTGGACCGACGATTATTTTGTCGAATAGTGGGTTTTTCAATCGCTCGTGTTTTGGTACAGTTTGAATTGAACCTTTCCATTCCTGAAGTAATGCTTAATTCTCTTTATTCATTGTTCGGTCAATATCTACAATTTTATTACTTTTCAAGCACTTCTTGAAAAATCCGCTATCCGGTGGATCCAGCCTTTGTACAACCGGCTCCTGCATGACATTTTACTGATGTAGCAACACACGCGCCAAGAGATGGTGAAGTAGAAAATGGGCTTAATTTTTTTTGCTCCCTGTGTACTCCGTTAGAAATAACGACAATTAAACAAAGCAATAGTCTACATTTCACTACGATACAGTTAATGTGGAAAAAGGCATTACGCAGTGAGTCATGATTGCCTCGTATTAATTACATGGTGGACATATTCACATATTCATGTTCACAGACCGTTAAAACAGTCAATTTGAAAAGAAATGAATAATGCAAAACATGAATATATGAATATGTCCACCTCACTTATCATGCTGGCTACGCCACTGATCATTACCTTTGTGTCCCCTTTAGAGTTGTGGTGATCTTAACAAGAACTTCGATGATGTTAAACACACGACTTTGAGTGAAAGAGGAGCTTTGCGCGAGGCAGCAAGGTTTATTACTGTAACATTTTCTTTGTACGAGTAATACCACATGCAATGCCCGTAGTATGGAAATTGTGTGGAAATGGTTTCTGAAAAAGGAATGGTCTCAGATGGATAGAGATCAATAATCGTGGTCCGTGGATAATGTATACAATTTCCATACTACTGATTTTCGAATATTTACCGGTGTATCAAAATGGGGGACTAAGGTAGTTACGCACACCTCTCACCTCTGCGATTTAATGTGCATATAATAACGTTAAGAAGAAATGACAAATTTAAATATATGATTGCACTGTATGTGCATGACTAATATTTGGTATGTTTAAAAAGAATTATCCATGCCTGCATGATACCCATACTCATATTCCACATATTCCATCGCAGATGCTTGAAATGTGCAGATGCTCCCTGCCAGAAAAGCTGTCCTACACAACTCGATATCAAATCGTTCATCACAAGCATCGCAAATAAGGTGATGTTTCTCGAATGCATATATTAATTGCACGCATCACTGAAAGACCTCTAAATACGAAAAGGACACGTTTTGAACTATTGATTTAATATTCATTCAGAATTTCTACGGCGCTGCGAAAACAATATTCAGCGATAATCCGCTCGGCTTGACTTGTGGTATGGTGTGTCCAACAAGCGATCTTTGTGTTGGTGGTTGTAATTTATATGCAAGTGAAGAAGGACCCATCAATATCGGAGGCCTTCAACAGTTCACAACTGAGGTAATTTGATCCTTTGGAAAATGTCCTGGAATAATAGAATAGGACGTTTTCTTAATCACACAGTAATGTCCTAACCAGGCATGTTTATAGACCAACTGTTCCATTTACCACCATTCAAGATCACTGATGGATTCTCTTCATTCAGGTATTCAAAAAGATGCGCATGCAGCAGATTCGTGATCCTAGTTTACCAAAACTCGAAGATTTGCCAGATAGTTATAAGTCAAAGGTTTGTGTTAAATGATAAACATGGTAAACTTATCGAATCATCAAGTAGGAAACGTGCTTAATTCCAAAAAAAGATAAGTGCACCACTGGAGGATAGTGACAGGACAATTTCAAAACAACAAAGCAAATTACTTCTCTTTCATAGAACATCAATTTTTAGACTGATGTATTCTCGTGAAAGATGCATTCGTCATCTTTTCCGTGGTTGAACTTACTGTAGTATTTTGTTATGATGTAGATCGCGCTGATTGGTTGTGGTCCTGCATCACTGAGTTGTGCAACGTTTTTAGCAAGACTAGGCTACAGTGATTTGACTATATATGAAAAAGAGGACTATCTCGGTGGCCTCAGGTATTTAAAATTTATACATTCACTTTTGCCTTGAATAGTCCATAGCTATGACAAAAAACTTAATATTACGAATGTTGAATAAATAAAGATTTCTTAAGAAAATGGCATATAAAATACAAAATCCTGTTAAAGATTATGAGAAATACTGCCAGGATAATGTTTAGTATCACGTATGGCAGTAGATCTCGCATCACTGGAAGATACGACCACCCTATCCACCCTATCCGTCCCAGGAACTATCCTGGATATTTTCAATTCCGGACCGTCGAAGGGCAAAGGATTTCCATAATGTCATATATTCAGTAATCACAACCAATTCTTGAAATTCTTCTTGCAATACGAAACAGATTTGCTGTAAATAAAGTCCATTTAATCGATCATGAGTTAAACATTCGACATCTCGTATCTAGGTGTCCAATAAAATCTACTACTATTCTAGTTCCTCAGAGATCCCACAGTTCAGATTACCTTACGATGCTGTTTCATTCGAAATTGAATTGGTGAAAGATTTGGGTGTAAAGGTGCGATTTATTCTGTGTATAATAGTTGTTACGTGCCAGATGCCTTAATTAACTGCATGCATAACTTATTGTCTTTTGGATATGCATTTAGATTGAATCTGGAAAAGGTCTTGGGACAAATGGAATGAGCATCGCATCACTAAGGAGCAACGGAAATAAAGCAATCTTTGTTGGGATAGGTAAGTGAGAAGGTTTGTGATAGTTTGAGAATAATTCACTTTAGACATCATATAACTTCAATTAATTCATAGATATATATTGGAAGATTGCAAAGTGATCATCATCAGTGATTGTCATAAACGATTTCATTGATGATATTGTTTCTTTAGTAATACTTTCCCTCGTCTTGCTGCATGTGCACCCCATTTTTTAACTTCTTACTACAACATACCTCAAATGATGAATAATGTTCTCAATGCCTGATTAATAATGTTCTCAATGGCTAATGTGTCTGACGATTTCCTAGGGATGTTATTTCATTTCAATTGTAACTGATTTTATTTATCCTGTTCATGATTTGCTTCCGAGAAATTAGGTCAAAAATTATTGAATCGGAAATGAATTATTTTTATCCTTGTTCATATATTCTTTTTAACAATTTACTTAGGTCTGCCTCAGCCGAAGAAAATACCCATATTTAAGGACCTGGAAATAGAACACGGGTTTTATACATCGAAAGATTTCTTGCCCGTGGTTTCAAAAGCCAGCAAAGCAGGTTAGATTTTTATACGCCAACCTAATCTATTCTCACACATAATCTATTATGTATGCACTTATCACTTTGGCCAATTATGTATGCCTATATACTATGTTTATTATGCCTATATAAAAATCTGTCTCGTGATTCTTTCGGAATTACAGCGTCTTCAAAACTCGCGTGAAAAAAAAATCAAAATCATATATAGGTTGGGTGCAAATGACTTGCCTTGGAATTTTAACATCCAAGAAAAGATTTTAGTAACTAGGTCCGCAATAGCATAAAAATCTACCCAGCTCTCCCCCTCTCCTCTCCCAGAGTATAGTTCATTGTACAGCTGTGCTTATTTGTTCTTACTCAAGGCATGTGTGGTTGTAAGTCAAAGTTGCCACAGTTATCAGGAAATGTTATTGTACTGGGTGCCGGCGACACTGCATTTGATTGCTGTACCTCTGCGTTGAGATGTGGTGCTAGACGAGTATTTGTGGTCTTCCGTAAAGGATTTACCAATATTCGAGCGGTTCCCGAGGAGGTGAGTACTAAATCTAACACTATCCTGTGGTATGGTTATTTATTCAATTAAAGCGATAACAATTAGTTTCTAAAACATATTTCCAGATGGAAGTTGCAAGAGAGGAGAAATGCGAGTTTCTGCCATTTAAATCACCACTTAAGGTAACTACAATGTAGTGGCAGGGTACATGCAAGTTTATGACATATTATGGTTACCACAAGACTTTTCGAACTTTAAAAGAACCATGAACAGAGCTAGTGGCAGACGAGAAGACAGATACACTCAATCATAGTGTAGATGGGCAGATTGGTAATTGTACAGCATCGTGTAATTGCCTGCAGGACCTAGTGGTTGCTGGCAGGTTCATGTGATCACTGGCATCTCATGTGTTCGCTAGCCGAACTGTCCCATTTGATTTCTGGCAGGAACGTGTGTTAAAGTTTTAAGTCTGGTATTGTGTCGCCTAGGTTCATCTCAAAGAAGGTCGAATTTGTGCCATGGAGTTTTGTCATACAGAGCAGGTATGTGGGTTTGAACAAACTGTGAAAGGAAATACAAATGGTAAAATTCATCATAAAAGACTTTTTCGAATGTTTGTTTATTCTGTGTAGCAAGATGATGGAACGTGGATCGAGGACAAGGAACAGACATTGAAAATAAAGGCTAACTACATCATTTCGGCATTTGGATCAACGCTATCTGCAAACGAAGGTGATCATAATTTGCTTGTACAGTATTTCTGATCAGTTAGTATGTGTATCAATAAACAGCATGCTTTAAAGAACTCCTGTCATGACCCATGTTTACGACAAGGACAGAAGGCCCCTGATTTGGCACCTGAAATGTTCTCCTATCTTCCCTTGGGACTGTAAGTTAACGTTTTGTTTAATCTTTTGGTAGTTGTTGACGCAATGAAACCACTCAAGTTTAATTCATGGGGGTTACCTGAGGTGAACGACGAAACTATGGGATCAAGTGAAGCTGACGTGTTTTGTGGAGGGGATATAGCAGGTGTTGCTAACACAACAGTTGAATCTGTAAACGATGGCAAGACTGCAGCTTGGAGCATGCACAAATATATTCAGGTTCGTGAACATGCAAACAAAGCATCGAGAGGCTGGTGTATCTGAAATAGGCTGGTGTAGCTGGATATTACTTTGATAGCGGGGCCTAAGTCGCATAATTCGGTGCATCAGGACTTCTGGGGTTTCAATCAAGGGCTATCGCAAACCCCGACAGTATACGGCTATACGTTATGTAGATAAAAATATCTTGATAGCTACTTCAAACTCTCATTTCTAATTTCTCATTGCAGTCACTTCATGGTGAAACAGTTCCACAATCGCCAATTCTTCCAAACTTTTTCACCCCCGTTGACTTAGTGGATATCAGCGTAGAAATATGCGGCCTAAAATTTGACAATCCCTTCGGCCTCGCTAGTGCCCCACCCACTACGTCATCCGCCATGATGAGACGAGGCTATGAAGCCGGTTGGGGGTTTACCGTGTCTAAAACTTTCGTACTGGATAAGGTAGGTGTTGGTCTGTCAGTTCATTAAACTGTTCATTGAATTGTTACTACTTTGATTATAAAAGTATTCAAGGTGTAATGCTGTTGCCTTTCAGGATAGTATAGTGAATGTTTCACCAAGGATTGTACGAGGAACGACATCTGGGCACATGTTTGGTCCTGGACAAGGATCCTTCCTCAACATTGAATTGATTAGCGAGAAAACTTCTGAGTACTGGTGTAAATCTATCACAGAATTGAAAAACGATTTTCCCGACAAGGTGAGTTATTCATTTGATATAGACCAAACCTTTTGTAGGTTATGACACGTTATGCAGAGCACTTCGTTGATAAACATACAATTTTTCACCTATAACATTTTATTATTGATTATCAGTTTTAACAATTGCATGGAATCAGTGCCTATATAAATATAGTCACCCAACCAGTGGATGATAGAATTGTTTACGCTAAGTATCACGCTCACACAAAATTGTCGCTATAAAGAATGTGTTATTTTTAGATCCTTATCGCCAGTATAATGTGTGGTTATTCAAAAGAAGACTGGGTGGAACTGGCTAGAATGGCAGAGGTACTTCTTAGGCAGAGGAACTTTGTTTGTTGACAAAGATTGGGCACTGGCAATAGCTTTAGTTAGTGATTCATTCATGACATGAAGAGCTGCTCAATTTAAGTAATACCATGAAGCATAATTTGTGAAGAATTCAGTCTACCATGGTTAATAAAAAATGAATCATCACATTAAGATTTAGAAGACATTGTTGCACAAATAGAAACCAACCTAGTTACGCAGTTGCTTCTATGTGGTCTTTACTCTCTATGAACTGGGCACAGTTGTTAATTTTTCGATTAGAGTGAACTAATTACTACTATACATTTCTATTTTAGGCTGCGGGTTCAGATGCGCTGGAGTTGAACCTTTCATGTCCTCATGGTATGGGTGAAAAGGGCATGGGTCTTGCTTGTGGACAGGTATGCTTTGAGCGCAGAACAGTTTTTACTCTTTATCTACCTACTAGAAAGACATTACTGAAGCTTGTCACGTCCAGGGGATCGTGTACGCTATGCGCTGAAATAAGCTTGTTCAGGATCTGTATATATTTTTACTGTGTATGGATTCAATTTTGAAAACTTATTACTGCATGTAGGATCCCGAAATGGTTCGGAACATATCGCGTTGGGTTAGAGAAGCTGTGAAGATTCCATTTTTTGCGAAAATGACACCCAATGTCACAGATATTGTTGATATTGCACTCGCTGCTAAGCAAGGTATTCAATTATATTAATTGTACACTTAATAGTACCGTTAATTTGTACACTTAATAGTAAGCTTGTCTTGTAGTTAATTATATTGTTAGAAAGGTGGGAAGGAGGGCAGATAAGGTTGGATACAGATGAAGCCATGCAGAAAGAGCGTGCAACAAATACAATCGGCTACCTGGGGATAGTCATTCAGATGAAGAGAGATATTCGATTAGATAGAGTTCGGTCAATATTGAGGCTGATACAGAACCACGCATGAATGTACTGAGTATAGAATAATAATACACATATAGTTTCAGTTACAGATATAGAGTCAGTTAGTTATACGCATTGTCGAAACCGTAGCTATATATTATTTGCAATCCACTTGGGCAGGTCGAGCTGCAATTCTAATTCGTAAGTCAGCTCTGATCTCAGCTAGAAATAAAGTACACCCCCCACCAAGTTTCCTACACGTATTTAGGGGGTGCTGATGGAGTAACGGCCACAAACACAGTATCAGGTTTAATGGGTCTCGATGGTAAAGGAGCACCATGGCCAGGTATAGGAAAAGAGAAGAAGACCACGTACGGAGGCGTGTCAGGCAACGCCATACGCCCGATTGCTTTGCGAGCCGTGTCGGCAATTGCTCGCGCCCTTCCAGGGTTTCCGATCTTGGCAACTGGTGGTATTGACAGTGCTGATGCTGCATTACAGTTCATACATGCCGGTGCTTCTGTTGTACAGGTTAGCTCGCTGTTGTTGATTCCAGGTTTAGATTAGGGTCAAACCCTAGCCCTAACCCCCTCCTAGCCCCCCCCCGCCCAAATTCAGTCTACGAGCAGGCTAGCTGAGGTGACAACCAACACATGTGATTTTTTCCCTACAATTCGAAATTGGGTTGCGCGGACTGCAACGGTGTAATTTTGATAACTTTCATTCCTATTTCATAAGGTGTGCAGTGCTGTACAAAATCAGGATTTCACTCTTGTTAGCGATTACATCTCAGGCCTAAAATGTCTGTTGTACATGGAATCTTGTAAAGAATTTGACGGTTGGAACGGACAAAGCGCTCCTACTGAAAGACACCAAAAAGGAAAAGCCGTTCCTAAAATCAACGATCTGGTGGGAAAGGTAAGATTTAAGAAATTACCAGGTTTCAATCAGCTCAGTTTCCTCCTTCCCTCTGTATTTTCTTGACATGGTCCTTTCAGTTTTGGCTGTATCACAAAAACACTTCTAGACTGAAATGACTGAAGTTACAGTAGCCGAACCTTCATTTGATATACACGTATCCGTTCACAGGGTTTGCCAAGTTTCGGTCCATACCTTAGTAAGCGAGAAGAAATAATTAGCAAATACAAAGCAGAGACTGACTTACTCGCAACTGAACACTTACCTGAGAAAGTACGCCCGCCTGTGCAGGCTATTAAACCCACGCCCACAGTCAGGGTAAGTTAATATTTCTATTCGATTATTTCAAGAAGTGTTTATATCCATTGCTTTGGTAACTTTTCTTTAATGGGATGTTATCATGTACTACTATTTATGTGTCTATTATAGGATATGATAGGTCGCGCTTTGAATAACATTGGCAGTTATGGTGAATTGGATAACAAACAACAAGCAGTTGCAATGATTGATGAAGAAATGTGTATCAATTGCGGGAAATGTTTCATGACGTGCAATGATTCTGGCTACCAGGCCATCACGTTTGATCCTCTGACTCATCTACCTCACATTACATCTGATTGTACTGGATGTACTCTGTGCGTTAGCGTTTGTCCAATAATAGGTAAGTTTAATCGTTGTGAAAGGAGACTTACTATAAAAACATGATCGGAGACCTGAACTAGTTCAATTTATGTATAGTATAATTTACTTCTTAAGCCAACATACTCGCAACAGAGTCCTTTCCTCGCTTTATTTCACTTTCCACTCTTCTTCACATTACTAGACTGCATCACCATGGTGCCAAGGACAACGCCATACCAGCCAAATCGTGGTATTCCAATGACGGTGAAAGCAGAGGCGTAAAAAACATCGAACGGTTTCTATAAATATAATATAGTAAATATAATCTCTGTCAGAATAATGTTCATAATCAAATTCTACTTTTACGTAAAGATTTCCTAGCACAACTAGACTCTGTCTGGGGGGCATCACATGCCTTTTGTAACAAAGCTATATCAACTGTATAACGAGTAAACGTGAGACTCCGTTCATCTTTCAAATGTTGATGCGGGTTTAGGAGAGCGACAGCGGAGACGTGCGGCGACAATCACACGCACCTACGCCACGCCACTGCGACTTAGGAGGACCTGGGGTAAATTTTCCCCAACGTCCCCAGTTTGTCTTGTCAATAATTTCTACCTTAATTTGTTCTTTTTAAGCACCATCAATGCGATGTGTAAATAGAACAAAGAATATAATCTGCTACTTTATCATAAAAACTTTGGTAATTCAAACACCGGTCGGTTTTCATGCGCCCTACCATCTATATACGCCCAATTTTACTGGTGAAATGAATTGTGAAAACCAAAACTGCAACAGGAGCGTGCTTTTTGCAAAAAGACAACGTACATGTGAGCAACGACTGATGGAAGCCAGAGGCATGTAGGCCGTGGCGTTGATCATCCTCGGTTCCCAAGGGTCTACAACTGACGAGATTTCGTTGTCTCATAGCCACGAGAATGCAATGGCAATGGTCAACAACTTTGGGAGCCAGTCTGCAGAAAGCTTTGCACAGAGTAGAAGTCGGTTCTGTATTTGGCAAAGTTCACTAAATATTTTAGCATTGCCGAATATTCAGCCACGAATATTTTACAATGTTAAAGACTGAATGTGTGGTTTCACGTGACGTCATAGATTCCAGTGATGATCTACTTGTCACAAATTATTTGATTCATGGCTCTGGGTGACAGTTGAGAGACAGAGAGACAGTTGTTCTTTGTATGAGTCGCTTTTGTCTTTTACAGCTAATATGTGAATTTTGTAGCATTTCATAGCATTTTCGTGGCGTTGAAACATATTCGAACATTCTAGGCTGACTAATTCATACGCTTTGAAGACTGGTAACTATTATGTCTGTGGTACAGGAATGAAGTGGGTACAAAAAGAAGTTTTAAAAGTTGTCACATAAGTGGAAGTTACGTTATTTAATATTTACGTAATATTTGTCTTGTACGACTTGTCGACTTCGCCCTTTGCACTTCCTTTGAAAACTACACACGAGGAGTCAAATTTATCTAAAAGTTTAGTAAAAAAAATCATTTATATATATATTTATTTAATTTATAGTCCCCTGAATATAATGTCTGATGGAAACCGTTGTGTATGGCCAGAAAATGTGGGCATTTTGGCCATAGAAGTGTATTTTCCTACGTCTTACGTGAACCAGGAGAAACTTGAAGAGTATGATCGTGTCAGTAAGGGCAAGTACACTGTTGGACTTGGACAGATCGGCATGGGATTTTGTGGAGATCGAGAGGATACGAATTCCTTAAGTTTAACGGTCGTACAAAACTTAATGGAAAAGAACTCCATTGATCCAAATCAAATTGGCAGATTAGAAGTGGGCACTGAATCCATACTAGATAAATCAAAGTCAGTAAAAACAGTTCTGATGCAATTGTTTGAACAAAGTGGAAATTTTAATATAGAAGGGGTGGATACAATCAACGCTTGTTTTGGAGGAACACAAGCATTATTTAATTCTGTAGCTTGGGTTGAAAGCAGTGCTTGGGATGGTAAGATAATAACTGTAAACTGTATAAGTTATGTAACTATTTAAGCATCACTGAAACTATTTACTATAATATACTTACTATTAATTTATAACTATTTAATCATTTACATATAAAGCCCCCTTTAGATGCACCCAGTTGCCCAACAATGTTGACTAGCTAACCCTGCTAAGATTATTAAGATCTTGTCCACATATTGCCATCACATTGCATCACATAACCCTTTTTAATACTTTGGTTGAGTTGCACAAGCATAAAAAATATTCATTTGCTTAAGCATTGTTTATATTCAATCCCTTTTAATGTTTATAATCCAATCCCTTTTAATGGGGTTATATTTCTCAGGATGTTTTTGCAAGTCAACACTTGAAAATTCTTCAAGAAAATTTTAAAACATTTTTGTCAATCTTTTCAGTTTATAATGCCCTTAGAGATACTTTTGACATATTTCCATTACATTCCACTTATATTCCTCAAAGTCACATTTTCAGACAATGGAAACTCTAATTAATGCACAGTGTTTCCTAATTGTAACGTCATGCAGTAAGATCAATAGTCACTTTGTAGACCCTTTAAGAGAAAACAATTCCTTCACTACCCCTCTCTAAAAATATCTATATTTGATCAATATCTAGGATCCCTATACATTTTCTATGCTATAGGAACCATTATAGGATCACCACTACTCCAGTGCTATGTTGTTTTCGCCACAAGTTTTTGCCACAAAACTGACAACCATGCCTTGAAGGGTGTACATTGTCATTACAGTGAGGAGCTCCCTGTTTTGAGGTTAATGCAGTAAACCATGGAAAAGATAACTGTCCTAAGATAAGAAGAGGTTCTTCTAAAGCTTTACATTTTTGTCCACAGGTCGTTTGGCCATCGTTGTTTGTGCTGATATTGCAGTCTATGCTGCAGGCAATGCTCGGCCGTCAGGTGGTGCAGGAGCCATAGCAATGCTGATTGGGCCTGATGCACCATTAATTATGGAAAGAGGTATGAAAATATTGTGCATAGGTTATATTAATTAAACAGTTGATTCTCATCGATGTTACATCGCCATTTAATTAAGTTTGTTGTCCAGGGGCCGAGATTGTTTCAACCATTCTAAAAATGCATGAAAATCAATAAAATTTTAGTTTTGGAAGCAACAATTATTAAACAGGATCCTCAATTTGGAAATAAGACTTTCAAAGTTATAGCAAACAACTTGAAGAATAAAACATTTGAATGGGTATTAAATCATACACCATCACTTATTACAACTACCTATAGACAAAACATGGAAAGGATTAAATAATTATATTAATATTATATATAAGTGGAATGCAAATTAATTAATATATATTAGCATGTGCTGCAGGGGCCGGTTGTATAAAAAAGAAGTTAACTTTTAATTATAGTTTGTGGCAGAATTGGCCAATCAGAATAATGTATTTTCTAGTTAACCACGATTTAACTACACTTAAAATGTAGCTCAAAGTTTTATACAACCAGCCCCTGATGTCTCCTTCTCTTAACTTTGAAAGCTAAGCTATTTACTCCGCAAATTTTAGATTGAAACTTAGCCTAAATTAGGTCCAGGTCAGGTCTCACCGGTTTAGCTAAGTACAAACAGTAATATAATAAAAAACTTGTAGTATTGTTTTTTACACTCTTCAGGGATGCGTTTTGTTCACATTGCACATGCATACGACTTTTACAAACCGGACATGAATTCAGAATATCCAGTCGTAGATGGCAAACTGTCAGTCAACTGTTTCCTTGGGGCATTGGATAAATGCTATCAGGGATATCAAGCAAAGGTGGAACAGAAGAGGCGAAGGACTGATTCGAATATGAATGATTCTGGAAGAGTGGGTTTGGAACATTTTGACTACATGGCATTTCATGTGCCTTTTTCAAGGTTATGTCAGAAATCATTGGCTAGAATGATGCTAAATGACTATTTGCAAAAAACCAAGTCAGGAGGTTTGCAAGATAAAAAATATGAAGCTCTTTCTGATTTCAGGTAAGGTGAAAGGTGCACTTTCTGCACCATCAACGTGCGATATAAGAAAAAGCAAATGATTACGAAGTTGTCTCGAAGCATGTGGAGATTTGCTTCAGTCCAAAATATAGTGGACTTTATCATTAGTTTTTATTCGACTCCCACTTGCAGGGCTAAAAGAATACCATTTTCCCTGCAATTTATTATTTCTTTTGTCCCCTCTTTACAGAGATATTAATTTGGAACAGCTTGTCAATGATCCTGTCCTAGCGAAAGAAGTCGAAAAGGCATCATTAAAATGTAGTCAAACTGCTTTTGAAGAGAAAACAGAGGCATCGTTGCTCGTATCACGAAATGTAGGTAACATGTATACGCCATCACTTTATGCTGCGTTGGCCTCTATTCTTGTCAGGTGAGTTCCATGTTGTGATGTTTGTCCATATATATGTAGGAATACGGGAAAAATTTGCGGCAGTTTTGTAAAGAAGAGATGACATAATGTGAACATTATGCTCATATATTTTGAACAATTATGATGCTTTCTATGGTGACTTCTTTTATTAATCTATGGTGATTACTTTCATTTATCAGCCCAGAGTAGCGGTAATTACGATGAATTATGATGCTTTTACAATTTTCGAATTCCTGTTAGTATGGAGACATTATAGGTGTAGCACATTTCCATACAATGGATTTTGAAAAAATTCGAAAATTATAAAAGCATCATCGTAATTACCGCTACTCCAGAGTAGCGACTCGAGAGTTTGATAAATGAAAGTCTTTCTACTCTGATTTGATAAATGAAAGATTGATAAGAGGCCCCCCCCCTTACCTTTCACTGTACCATTAAAAAACTTCGGCGAAAAGGAAGAATGGCTTTTAACCGAAATACAGCAGAGCGATGGAAGTTGCGGTGTGTTGGAAATGCCTTAGCTGAATCTAATACGCGCGCATGCGTAGGACAAGAAAGTAATAAATTTCGCGACTCGAAAAATATGAATTTCTTGTCACACTTGACACAGACATTTTTACCTGACAATCTTAATTTAATACCACACACAAACTACTAGGGTTAAATACGACTGCTTGAGGTGAAATATACTCTTTTAGAATATACTATTTTGAAATTTTACTTCTGTATTGAGTCATCGTCATTTTTCGCATCCAGTAAATAAGGATGTATACAGGGAAGTTTACTAGAATGAAATTCTATATTTCCCTACCTTCCGGGTCGTCTTATCACCTTCTTTATGGTTTTTACATCCTTGTTTTTGAATAAGAAATATAGAAAAACAATTATTGGTCTCAGGTGCAGTAGATATCGCCTTATTTCGGTGTATAAAGACTGGAAAATCTTTAGATATTAAACCTTCAAACTTTTCAAATGTCATCATTTAGTAAATCATTCTTGGAGCTTCGTGGTCATCGGATTGGAATGTTTTCATACGGCTCTGGTCTTGCTTCGGCTATGTTTTCCTTCATAGTCTCAGATAAAGAAACGCAAACTGCCCAAAAACTGTTCAAAAACCTAGCCGATATTCCCGGGAGATTGAAAGCACGAACGGAAGTTCCACCCGATGAGTTTGTCAAAATTCTGGAAATTCGTGAGAAAACGCACCACCTAAACAACTACACTCCCTGGCAAAGGGCTTCGGAAATAACAACCGGAGCATACTGTTTGCTTCATGTAGACGAGAAATATCGTCGTTCTTACGCTCGTAAGACATCGGATGGTTTCGTTGATTTTGATGGTAATTGTGTCATTGTGGAAAAACCACTTGATGAGACGACTGTACCGGCATGTCAGCTGTACTGAATCATTTTGATTATCGGCATTACAAAATTTAACCTTCGATCACCGTCGCAACTCGACTCTCTATCTGCAGTTAGTGGTGTTGTCTCTTAAAGTGGCTCAGTATCGTTTTCTTCGCTGGAAAATTTACGATCTACGGACTTTTTTTCAACTTTGTTGAAAAAAATGTTGGAATGATCAGAAACTTGATGTCTTTAGCTGGAAATATGAGTTGTTGGAAATTATATTTATTAACTGTCCTGGTTTATAGCATTTAGAGACACTGTAAATACCAACATATGTAGTTTATTTGTTTTGAACACTTGCACCTCTAAATGAATTGATGTTTTAGTCTAATAGTTTAAAAGCTCAATTACCAATTACCTAAAAAAATTATTTTATAAAAGAATTTTAGAAGAAGATTAAGAATTTAGGCTGCGTTCAGACTAAATGCCAAATTAAATCTGAACGCACCTACCAAACATATTAATTTAAACCCCAAAATGACCCTAAAACTAAAATTGAAGTTTTGACGGATATACTTATAGTTAATGCAAAATACCCCGAATGCAAAATACCACATGCAAAATACCGCAAATCTCGATAAAGTTGTGAGCCCCGCCTATACCTTTTTTTAACAATACTGCAAGTGGCAGATATTGGGAAACTGATAATAAATTTTGTGCAAACTGATTGTAAATATATAATAAACGGTTAGGATTTCAATCCTTTCAATCTACATATTCGCCAATAACGACGCCATTTTAAACTTAACTTTTGATATTCACGGTTGGTCTTGAGCGATTAAGCGTTTTGAGAAAAAGTATAAATCAGATGTGTATATATAGGCATCTGATTTTGTGGTTATAGATAACAGGCAATGTTTTTAAGATTTATGAAGATACGGAAAAGCCGAGGAGTGTGGAAATTAAGATGGAGTCGATATTGATAAATAAGTAAATTGAATGAGCATAATTATAGTTAACATTGTATTAGTTTTCAAACGTCGTTTCCAAATGATTTTAAAGGTCATTTCATCCAAATTTTCAGTTAGCAATTTTTTGAATTCCATATACAGAAACAGAGTATTGAGTAATAAAGATTTTTATTTTTATCTTCAATCTATTGTATATTTGAATCAACCTACATTGTCAAATATTTTTATTGCATATACGTACGTATTTAGAGCTTTCACTTGAAAGTGACTATTGATGGTTGGTTTCACTGGCACGTGTAGGAGGAGCAAGTGCTACACACATGATAAATCCTTATATCTAGAGAAGCTTTGTCCTAGAGCACCATTATGGCAATAACTAGAAATCCCACATTTAGATGTCAAAAAAATTATCTGCAAAATTTAAAAGTATAGTTTGCATGGTTGCGTTAACAGTGAAAAGGCTCGCATTAATTTGGTAGCCCTGTTAAAATACCTATAACGTCCCTATAATTAATGTATCTTCAATATTGACAGGATTTGGATGACTTAAAATTTATGTAAATGAAGAAGATATATAATTTATAAAACAGACAGTTTTTTAACGTTAATTTTATTATTTTAAAACGGTGAAATCCAAAATCAGTTGACTAAAAATATTGATCTCACTTGTCATTAGGCATGCAGGCTATTTTAGTTTTTTTCCACCTACGTTTTGCGAAAATTAAAAATCCCTGCACGCACCTATACATTCAATTTTTTTATCATTTACTATAGTGTTTGTTATTATATTTCTAAAATGACTAATACTTAACAGCAATGAATAACAAACTTTCGCTTGATCTAGTTTCTTGTTTTGCAGAATATTGCAGAACTTATCTGCCGTATTTTTTTTTAAGTGTATATAGCGTCACGCGGCATTGACATGTACCTAGATAGCTTTTATATAGACACCGTTTTTAGGTCGGTATGTGGCATTTCCTTTTTTATGGACCAAACATTTCTTCCCTTCTTCGATGCGACGAGTGGAGATATTCTTTTGTTGCACATCCCATTAAAAAATCACAATCCTTGAGATTGTATCAGTCCTACCGTAAAAGTGCGGAATTATCTTACATTTCTTGTGCTTCCCCATTTCTTGTGCTTTCCCAGGCGATTCTCGGCCTTGCCAGCGTATGCCTCTTTTGGTCTTAACCTCTCTCGATCATAACGTTTTAACGTCCGTAGAGTGTAAAACCCAGTTCCGTGTTCGTATCTCGTACGACATGTAGCCATTTGACTCATTCCACCGTCTCTCCTGGAGGCAATCACAGTATCCCACCTTCACTGTCCTTACGATATGTGCTATTTTCGAGCTTCATCTGAATCTTACTTCGGTATCTTTTAAACAGCTTTTACCTATATATGCAGTTGCATGTGAACGATTAACACAAGATCACAGTTTAACATGCAAATAGCCTCCTGCAAGCCTTATCCGAAACTATCCGATTACGTCATCCTTCGGGTATCGTAAGTGGCTTATTGTCCGCAGTCACATGACCATTCGTCGCATTTTCATCGTACTCGCTGGGCGGAACATTTAGTTTATGTTCTGACTCGATTTTGTTATTATTTTCCGTTTCCTCTGATAGAGCGTTCTCATTTGGGACATCCGCTGTTACCGTGACGCGAGGGGCGTTCATCGGGTATATAACCCCATTTCGCTTGTTTCTGCTGCCTGCACTAAACGAACGCATTGCACTCCCGTTGGGCAATCGCGATACGGCATCCTCGCTGTCCTTGCGGTATGCGCTATTTTCATTTGCACCGTCACCTCCTGGTTCTAATGCATTATTCCTGTCCCTGCCAGGCAGGTTGGCTGGGAAGCTTACAGAACGTGGCGGCGGACTTTCGATGATGGTACTCTTCGTACTTGTGCTTAGCAAGCTGCTCTTGTGATTATCCGGACTGTTCACGGAGAAGTTAGTTTCGTCGACATCGTGGTTAGTTTGACCCGGTAAATGTTCCCCTCCAAGACTTCGCATGCGAGTGCTGTTACGTTGTGGCACGACGCCGTTGCAGAATAACGACATTCGTTCGCGTCGTGGCCTGCAATAGGGAGGGGAATGTGTGTTATATAGTATGCTGGTGCCTGAGTTAGCGATAGTCGTACTTATAGTCATTTCTGTTTATGGTTCAATGACTGAAGTTTGAAAAAGTGATTTCTGTGCACGCAAATAAAATGATGTAAAGCGTTATGATTTGCCAAATACAAATTTGATGTTTTTGAGATAACCCGGGAGTTTTAAGTTTTGCAGTCGATGTCAAAACAGTTTCCAAACAAATAGAAAGTTCGAACTGTTATTATCCGTTGCAATTCGGGGCATGGATCAGAGCCGTGTTTAAAAAAAGTGATGCGTCGTGGTTTTTGGTCAAGGTCAAACATTGCTTTTCTCTTGCACCGAACAAAAAAAACACAATAGATAATGAAAGCGAGACGCCTTATTATCTGTTGTTAATGTGTTCGGCACACAGAGGTTGGGTGACGCTTGACCCTCGCCTTTGTTTTTCATATGAAGTTCGTTCCAAAGGTTCGTTCTTATTCGCTTTAACCTTAACGCGCTTACCTTTTTGGGCCAAGATAAACTTCAGTTGTCAGATCGTCGCTACTATTTCTCTCGTTTCCAGAGTTTTCTGGCTCTTCCTCCACCTCGTCTCGTCGTATCAAAGTGTTTGCCGCGCCAATCAGGACCTTTCTTGGTTTCTTCGGCAATTTCAATTTTGCCTGAGCATGGCGATAATAAAGAGAGAAATTTGCTCCAATAATTGAGATTGGCAGCGCGGAAATTAACATGCTCACACCTGTTATAAAAAAAGACATCGTGAAATTAGAAATGAAATTAAAAATACAAATTTCAAAATTAGTTTACTTTATCGCCATCCAGTTGGTTTAAAACTCGTTGCCGATAGTTCGTCGACGCTCAATAAGTTCAAGTTTTCTCGGTTGAGTATATGGCAATAGTGACCCAAAAGCAAAGAATCATACTCATAAGTATAGTAGACCACCAGTCGGTCAAAAATCTCTTACATGACTTTCCATGCGGTATAAAATTTTGTATTTCTTTTAATCGGATGTAATCATACGCTAATAAACCTGTTAAATCGATTATTTTTAAAGTTCCAAGACGTCTTCAACGCAGCTAAACCTTTTGTATATCAAAATGGAGCTAATCTATATAGTCGCTTCTAAATTAAATATAGACGAATGTAATAAAATAGTCTGTACATTGCATATATTAAATGGGGTAATTGCAAATGTCCGACAATGTTTGGGTAAACAAGTCTTCTACCTGTTTCATAGTATATAACTCGTTTATGGTCTACTCAACTGTTAGATTAAGGTGTATTTCACTATGAACTTTCTTTTGAATTCGTTATTAACTGAGAAAACAAGTTCCTCAGCAACAAACACATCGTGCAAGGTCTAGGACACGTAGATTTGCCAGGTTTAAATATTCGTCTCTGCGTGGATTGTTGTCAATCTTTACAAGTCGAACATAGCTTATACTTGCATTAAATGTTCGTTCTTTTCCACGTAAGCGCCATTCTCTTCCACCACGCGAAACCATCCACATATTGATTAGGTTATAATTTATTTTGAAAACTTCGCTTTCGTTTGATCGCATGCAGTCGCGACTGTGTTTATACAGACAAATAACTATGCAAACAGTATATAGCAACGCTTGATGTAGGGATGAAATTTTAAAGGCTTTGTATTTTGTTGATGGAAATTTCTCAGAAATAAAGTTAGACGTTCTGCAGACCAACGTAAGCAACTTCGAAGTATACCTAAAATTTAATGTTTTCGTAACACCACGTCCGTAGTCTTCTTAGTCGTTCAAAGTTCTGAGATGACTACCGAACAAAATGTTTGGAAATTATTGTACGCGACTGCGGAGCAATGCTCAAATTTTCTGATATGCCAAATCAGTCCAAAATGATTTGTGATTGATAAATAATGACGCTTTCGGATGATACATTTATTGGTATAATAGCATGACTTCAAAGCACATATATACATACAATCCCCCCCGTACGTTTTTCATGATGAGGTCTATGATCAAACACGCTCATGAAAAGGAACACGAGAGAACAGAACTAAGGTGCTGCTGTACTTTCCCTCTTTGTGATCATAGGTAGGAGTGGTATAACGACAGTAAATGTAAGGTTTAAGTATAGAGGTACAGTATAAACGATTAATTGTATACCTGCACATATGCTGCCAAATATTTTCCCTTGTGTTGTCATTGGTGCCATATCGCCATATCCTACAGTTGTAAGGGTTATGATGGCCCACCAGAATGCCTCCGGTATTGACTTGAACTTCGTGTTGGTCACTCCACTCTCGCAGAGATGCAAAATCCCTGCGAAAATGAGCACCGGAATCATTACCAGCAGCAGGAGGAGAAACATCTCTTTGGAACTGGCTACCAGGGTATGTTTCAAAATTTGGAATCCAAGCGACATCTTGTTGAAGAAACGAAGTAATCTAAGCATGCGCCCTAACACCAGTATCTCGCTGACAATGTTCGCACCGATTGCAATGTTTAGGTAAAATGGGATGATTGCGAGGAAGTCGATCCAATTCAAGAATTGCTTTGAGAACTCAAAGATGCTTGGACATGTGAAACATCTTATTAAGAACTCGGCCGTGAACCAAACACCGCAGACGTAGTCTATGACTGTGATAACCTTTTTCCCAACTGAATTGCCATTAACGTTTGAGTCTGTATTCGCGCAAAGCGAAATAACAGACACGACGACAAACACCAATGAAACCCACACGTAAACCTATAGGAATCACAGGAGAATTAGTCATACCAACATTGATCGAGGTTTACTAGCTTTGGGCATTATTTGTCGAGTTGTTAATGAGAAATTAGTTCAAAAACCACGGCAGTATTCAACTTATTACTTGTTGAGTATATGACATTAAAATCACGTTCCTGCATGATGATCAATGGTTGACCTCCCCCCCCCTCCTATCACGGTTGAGTAAGGTAGTCATGACCATGCGCTATAGGGGGGCTTTATCATACATGCATGAATGTTAAAGGGCACTTTCAGCGCAACACAAATCAGTCAGCGCTACATGCAACGGATGCATGAACTATCCCAATCATCGTGAGACGAATTCTTAGTGAAAATACAATTTAAAAGGTAATATGCCAATACTCTTATGTAGCTACAAGGCGTATACATTTTCGCTGTCTTGCATATGCTTGTTTCGAATTTGTATGAAAGCGATTGTTATACACTCTCTCCTATTCCGTCTATTATAAATTGCATCAGTCCCAAAACAAAATTCTATAATTAAGCAGCAGCTGTAAACACAATATGCAATCCTTGTTCCCCCCGTCATCATGTGCTCTAAGTGATATATAATTTGTCCTTCCAACCCTATTTTTTTTTATTTGTATGAATAAATGAGCCCTGCATGGCAAATACTCAATTTGGAATATCATTCATGGGAATGATTAAAAACTGGATCATTACAAAAACTCTACAACCAGATGTCTTCATCGAAAGAGAATCGTAATTAATGAGAAAACCACAAAAATTGTTTCACTGCACTGTTTAGAACGTCCAAGTGTTAGCTTATGAACGAAAATTTCGGTATTTTATTTGCGAAACTTCGATAAGAATTGACTGAAAGTATAGCCAAGTTCCACTAAAATCACAAGGGGATCGCCAAACACGATAAGATTGTTGCGTATATATGATACATGAGCGGTAGGAAATCGTGGCCAAGTTTTTTACCAGTCGAAATTTTTGTAGTTTAAGAGAGGAAAACTCGCTTAAACGTTGGTGTCTGAGCCATTGTGTTCCCCTGTAGTCTTATAAGTTCTTTCATATTCCTCTGAGATACACTAGTGGTTGAGTCTTGAGAGATTGCTGCAAGCATGCATGCAATCGGCGAAATATAATGATTATGAAAAGTTATAGACCTCTGTTTCATCTCTTCTTGGCTCACATTATAGCTATATACCACAATAAAATATGTGTTAATATATCTTTCATCTTATACATAGCTATATTTTGAATCTAATTCAAGGATACTATATAAACAATATAGCAATATATTTCCTATATCAACCATAATTGTCGTGCGTGCATGAATGTCAGTTTTAAAACTTCCTAACGAAAATATGTTTTAGCTCAGCATGCGCATGCACAAGATATTACTTTCCTACTAGTCTTAGGCACGATTTAGGGCAATCAGTATACATATACAATACTATAAATTTTTTATTCATTTTTTTCCTTATCATCCACGCGAACATCCCACGAAATTTTAGATTGATACCGATTCAGATTCATATCGAAGTTACAGGCCTATTTAAACTTAGATTACTCATGCATGCAATCCACATGCTGTATATACGTCGTAGGTATATTGTTGCTATATATTTTGTTATCTCTTGGAAACACGTATACAAACAGTGCGTATACAAGCATCGAATTGATTATGCATGCATGCATGCATTTGTAAAAGCGTCTTGCAAGTGAACACTGAGGGGCAGCTGGTCGTTTTAAATTTGACATTAGAAAGTAACATGATTGGACGGGGCAGGGCACAGGAACTTAATTGCGCTTTATTGCGATTGAATATTTTGGATACCCGTATCCATATAGAGTATCGATATGGTTCGTTATTGGAAGATCCGCACTGATCCTATCATGCATGCAGCGACTCAATTGAATGCAACGTTTCACAATGGATAACTACTCAGTCTACTCTAACATGGCTTCGAGAAAAACATCTGCCGTGCATCCTTCTCTGCATGCCCAGTACCTGCTTCTTTACAAAGAAAATATTCACACGGGGGTCTCCTTGCCTGTTCCTGTGCGTATAAACCGCATGTGTTTTTTAGCTTTAAGATTCGATAACGAACATGAAATGTACAGGATACGAATAAACACGGGTTTACATTAAACTTATGTTATCGTGTGTGCATTTCAAATTAAGCAACAAGTCGCAACATTGTTTCAAAGACCGAAGGTTAAATGTCATTTGGAATTTAAGGATCTAGCGCTTGTGAAACGGGTTTAGGAAGTTTTCGTTTCAATGCGGCGGAGTAATAAACCAACCCTGGCGTTTAATTTGGAAATATATTTCGTTCTCAAACAAAATGAGTTGTTTCGAGGATCGAGGAACGTGGGAAATTTTGGGGCAATTTTGTATACTTAGTAAAATAATGCTGATGTTTTGGCTCAAAAAAATGAGCTTCAACATATATGGATATGACAAATGAAATGTTTTTAAGAATCGACGTTATATGATAATACATGCATTAGATAGAATATTAATAAAAAAAATCGATACGAATGAGGTCAATCAGATATTCGTATTAGCAGCATATAAACGCTTATCAGCACTAGGATAAAAGGAAGATCGATATTGCTGTGTAGTTACGTATTACACATCCCGTTGCGTCAATGCATAGGGAATGACATGGCTAAATCGTTTCTCCATGTAAAATGTTATCAGTGACATTTGAGGGCATGGGCGGTTCACAAATGCTAGCCTGAGCCGGAGCGACCTGCATGTTCACCGACAATCAACGGTTCTAACATTGTTAACGTTGGTCCTCCACAACTGGATCGAATTCAATTCAATTCGATTCTATATATGCACTCAAGGCCCTGTTTACATGGAACGAATTGTCCCGGCTAAGCGAGGTAAAAAGCGCATCACATCAAAGGCTTAACCTGATTAGTCTTTCATTATATACAGTTTTCACCTCGCTCAGCCGGGATAACTCGCTCCATGTAAACGGGCCCTGAGAAAGTGACGATCAATGGCATCTTCCAAACTCATGAACCTCATAAACTTCATGCTTTTGTTCGGCCGCACTTTGTTTGCGAAATCGCCCAAAACACAAATCTAAAAATACGAAAAATCTAGTCGAATTTCAGAATTTGCTTCTGAAAAGTGGCATGATCGACAAAACGACTTAGAGCTAAATATACATGCAGGTATTAAGTTAAAATCTCTTGTATATAATAAATAAGTGCCTATAAAAGCGTGTTGCGAGTTGTAAAATTTTGTTCTCAAATGTATGATGGAAAGTTTAAAGAGATGCATAAAAATTAAAGTAAACTACATCGAACTGCCCGTTGCTTTGGAAGGCCGTGCTGTCTGGATGCGCCGTATCACTACAAAGATTCTCCCACCTACAAAAATATTGATTTCCGGCTGACTGAGATGTGTTTAAATGGCAAATTTCAGGCTGCGTATATGGATTCTTATCAACCCATTACATGCTTTTATGCGCGTGAGGTGAGATTCCCATTGTATGTTATTAACTCGTTTTCATATCAAGCAATTTGTGAAAAAAATGCTATATCATGCTTCCCACGCTCCTGGACACGTCCCCTCGATCCACGAGTTTTGCTATTGTAGACCTGACGCATATGAAATGAATTGATTGCTCCGTCAAAGTGAAGACTTGCAACATGCATGCAAACATCATTGTTTGATACTGTCATCGATTCACTTTCGTCGATTCGCTTTCGTCTATACTTCACCTATCTCCCTCGATGTTTTCAGAGCATCTCCTTCGCGGCTTTACGCGTTCGTTCGAGCTCTACGCCAGACATTGCTATGATATCGTATAATGACATTCAGTCAAGGCCACGACATTTAATTCAAGCACTTCTGCTCTCACTCAAGTGTTGTACACTATTGTCGTTTAATCAAACCTTAGTTATCAAAAACGCCATCGGTCATAAATGATTTAACGTTTGCCTAGCCGATGGCCGAAATGTGTTTGGTGACAAAGGAGCAATTTCGCATGCAGAATCCGCTGTATTTGAAATTTTACAATCGTGTAAAACCCCGTGTAACACTGTACGTTAACTATGCTTCGATATATGAAGTTGCAGGAGAGCATAAGTTGTTTGTCTTATTTTTTCAATTTTGGGCTTCAGCTCATTCTAGCACTATTATTTCTTCAAACTTAAAGCATACACTGGCAATTAAGTAAAAATACATCTGGTTTGTTACCAGAGATGTAGAATTGTTACATTATAGAAAAATTGTCAGCGTATAATTTATATATTATATATAAGGCACTCGCGCTAAAACACTTGCTTACCTTGGATAGCTTTGATGCTGTGTGGTCTTCAAAAACGGTCCATATCCTTGATCTCCATCTTTGCCATGCTGGTGTATTACTGCTACGATGTTGCTCCGTCGTCTCACCGTTTTTCCATTCCTCCGGCTCCGTTTCGGAGTCGGAATCGTCAAAATCCGGCCCGTTGAAAACCCTCAAATTCTCCTGCGCTTCCCGGTGCAAAGTGTAAGTGGACCAACAACAGGGCTCCATTTGTTTTTCATCTATGCCCCAAAAATTCAGCTCTTCTTCAAAGAGCGGCCCACATACGTCCGACGGGCAATGTAGTTTGCCCGTGCGATAGAAGTTCATAATCTGTTGAAAAACGCCCGGATGACGGTCGAAAAAGTACTCGTTTTTCTCCGGGTCGTAATCCGAAAAATTGTCCCGCGTCGTAATCCACGCCAGCCGTGTGTCAGGGAAGTTTCTTAACGTACTTTTGAATGTCTCGTGCCGTATCCCTCCGACGTTTAAAATTATACGGTCCTTGTTACGAAGAGCTTTCATATCCGAATCCATATCAGACATTTGAAGCGACACGGCCATCTCCGCTCCCTTTCAGACCGACAAAATTGCTTTTTTACGATGTTTCAACCTACAAGGACAGCGTGTCTTGTAGCGAAAGTCATAAAACGCGACAGACAAGCTCTCAAATTAAATACACGCAGCTTATACACACATGTACTTGTAACCCTCGCATCTGCATGTGTACTAACCGTGCTCTTTGCTTCTATGATATCAATCCTGTGCGGCAAACCGTGACACGCTTTTCGTGGAAATTCAACACCAGCGAGGCCACGAAATTTTGTGTTGTTCTTTATCGTGAGTATAAACGTCAATCTTCAGCGAAGCGAGATTCGCTAATATATACGCTCAGTTTTCCTTGTTGCTAGGCTGTCGTTATTTGACACTAAATTCACGTACGTAGTCACTCAAGTAATGAATAATCGATCCACCTGTTTTTGACTACACAGAACGGCAATTTCGAATCGTCCCATCTCATTGGTCCGCGATGATTTTATGCAATTTCCATGCCATTATGCATATGAGGGAAGAAATCGTATTCAATATATCGGTGTGGATGACGAATATCACAAAATATCGAGAAGATTAGAAAATATATTCAAAGCATTGCTGGTTGTTATTTTTAAATGTAAGTAGACTACGACTGGACATGCGATAAAGTTTGGACAAAATATTTATATATTTCACATTTCGCGTCGACCCATAATGCATGCCGTTTATATGCAACGCCCCTCCTTCGACCCTTGCGTTTGGAGGTTTCCATTTTTCCTGCGAGAGTGTCCTAAGATTGCCAACAATTTCATTGCGCAGTGCATCAATCAGTTTTACGTCACGGTTTTATATATTTTCGTTGAAATTTTGCATATGCAGACAAGCCTATATCTCGCATGCGTATTTGCAACCTATAGTCCTATACTTATATCTGAAGCTCCCAAATGTTCACAGACATGCTTTATTTAGTTCAGTGCATGCGAAACTGTCAAGAACTATATGTGTAATTGGAGCTCCAAACTTAGCTTCCTTGTGCGAAACTGCGAATTAGGCTATCTTCAATATCTTGTATCTTGACACTTTTATGCTCATCATTCATGAATTAAACCTTTCACTAATGTAACTAGTTGTCGCAAGGAATGACCTTGTTACCTTCTTTTTTCCCCGAGTCACACGGTTGAAACCCGGTTTGTTGTACATTTCGACTCTATATACGGCGTCCACGGTGGTTTGCAGTGATGTGTAATTGCTGTCGATGTAGATTTTAGTCGAAGATTGTGGACCGCAAAGATCCTGCACGAGATTTCTTAATATTCGGGGCATATAAGGTGAAAATTGATAATGAACTCCAAATTAAGACAAAAAAAGGTTGAGGGTGGCTAGTAAGAATCGAAGGACTGAAATAAGCTTTGCGAATTCAATTTGATACTAAAACATTTCAATTGTATGGTAATTTTTCTTTCATCAACCGTGCATACAGTAATTGTTGGTAAACTACGGTAGCGCAGATAGCGCAGACTGCGAACCATATATGAACCGGCCTTGCATGCAAAGGTTACAATCCAATGCAGACAGATTCATCAGCATTTTATAACGGGGAGAAGCGCACGTATATCATTCGGTCCAAAAACGTCTTCATAATATTCTTATTCTCAAAGGGGGAAATTCAATACCCTCGTGATATGCAAGCGTAAATACTGTATGTCCATGCAATTGTTGAAAGCACTGGACTGCGAGGGGATGTACCGTGCATGGATATACCGATAACGTAGGGAAAAGGTCTTTTGTCGCGACAATCAGGAATCTGCCTCTTATACGCCGTTGAAATGATAAATATTGGCCTTTTGTGGAGGGTGTTAGATAATGCTAATGACCAGTCATTACTTTTAAATTGTTAATATGTAATTATTGCTATCCTAATTGACGGCATTTTTAATCGAGCTATACCTGCTATTGGGCTGCTGGTTGTTCATCTCACATCAAATGTAAATACTTGACGAGTATGTTTGGGGCGAGAAAAGAATGACTTGCCCTTTTTCCGAAGTTTAAAAACTCAATATAGTACTTGCGAGAATTTGAAAGACTCCCTGTAATTGGAAGACACTTTCTTTTTAGTCCAGAGTTCAGAATTAGCCCCGAGTTCTCAATTTGGGGTGCGTCATGCAGCTCTGGCAAAAAGGACCAAAATTTAAATTGCATTTTAATAATAACGAAAGTGAGGATACAATCTCATATCAGCAGTTACAAATGACGTAGGAATCATTTCTCATCAATCAGTGACGGGAAAATTAAATATTCTAACAAAGTTGCTGCTGTTGCATGATTTTCGATATTCCACAATTTTATGCTCTACAAGCGCTGATCACTTTATGCTCTACAAGCGCTGATCCCTGGGCAGCCAATTCGGCCTTGGAACAACAATTTGACTGTGCGAATTAATGAACCGTGTAGCGGGTGTTACTTTGCTAAAATTCATATAGGATGGAACCCCGCTAATTTTAATCTCGGTCACCGTTTAAATATAAACCTATTTTCACTAGATTCCCATCACTGTAGCACGTACGCGCTATTATAAAACGGTCTATTATATTTTCTTAGCTGTCCGACCCTGACAGGGGTGCAGAATAGCAATGTCATCATATATATTTGTATTATTTCAACGCAATTTTACAACGATGATTGGTATACTGCTATAACCAAGATATTTGCATGCATAAAGTGTCAATATGTTGAATATTTTACTGCATGTTCCTTGCATGTTCTTCCACGAATACGAGAGAGAGGTTGCTAATAATAGATGGGATTCTTACAAGATGAAGAGCCCCCAAGTCGAAGTTTCTTCAAATGCTTATGGGTTGAGTTAACGTTTTGATTGTTAACTGTTGGTTCTTGACTAATCGTATTGTATCATATAAAAACTAGACTACAATAATGTGGTATTGCAGACGTGTCACGAAATCTTATGATTTATGTGATGCCTCAAACATGCATCGCTGCAACTTCATTACGTTAAGCACACAACGTTTTACTTCAATAACTAATCAAATATCTCCCTATATGGACTATTATGTCTCTAGTCGAAGGCTGTTTTCCATCTTCATTTCTAACCTACCAAAAATTGGCGTAGTTCTCGTTTCCCAAGTACCTCCGAATGGATGTCCCTGCTGAACAAACATCATTTAGACCATGCTGTGTTAATTAAGAAATTAATATAAGAGGAATATTATATTCATATTTGGGCATGCCCCGCATATAATTGGATGCATGTTTACCTTTTTTTCGTACGAACATCATCTTCGTATCAGTTTCGTGTTTAAACTTCTGCAGTCATAGCTGTGTTTCGAGTACCGAATGCAGTCGGTATGCTATGGATACATCGCAATTTGTTATTAAAAGCTATAGAAATCATTAAGATGTACAAGCATTGTGTACATAACGCCGTCAGCTGTTCGATTAATGTAAACACTCCGGTAGATAGCGTTGACATAAAGTAATTGGTGTAATCTCGTTTTCATACTGTGAACGGTCGACCCTTTCTGTGCTGCAGGAGCTTCCGACTGCTGACAGTGAACTAATTTAAACATATATTAAAACGACTTGGGATGTTCCGTAAACATGCTGTGTTTATGTATACCTTTATCCAGGCAGGTTTTGGCTAATTACACACATTGAAGTAGCTTAGGTAGCGATTTATCTTCAAAATTTTAACATTAATGTCGTGTTCATTTACAAGTGATGGAACATCATTCGTTGATTGGTATGGCAACACGCACTAAGTCCTCACGCAATGAATTTTAATTGCGCAGTAATTACTGCAGGGTAAAGTGGGTGATGATAGATCATCTTTAAGTTTATGAAGATAACCTTTTTACTACATGCTGAAATAGCTATTTGTACATCCATGTAGACCACGGCTATGATGTAATGATTTCCTGATCACCCAATTCTAATAAGAGTTTGTTTTGTTTCCATTCAGGGAGATTTTTCACGCGATTCAAGAAACATGGAAGTTTCTTTTGTCTTATCAATTCTCGGCCAGAACTAATGGCATCACACAAAAAAAACTTACCTGCACTTTACTATCCATCCTGCTCATTAAAAGGAGAACGCCCATTTCCATTCAGGGGAATTTCCCTTGGAGAGAAAGGTTTTAGACCTTTTCTGTGGCTGTTACTCACAGACAAAGGAAACATTTCCATCCGTTCCTCTCCTGCAAAAAATCTTATTTTACATGGAACCAGTTTTGGGAAAAATCTTACTGAATAGAAAAGAGTCTTATCACGAGTGGAATCAGCCTTGAACGATCGAGAAACCTACATTGTACTACTTTTTGGGTTCCCTCGAAAACTGTACTACACTTCGAGAGAATGAGTATTTGAAAGTTAAAAAATGATACATCTTGGAGAGAAAGAGTGAAGTTATCTTCCATTTCAGAACCATCCTGAAACACATAACTTTTGTTATTTATGGCGAATTCATGATGATAATATTTACAAATAAAATAATTAAAGTAATTTCTTTACAGTTAATATGGGACTCTGCAGCTCACCTTCAAAGACAGGGAAGCTTAGCTACCCTCACATACAATCGAAGGGAGGATTGCTATTTTAGTCAAAATCAAGTGATTTGCCAGTAAAGTCCAGCAAATAACGCAAATATACATTCGTTCGAAGCTATAGGCATGGAGACCGAGTTTGTTCTCTGCATTTGCATTTGCATTAGCATAAATTTATAAGTTACAGCGGTGTTTTTTCTCGCAGCACGATAGTTTTTTTAACTAAATCGAAATAACCCTCGTCGTACAATTGTTTATCAGGAACGGGGCTTGTGTCTTTGTCTTGACTTGGGTGAGTATCGTGTTTTCTGTCCTTACCCATCGCGAGACACTTTCTCATATTCATCTCCTCGGAATTAGCAGACCCCGATGAACGTTCAAAACCACTGTCCTCGGGGCTCGACGAAAGACTGGGTATGTTGTTAAAGTTGATAATCGTTGGAAGGCTTTCGACGTCGATGTTGAACTTTTGGCGATTTCCAGGAATCTTCATCTGTGCACGTGCGAGGTTATAATAAAGGACAAAGGCACTCCCTGCGATCGACGCAGACATTGATACAAACAGCACACCGCAAAGCGCACAGAATATGCCGAATATCTTTCCTGGTATAGATGTCGGTGATAGATCGCCATAGCCGACGGTGGTAATTGTGATGATACCCCACCAGAGCGAGGCTGGAATGCTTGTGTACTTCGGCTTGGACGACGCATCACCATGGTTGCTTTCTGTGTAGTACAACACGCTGGAGCAGATGAGCAGTGGAATGATTAAGACAAAGAGCAGTACCAAGAACAGATTCGAGCTTGCCTTAAATGTCTTCCCGATTATTTGCAAGTCGTAGAGAAGTTTTATGAAGCGAAAGATACGGAAGATTCGGAAGATCGTAAGAACATCTACGACGAAACTGCTGGCATTCAGGATGATAAAATAGGCTGGAATAATGGAAATCAGGTCAATCCAGTTTCGATAGTTGGTCAGAAACGACTTCAGATGTGGACAAAAAGCCAATCTCAGGATGAATTCACACGAGAACCAAACGGTACAGATTCCCTCAGTGACAAGTAGATAGAGCTTTGGACTACCTGGACCGTCGATCTCCTCTAAGGAAGAATTAAAATAGTTATTCCTCGAGTCGCATATGTGCTGAAAGCCTATATCGTATAATATGTTCTTACTATCAACCATATAGAGCAAATGGTATGATTGTTTGTATATTAAAGATACATAGAAATTGTTTGTATAACATACATAGAAACCCAGGAGGAAAAGCAGCGTAATAATAAACACAGCTAAAGTTAAATAAGAAAATTACCAAACGAAATCATAAACAGCAAATAACAAAAGAATAGCAAGGAAATTACCTTGAAATGTAGCAATACTCCATAAAGTAGCGGTGCATATTGAGATGATAACAAATATCAAAGAGATCCATGCATAGATCTGCAAGAAGCGAAGTGCGGTCAGTGATTGGTATTAACCATATATATATAAACTTCAGCGCGTAGCTATACATGCGTATATAGTAGTGCATGAGTCTTGTTTTCCGGGACAACAGCGGGACATGCTCGCTAAGTATGCGCAGGAGTCTAGGTGTAAACGTGTGTCTAAGGTTTTAAAAGTTATTAATACTCCGTCCAGCATACGAAAACTCAAACTATAGGACGATAATTTCCGCAGATTGTTTGTTATACGAGGGAGCAACACAGTACGAAAAATAGTTTTAACAGAGCTAGGAGAGGGGGAGATTTCATGAGCTTTAAAGATGTATAGCTATCTTTTTCCTATAGTAAAACCAATATTATTATTATTATTATAATTCTTCTTGACGATATCAATATAAAATTTGAATATGCACTGCTTTTGTCGTATTTATATACGGTGCATATGTAATATACCGGTATAAAAATATGTTCAATATTTGGCCGATAAATAATAATAAGCTACCTTGGCAATTGTGGTAGAATAAGGTTCCTCTAGGACTTCCCATATAATGGGCTTGTATGTATCCCAGAAGTTATCAGGCTCATTCCTATGTGAATCCACTCTCTCCTCGCCCACTCTCTCGCCATGCTCGGATTTAATGTATTGTGGTTGAAAATCGAGTGCTTTAAGATTTTTTTGAGCTTCACGATGACTTGTGTAGTTCGACCAACAGCAAGATTCCATCTGCTGTTCGTGGATGCCCCAGAAGGTCAACTCGTCCTGAAAACACGGTCCGCACATTCCCCGCGGACAATGCAGTTTCCCCGTCTGAAAGTAGTTAAGGATCTGCGTGAAGACCATAGGATGACGATCGAAGAACAGCTCTCCCGTGTCCGGATCATAATCCAACTTTTCCTTGTTTTTCGTGATCCAAGCAAGCGGCATGTCGGGTTGATTCTGTAAGGTGCTCTGATACGGCTCAAACCGTTTTCCGCCTATGTTTAAAATAATTCGATCCTTCTTAGCTTCGTTCGTGCTTTCTGATTGCCGAGACATCTCCAAATGGTTCTCATTTAATTCCCTCGATGTTTTTGGAACAGGAGTACGAGTTTAAAAGCAATAGAAATTCGTTGATACGAATGTTATTCTGTAACACGATGTATATATATTTAACTATATAGATGTTGTCATCCGGGTTCCAATTTGTGAAACAGCTGCACCGCTCATAATTATTCAATATGCTTTCATTTGAGAATGTCGTTGAATTTTCTCTCATATATTCATGTTGCTGTGGTAACCTTCAGATTATGATTTGGAGTCATAATTTTTAGTTGCATTTAAATGAGAAGAGCTTATCAATTATTGATAAGGAAAGCCTTGGTCCAGTATATCTCTTAAGGCGGATTTCCACTTACAGCGAAATCGTTCGCTAGCGCAATATTTTTCTTTGAATTCGGAACAGTCAAGTCGAACTAATTTATTTATGCTGTTAAAATTCAAAAGAACTGAAATACGCAAATATTTCGCTGGCGAACGATTTCGCTGTAAGTGGAAATCCGCCTTTATAACTGCAATCACTCGAAGCTGACATATCAGTTGCATTAATTTTTTGAGATTCTAAGGGCTTTCCATGACGACGTCTTGTGTATATTTTTAACCCGTATTCGCAGTTAAACTAGCTTTCAGAATTAGCAAAACAAGGCCGTAAAGGGGCACAAAGGTTTAATAGACCCTTCCAAGGTTAGAGACACAATCTTGCAGTGGGTGCAAAGACAATACAAAATTCACTGATGCCCGCCTCATGGCAGAATAATTAACACTCATGCATGTTGCCATTGAATTTTCTATATTGTATTAATTTGCGCCCCCTACAAGATGGTGTCTCTATCCTTGGAAGGGTCTATTGAGCGGTTCGTGAAAAACTATTTGGCAATTTCGACCTGGGTACACTCCCAGGTTTCACTGATCGTGGACTATAAATTAAAAAAAAATGCTAGAAATTTTGAACATTTTGGATCTGCAATCTTGAAACAGCGCCTGTTTTAATCATCCCAAAATAATGATGAATTAGTAATCCCTAAGGAAGGCTGAGCTCACTTTTGCTTGCGAGAGTTGTTGCCTCTGTTTGAGAGCCTTCATCCGCAATCAACCGGAACCAATCGTTCAAAGACAAAGGAATTCTCGTGGAGCTGTCCCGTCTAAATTTTACCAACAACTATACCAACAGTTGTAGCATCGATTTAAAAAATCAGCTAACTTTAGACCTTGCAGAAACTACTTTTCAATGGAGTTTAAACACTTTAGTTAGTGAATATGCAGCATTTTTATGTTAGCAATGGCGATATAAAGGAGAGGATTTCGCTGGCTATATTCTCCGTACAACGGGCTGTTAGGTTTGTTGCATATGTGATATTGTTTGCTGCTTTGATAAATTTTGCTGCATGTGCGATATTTAACGTGTGCGGTGACTACAATATAAACGACGAGCTATAAGGAATATAAATTGTTGTTGTTAGGTAACTTTGATTCCTCGTCTAGAATATGCAGAATAAGAACTATGGCCGAGAAAGTATGTTTTGCGGTTCATTGATGGGATAGTTAATTATATAGTTATGAAAGTTTAATGTCTGTATATATAATGGCTACAATTTGTATTCCTCGTTATACATCCACCATGTTTTGCTGTTTTTACAATGGTCCGCCGAAAAAAACTGCATCAGTGCATGTCATGCATATAGTTCATTCATGAACGTTAAAATGGCCAGTATGCTGTCGAACAAACATGCATACATTACATCAATACACCGATATAAGGATGTAGATTCGATATAAAACCTGGTCCTTCAGTCCTGGTGCATATTACTGGGGGAGGGGTGTGAATATTCCTTTGAATACTGATCTATATAGCTCAGTTACCATACTCGTATGCAACCATATGTCTTCGTTGATGTATAGGATTTGTTTTTAAAGGGTGCCAAAAAATTTCCTGATGAAAAATTCGTTCAGTCTAGGGCATATTATACTACGACCTCAACCCAGAGCAATTGCCTCAAATCCTCAATTTTACACTTTATTAAAAAAAATAACATTGATATAATATTGACAATATTTACCAGAACAATTTCCCTATGCCATGCCATAGTGTCACCTTCTAATAAGGACACAATATAGACATTTTTTTAAATAAATAAATAAACATATTTCAGCATTCTCATGCAAACTCAAATATCAAATCTCTGTAAACTTCTCGCTGTTGGATGCGTTTGCTCTCAGCTTGTATCCATGTTGAGGGCTATAATATCAGTCTACGAGCCATTATACCTGAAATTTGTGGATTACCTTTTGTGAATTAACCAAACGTAATCATGTCTCAGTATCAAGAGCCATATAAGTGACAAACAGTTACTGATTAGACACCAGAGGCAGAGGGCATCGACCCTTTTGCAATTTCTTCGCAGCAATAACTGTATCTTAAAAGTATTGTCTTGAGTCTTGAGACGTTTAAGAAGACCAGCGCCTATTATGGCCGGCTTAAGATACATTTGAGGTAAACTACTCTCTACTCTACTTTCAGCCACGGTGAAGTACCGTGCATAATGATAGTTTCCCTTTCTTATACATTGCATATGTTAATTGTGGCACTTCTTCTCCTGCCAAACCTTGGAAACCCAGGACCATTTTTTTCTCCACTGTTCGTTTTGGTATACCATGGTGAAAGTTTGTTATAATCCAAGGGTCTCGGGGTATCGCTGAACTCGGGCGTTTGAGCACGTCTTCCGGAGCGTTCAACATCAGCACTTTGCCTTCCATCGCTATCCTTTGCCCGGTTGATATTTTGCATGCTTCTTGTTTGGTTTTTGTGCAGTACAGGAGGACCTTGCAGTAATGGCTGTATCTCAGGACAGGATGAGTCACTCCTGTCTTCGGTATCATTGGAGCGTTGTATTTCAGAGCCAGTTTTCACTTCAACAACAGTAGGTTGCTCTTCACCGGATTTCATGACGTCACTTTCAGACGTTTGTGACTGGTAAACATCTGACTTCGGCGTCAAAGATCTGTTCGTATAGAGCAAATCGTTGCCCGGATCATTTTCCACGTTACGTTTACCTTGCCCTAGATCGCCAAAACCCTCAATTCTTCCGTTGTCTGAGCCCGTTGTGTAGGCACGCTTTCGTAAGGAGTCGCCCGACTTCGATCTTGACCGCCTTTTGCCACTATTGCTTCGGCGAAGAGAGGGCGAGTTAACAAGAGAAACACCAGATATCGCCATTCGTCTCTGCATTGGCGCTGCAATGTTAAGCATGATGTCACCCATGGCTTTGAGGCCTTTTTCAAGACCCATTTCAGGGCTTCCACAAGAAAACACCCCTCCATGCTTACTCTCCAAGCTGCGGGAGCTGTGGGTACTTTCGTATTTGTATTTATTTTGGTACCAAGGTGGTCTCGCATCTGGTGTCATTTTTCGCCGCAGTTCTATGGTTTCCACCTCAACTTGCACGTCTTTGGCGCTTGCTGCTCGGTTCAGCAAACACTTGCTGCCAGGTTTGCACTTTGCTTCAGAGGCGCTATCGCATGCGGAGTCGGAATCGGTGCCGGAGGACGACGCCAACTCGGGCTCCACCGTCGACATCAATGCACTTGCAGCGCCAACTAAAACCGGTTGCTTTCTCTTACGCGGAAGCTTGAGCTGAGCTTGTGCGTGGGAGTAAAATAGGGAAAAATTACTGCCGATGACCGATACAGGCAGCGCAACGATTAGTACACCGGAACACGCACACATTGTTCCTGAAAAAGATATTGAACGAAAATATCACATAAAAGACATGGTTCTAAGGTCACTTTCTTGAATCCCATAGTAGAGATGTTTCGAAGTGGGGCGGTGTTTATCTGCGTCTGACCTCGCGTTATCTGCGTCTGACCTCGATTTCAACATTTTTCAAAGACTAAACGGTCTAAACCGCTTACCTGCGGCCTGTGGGGCATGTAATTTCGTGTTTCCACATTTCTGTGAGTTAACTATTGCTCCTTTTATAACGAGGCTCTGTTCAATGCTGTGAACCAGATTACAGAAAGACGGAGCGCGGGAAAGTAAGAGAGAGTAAGGAGCAGCTATCGTATAGCCATCTAGAAAACGATACTTACCAATGAATCGTCCCAATGCTGTTCTTGGATACATATCACCATAACCTACAGTTGTCATGGTAATGACTGCCCACCAGAATGAATCTGGAATGCTTTGGAAACGTGGATCACCATCAAATTCCTGCAATGCAATTGGCAAAATAGGCATTCAGGTAGAGCAACGACGAAATTTATTTGATATACGCCTAAAACTTGTCTAAATGGTGTCCTTTGCTATCCATATGCAGTTGACTGCTATTGGTGTCTTTTCACCACGTGCTTTACACTCATACAGAACACGCGTTTATCAGAGTAATTTTCTTTATAAGGCGATTGATAAACGGATTTTCTCTCCCTTTATGGCCGAACGACGTTCCTACGCGGTAAGACCAGTCAAGAGCTATTGCGAAACTCTCTCGGGCATTATGTAAGAAAAATATTGCCATGACAATGCGACGGCACATTACCTTCTCTGTGTAGAATAAGAGACTTGAGAAGATAACCATTGGAATGAGCAGTATGAGTACCAGCAACAGCAGTTCTCGGGCACTGGCTCTCAGTGTGTGTCCTATCACTTGCATACCGCTCATAAAGCGAAAAAAACGGAACAGCCTGAATATTCGAAAGAGGCGAACGACCAGGACCACGTTGAGGTAATTAACCGTCCAAATCATGTTCGTGTAGAAAGGTAAAACGGACATGATGTCACACCACGTCAATGCGCTACGAAAGAACGCGCCCAGGTCAGGACAGGACGACACACGAGCGAGGAAGTCCAACGTGAAGACTGCGCAGTAAACGTAGTCAAGGATTTGGAATGTTCTTTTGTATGGGTCCAATGCTGGAATAGACTCCAGGCAAAATGTCACAACGGATGTGATGATGACCACAAGGGACACCAAGGCAAGTATCTGCAAAGAGAAGAAACGTTATGGTCAATTCAACGACTTGTTGTAATCACAACTTTAACCCGTTGTCATGAATGAAAAACCACCATTGGTCGTAGTGCGCAGAGAAAACCAGTGAATTTTTCATCTATTTAACCGAACTCTGATCTGGAAATTGCGCTATTCTTTGACCAGATTATTTTTTATGGCCACCATGCATGCATGTCGGTCTCAATCAGCCATAGCACTGATAGCAGTGTATAGCTTGGCAACTTGTAATTTCAATTATAATTTTAGTGCTAGTGTTCACTGACCACTCTCTTTCGGTCAGACTTATTATGAAGCCGTTCAGGAATCGTCCTGGGGGAAGAGGCTGGCTCGTTTCAGCCAAGTCAATGTGTAACGAGGTCAATCCGGGCGTTCAGTATTAATTTTTTGATGCACAAAGTCCCTGTGGCCAATTTTAATGTGCTGATTAGTTGTTTTTTAATCTTGAATAGTATTGGATCGCTGCAATAAGTATATATAATGGTTCAATTTTCTTATACTTGAATTATGTTTGAACGAAAAAGACGACTCTGGTTGGAAAAAGGCAGGCAAAAATGCGATGCACATGCGGTAAATCAGTTAATCACTCACGAACTCTAAAATAGTCTTGGCTTGGTATTCTTGCATTACGGTCGAAATAAGTGCATGGCGCATAATAATTTTGTGACTAAAATTTGTCACAAAATTATCGAATGCACAACCATTCAATATTCGTCCAACAATCGTATTTTCAAAGCTATACATCTGCTACGCAGAAAATCTCTGCTCGTAACCTCGTTTGTGTGCGAGCGCATCGAATAATCATAGCTATCTCGATCGGTATCTTCCCATCTCTGGAATAACTGTTTAATTAATTGGAAAGAATTCATGTCAATTGCGGCGAGTTGCCCTATTCTCTCGTCTCATTCCTTAATTAATAGTTCATGCTGTGACAATAATTACTTTCACAAACTCTCGACCGCATGCGATGTTCCGCTCATAAACGAGCATTTATATACCTCAGCGTTCCTGTTTGTGCAACTGATTGACGAAACAGGGAAGATTTTTTTATATGACAACATGAAGTTTTCTTCCAATATAAATTTTCGGTTGCTTCTCATAGGCCTGGAACCGAGGACGCGAGTCAAACCTCGCGCTAGGATTTCACACGCGTGCACTGATGCATCAATAATCTCTGGTTGTTTGATTAAGTAAACTGTATTTTGTGGCACACAGGAGGGACGTGTCTGATTAGGTTAGGTTTGCCATTCACAAAATGGATTAGCGGGTGCAACAAACGCTTTTGGAGCTAAATCGGCTTTTTGCATGGTACAAATCTAATGCACATTAATATGTTTTGTCGTTTGATTTTAAACCGCTTCGTTCGAAGTAAATTTTCTCCCTATTGTTGATTCGAAATATATTTAGTAAGTCGCATTAATGTAGCGGCATTTTGTACAAAGGCTTAATAAATTGCTTTTCCTTACACAACGATTTTTCACGAATCGTATTTATAGGCTTTCTGACTGTGGTTTTTTCTGCATGTCGTGAGTATATTAAAGTCCCAGCGTGCAATCTTTGTAGGCCCTTTGTGTGAATTTGCGACCGCGATTGTATAAACCGGTTCCAAAGTAATGAAGCATTCAAATACGGCAGACAGCATCCGTAAGAAAGGATTGCTTGCTTTAATTGTTACTTTGCGAAACGGGTTGCCGGAAACAAGAATTTTTATCAGGTGGCAGATCCCATAGAGCCCCAGACAAAGCGTATTCATAATATAACACTATAGCTGTTTGCATGTCTGTATGATTGTACCGAAAAATCGGGAGAAGGAAAAGGTAACCGTAAACAAAACACTCCGAGATGTACGGAAAAAAGCACGAAAAAAATTTCACTGAGTCATTTAGCCATGCAGGGATAAATTTGGGAAATTGTAGGCCATGTAGCTCTGGGATAATCAGAATTTATACATATAAAGATGAAAAAAAAGGATGCAAGAACAATGCAATAAGCCAAAACGCGACTCATTTTCGGTCGAAAATCTGCTTTGATTACCAAATGTACTCTTTCAATTATGAAAAACAAAAGCTTCCTTAATTTGGGGAGATTATCCACGCATTTTTCGATAGTTCGACCAGCTGGTTTGGATCAGAAAAAAAGCCATTATCCACTTGCAGCCTATAGCTTTCATTATGTAGCTCAGTGAAATGAGTTCATTCAAATAGTTTTCATTTTGTGGTCAATTATATCTGAAATTTCATAATGAATCTTGGATTTTTTTCTTTCACGCCGGCGTTACCAATTAATCTTTTCAAGTAAAAACATGCACATCCATGCAGTGTGGATTTTTTTATTCATATTGCCGACTATAGACCATGCAATTACCTAAACGATCGAGTGAAAATTTAAAAACCTCTGGTACAGAAAACTCTTTAATATAAATTATATGCATGTACAAATTCTCAAAGCCTTCGCTCGAAACCTTTGATCACTTTGCACCTTTTTTGCGATATAAAGATGCATAGAACTAGTTGTGCTTTTGTGCAACAACTTAATTGATCGAGGGAATTTTTTTAGCGCAACACAAAACGTAACACGTATACCCAATGTTTTCGACGATGTTAGAATAATTGAATTAGAGGCCTGTTCACACGGTCCAATTCCGTCGGATCCAATTCACGTGCATCTGACGGATGTTATATAGTCTGATGACTTGCAATGTAAATGGGCAGAAATCAACTCAAGTCAAGGCAGTACAATAGCATTGTCAATAACAAACTTCATTTCCGAATTGTCAAAAGTGAATTGGATCCAAAAATTGGATCGTGCCTGTGAACAGGCCTTAATTGATAAAACAATGAAGAAGGGTACACATACACTGTACGAAATATTGCTTGCAAATTTGCGTTGGCGCACCAACCATGCATTTTGAAATCCCTGAGACCCTTTTGAAAGTCTTTTGCATTTCCTTGAAAAATCATTAAAACGTCTAAAGATTTAGCCAATCTCTCTGCTTATCATGCAGTAATATTCTCTGAAAACCGCAAATTAGGAATCTCTAAATAATAGCCGATTTTATTGATATAGCTTTCAACGTTTCTCATGCAACCCCAGCGCTAAACCTCGTATGGTAGCGATCTTTATCAACCAGACAATAATAGAAAAACAACGTGTTTAACTCCGTTTTATAGGTCTTTACGCCGAAAGATATTAGGTTTCGCATTTTTTCCTCACGACAATGTCATTTGAACAAATGCAACGTCCTTTCCACAGATTTCAGACATACATGCAATAAACGGTTTCGTGTTAGCATTGTAACAACATAAAGCATATAATGTATTGCGATGATTTCGTGGCATTCATCTTGGGGAAACATTGAATTCGGTTGATCTTATCGTATTTTTCAAAATAGATTGATCAAAATTACCGGCAGCGCAGTGTCGAGTTCTAATGAGACTTGTATACATGCATGTGTTGATGTAATCAGCGAGAATTTCTAATAATCAATATCCTGATCTTGAAAGTTAGTCATGGTGAGGAATATGACTGCTTTCAAGCAAGACAGAAGAAAATTAAAATATATCTCTACCACAATTAGCAAGCCCCATGTTGCATGATACTTAACCGGGAGCGGTGTGACAGTCGATTTAACCGTCTTAAAGTTTAAGCCCTCGATGTATTTTACTCATATTGATTGTTGTGATCTTTAAATTAACTTTGTTCCTATGCAATATCTAATTGCTGTATCGTATATCCGCACATTCCTCAAATATTGTTAACATCTGCGACACATCACACAGCCATCAAACTTTTCATGCATGATGAGTTGAGTTCACGATGAACTCAACCTCCGTCGATAAACTTATTAATATATCTCGTGAAATTTGCGAAGCCACGACAGGCAACTGACGTTTTTCTCGCCTTATATTGCACGTATCTTTGTAAAGAAGCTTCGATCCCTGGTTTCGTGTAAAATCGCCTTTACAAAATAATTAGGATCTATATCACCTGGCGCGCTTCCCTAGGAAACTGCCACAAACTTGTTTGAATTTCGCGAAAAGAGGCTGGGGCCACGTTAAAAGAAGACTGGACATCGACAAAGCATTCACTTTTCGTCTTCAATCTACAATGCGAAAACCAATAGGACTTGTGTGTGCTTTGCTTGTTAAATAATTGTTATAAAGGTTCGCAGTTAGGAAGCGAAAATAGATTTAAATACGACATTGTAATACACATTCATATAGGTTCACGTCTTTGTGTGGACAGATCAACACTGGCTATAATAATGAGTCATCTAAAGCTTGTCTTTATTTTAATGTCAAAAGCGAAACAGCTACAAATGATTAGTCTATGTCGGGAATCATAGCATATGTCCACAAATAATATTTACAAATCTTTGAGGTTAACGATTGAATGAAAATGATGAGAAATGCAAATTGGTTTTCCGTATATTGGGATGCTGCATGCATTACAGTCATGGAAACAAGCGATTAAATTACGAGCAAAGAAAAAATCAACAACTCTCAGATACTTAAAAAATAAGTAGCGCTGATATTTTTAATGTTCCACACGAGAACATAAAAGCTGTTTATTTTATCGAAAGTATATGAAATCATTTTATCCATGCATAAGTATCAGCTAAAATAACCCATAAAACTGCGCTGAATTTTGTTTTTGTTGTTAAATTATCTATAGAGTCACCCTATGTGATTGCTCACCTGTGCGCTCTTTGAAGAATACGGTTTTTCCAACATACCCCAAAGTTTTTCTTTGTATCTTCCGTACCAGAGTGGTTGTCGTTGGTTTCCTCCAATGCCGCTCGGCTCCCCTTCGGATACGTCGTCCTCCTGATGGGTCGTGTTGACCGTGAAGACCTTCTCAAATGCCTGGGCATCGCGATGTCTTGTGTACGTGGACCAACAACACGGTTCCATCTGAAGCTCATCGATGCCCCAAAAATTTAGCTCTTCCTCAAATAGAGGACCGCACACATCCGCGGGACAGTGTAACTTCCCGGTACGGTAGTAGTTTAAGACATGTACAAAGACCCCTGGATGCCGATCGAAAAAGTACTCCACCGGCTTTCCATCGTCCGACGAGTTGGAGGCCTTAGTTAACGGGCTTTCAACCATCCACGAAAGCCTTGTGTCGGGAAAATTTCGCAATGTACTCAAGTGCGTTTCATGTTTATGCCCCCCGACATTTATAATAATGCGATCGCCGTCTCTTCCCCCTGCTTTCGGACTTGTAGCTTCGCTTCTATTGTCGCAGAAGCGAAATTTCCCGTTATCCTGCATCGTAAATCTGGCGATAACTCCGACCAAGATCGACTTAGTTAAACTTTAAACTGTCCCTTGAAAGGCTACAGCGTTTTGCTCTTGTTCTTACACGGCTTTACGCACGCAATCATCTGTTAATCCGGCAAAATTTGCGGTAAATGAACTGACGACATCGATCCGCTTTTCCACGGCAGAATATTCATGATTCTTCACATTGATTGTCCAGTTGCGAGGTTATCGTTCATGTGGCCGTGGCGTAGTTCTGCGATTGTAAATTAGCATACCTAATCACTCAAAATGTTCTAAAACAAAATAAGGCAGCAATATAATCGGTGTATAGCACTGCTTGCCACAATGCAACTGGCGCACCGCGACTGAAAGACAAGATTCCCAAACTGACCCGCTAATCCTAATAAATATTACCGCGATTCTGTTACCCTGCTGATATGTTTACTTAGATTGTGTATCACACAAACCAGCATCATTGTAGTCAAACAGCGCTGCGTGTAATTACTGTGTTCTGCGGTCGACATCGACCGGCGGACACGCGCGGCGTATGAAAAAGATCCTGCGAGCTAAACATCTCGTGCACTCAAGCGCTCTATGGCAAACGGTGCGGTAAATCGTGAATGAAATTATACCGAGATTACTACAGAATGTACAACTTTTAATTGCACACCCAGGGTGTGCGCCCAACATAAACATAATATTTTGAATACGATGTCGCGTTCATTGAATAGTATTGCATTTAATTTGTTATTACGAGGTTGACGTTGCACATTGAAGGGATGAATTTATTGGGTTATCAAATTCTAGTGGACGACAGCAAATGTATTACATTCGTATACCAATGAGTTCCTTGTAGCGTGCGGGGCAAGCCGGCAAGGAGATCGCTGACTGCGGTCATTTAGGTTAGACGACTTACGGCCTTCGTATCGCATTGCTTTCGGCAACGCTCGGTTAACGGCGCGCCGGCTTCAGTGTAATTCAAGAGTCAAGTGATTCACATTGCGTGAAATTGATGTTTACTGTCTGCATTAAAGGCTTTTTTTCCTTCCCGTGCAAGTGGCATGTCACCTTATGGATGTATAAACTTTGGCATAAACTTTTGCGATTTCATAATGATATATGGATGTATATAATATGAATGCAGCAGAATCATATACATGCAACTGTCAAATGTGTGCTTCAAAACTTTATCTTACTATCGCAGAGGCCCATATAATGCTTTATCAAGTCGACATTTTTAAATTCTTTCAAATAGATTTCCACGAAAAACCTTAGTATCTTAATTCTTACCAAATGTGTCGTCTCCGCTTTGTCCAAATGGCACCTTTAGTCTTCCTGATCTGTTCTCTCAGGGATTAACAGATACACGTATACACGGCAGCGTCTTATTTTTCTTGCTTAATTGATTACATAAGACATGTCAACGTTGTGATGCCTGATAACGCAAGAACATCGGTCCGTTCCGTTAGATTCGTGATAGAAATTCAAAAACAATATATTAAGGCACTCTGTTTAATTTTGTCACACGCTGACAAATTACCGAGAGATCGTTAAAATGCGCAGAGGGCTTGGCTTGGCGTTTAAAGTATTTTGAAATGTACTTTGGGACAAGATAAGAGCGCCTATTACGTCACAACGATACCTATAACAACGAATTCCTATTGGTCGAAGCGTAACGAATCAAACATCGTGATTTTTCTCATGCCCTCTCGAATATAATTATATGAGTTGTATTGAAACTAAAAGAGCAAATGGAAAGCATCCTTTTTTTGCCTAAGTTGCGTCAGCTGAAATTTAGAGAAAGTGGACTGACTAATTCATCGCTTACAAAAGTAATTTCTTTGTCAGTCGGCGGAATTATCGGTACACAGACAAAGTAATGCATAATTATTTAGTATGTATTAAATATATACAATGTTAGTATGAAAATTATGAATATATTCTAACAAACGTAGCCAATAGATTGATTCTACACAGAATTAACGCAAGATTTTGGGCAGGTGCTTTCAAAGATGTTCCTTTATTATATTTAATCAATATAAAGATAAACACGAAAACTTGTAGATATGAATTCAAAGCAGTAAATTAAAATCAGATTGTAGATACAGCTCAGTTGTGTTGTAGAACGATTTTCGAGTTACGATGGCTCAAAATATGCGTGGCAACGGATTTTATTGTATGTTACGATATCTATCGACCGTAATTAAACGCACAAAACAAAGCGATCATGGTGAAAAAAACTTTTGTAAGTGTTATAGATGCTAATGCATTATCTATTGACGCGAGTGCATGTGTATTTAAGACAGACAGACGTCACTGAAATATGGCACATGCAGGCCGAAACCAAATTTATCATGCAGGAACTGTGAAACTGTCTTCAAAGACTGTCGTCGGGGCTTACTTTGAACCGGCAGTTATTATTGATGTATCAAAATATCTTGTTGAAATTTGCATTTTCTTATAAAGAATGTTTTTGCTCGACCACCGGCCCCACGGATCTGTCAATGGGATTTTCCGCTACTTCGGATTTCTTTCAGATTTACACGAAATATATACAAATAGAGAAACAAACATTTAAAATCTTAGATGAAACATGGAGATATATAATTTTTTAAGCGTGCAGAAACTTGGAGGTTACTGATAGTGCATAATGTAATCGTTCATATATTTGATGCCTATCATAACTTTTGTCCTTTATATAGTTTTATAGTTTTTCCTTTATATATTATCACTTATAAACAATCTTTAAAACACTGTGATCTTTTGGATGTATAGATGGATGATATTAAACGAATGACTTTTCCAGTTTTTTTTTGCATGGCGATTCGTTGTGTTGTCCGGCCAATATCAATATTCGGAATTATAATTAAAGTGCATATAAAAAGCATTTAGCAAATATTCGGCATACATGTGTTTGTTTCCTGGGAATGGTGAGATAAGCGATGTATCACAGTCACAGAAAAGAAACAAATAATATATATATATATATATATATATATATATATATTAATATATATATATATATATATATATATACTATATATATAAGTTCCAATATTACCAGGGACCAGCGTCTTCAAACAACTTAGAATCAAATAAAAATACCCCTGCCATATTTGCGTTTAAAAATGACGTCGAATTGTCTATTTTCGAAATTAAGTTGCCATTTTGTGACATTTGGTGTCAATTTGCGGGTATAATATGTATTATGAGTTACCCCCCGTATTTAATTAGACATGGAACTTTTACATACATCAATTATAGATTTAAATGACCTGAAAAAGTCGATCTTTCATGTCGCTCAACCGATAGCATGATTCGAAATTTAACTAGTTCGTGCGATATTCGTAATCAGTAATGCCCCTGGCAATGACTAGCTATTTGTGTTCATGGACGACGATAATCGTTAATTTCTGAAGAGTCGATGGCGATGAAATGCTTTAAAATTTACACAGCTTTCTCGAATTGCATGGCTATGCCCGTAAAATTATTTCTCTATAAACATTACTCCTTTAAACCAATTACACTTTTTGTCTGTGGATCCGGAATAGGCGATGGAAGAGCCAATTTTAGAGCCAATTTTGACCCAAAAGGGGCTGAAATGACTATGGCCTAAGGGTAAATTTTCCTCTTAACATCATCCACCTTTAAAGAACGTGATCGTTTGTTTATTTGGTCATTCAAACCACTAAATATTTTATAATCGAATGCATGATGCATGTAAATTCGGTGAAATGATTTCTTGCGTGCATGCTTTATATAATTACGTTTGTGTATATTTGATGTTTTATATAATATTCGATGTACTGATGACGACTTGAAAGGTCTGAGCGAAAAAATATATAAACGAAAAAACAGTGGTAAACGAAGATACGCTCTTATTCTTACGTCAAACAGCAATCCTCAAAATGCAGTTTGCCGTTAAATAAAATAAATTAAATAAACGTTATTGTCGTCAAGGCCTGACGCCGTTTTAGTTTGTAGTGCGAGTTTGCAAACAATTGCTCACCGACACCCATGCGGTTACCGATTCAGTATAAAATCGATTTCATTAATGATACATTTTAGCGAGAAGTCCGCTCTATAATGAAAACGCATGCAGGTAACGGTATATACCATGTTAAAAATAAGGTATCATATATGAATTGAGGATAATATATAACTAATATAATTATAATAATGTAATAAAAGGTATAGGCTAGTATAAATTGAGACGGTGAAGTCGTGAAGACATGGAAATTTGTTTTTCTCCCTAACTTACAGCTTTTACATGCATGGAAGATAGCTATTTGAAGAATATCAGACATAATTAATCAGTATATACTGCCGTGCAATGACTAGAATTTGTGTGTTGTTTAAACGACAAAAACGTGGTAGTCATACTTACTTGCAAAAATCAAAGTGTTACAAGTTTACAACCAAACGTAGTCGAATCCTCTTCTTCAGTCTCAGTGTATTAGATATTTACGCTTGTAGATGCCGTAGTAATAGCTATATAGCTCGAATTAGCTTCCGCTTTTCCTGTCAGCAAAAACAACACGTGATCGCCAGAGAAACACTCACAGAGTTGACCGCGGGAGCTTTAAAAATGTATAAACTGATGACGGTATAATACTTACCGCGTACTAAGACCAAACCAATACGTCAACTGCTTAACTCTTAATCTTTTTCTTTTGATTTATTAATTGCAAACATCAGAATGAATAGAAATTACAGGGGAACCACAGAGTATTTTAATAAAAATAAACAATATACAAACCTCGTAAAATGTTAACATTTTTTAAAGTTTAGTTCTAACGTTTTGAATAAACTACATTAAAGTAGCTATGTATGCGGAGATGCTAAATCAGTGAATGGCAAACCTTGTTATTTTATATTATATGCAGTTGAACATAATATAAAATTGTCATTGTTCTAATGTTGGCTGTACTTTAGTCCAAAGAAGGAAATTAAAGTTTTCAAAGATGTTTACTTATTACATTTTACGGTCCCCTTTATTGTGCAAGAGCATAATTAAACATGCATATAATATTGTATAATGTGTTTGTAATACATGCACGAAGCCGAAAAAGCTTGAAAGGACATCCTTGAAACTGTGCTTTATAGATATTAAAATCTTGGGCCACTTGTTCGGAAACTAATTTCCTTACATGTATTCATGGGGGTATGTGTGACTACAATTGCATATATATAGGATATATAGTTCCTTTAACAACCCCCTCTTCTCCTTCTACCCTTTTAAGTGATTCCGTGGCCTTGATATAGATCGATTTAACAATTATACTAACAGACAATGGATATGATATCATATCATGTCATATGATATATATCATGTATATGCATGATATATGATTTGTCTTTATCTAAACATGATAATTTTTAAGCTATAAAACGTATGGGACATCCTATATGGGTTGCACTGTTAAGTAGTATGTTTACTTTTCAATTGATATCCGTGAAATTTGTGGTTATATCATTGAGTTTTTATCCTTGACAAGAAAAACGTTTGTATTGGTGTCGCGTACCACCGGGAAAACATGCAGTATGTTAAGTTAAACAGTAAATTAAATCGCATGATTGATTTTTCACTGAAAAGTTTTTATCGATTTTCCTTTTACATTAATAACTGCGTGTGCAATCGTAATTACTAATCTTAGATAGGATTATGGTCCAAGGTAATTGTTTATGTGGTTTCATCCTTTGCATTATATATTCATACTTATGAGAATTATTAATAGTTTTATATGTAAGAAAAAGTGCTAAGTATATAAGGCTATTGAAGCAAATGCGCGCGGTATAGTGATCACGTAGAGCTAGTGTGTGTAGGTCGCTGTATGGTCGGTGTTCCACATTAGATCGTCCCCATAGCGATTGTTCAGCAATCTTCTCAGGTCTATTCCATGTTCTCGGTTTCGTACTTCTGCGATTATTTTGATCTGAAACAAAATGCACGGAATTAAATTATGAATAGGACTATATATCGTATCGTCGTAGTGAGTCTGATCTTCATTCTGTGTTTACATACTTGGAAAAAAATTCTCTCTATTAGAGTTTCTCCCATACAATCGTTTACCCAAGTAAGACAATTAGTTTTCGATTTTTTATATGTACCAATCGAATCATGCGGTCTCGTTCATGGACCTACGGATTCATCTTTCGTAAAGTGAAGCTATAGTTATTCCATGTTCCTGATCACTTAGCTTATATGAAGTGTAATCACACCTGAACGCTAAATATGCCTGAAGTCATCCAAGCTCGTTCGTGGTAGAAATCTTTAATGCTGAAATGATAAAAAATCAATAAAATTTGGCACAATTATATATTAACAATTAATTTTCAATATAATCAATCACCTTCTAGGATCAGATGGTTAACGGCATATAGATTAACCAATATGAATTTCAAAATTAGCTATTGTTAAAACCTCAAATGGTTTACTAGTTTGTGGAATACACTATTCTTAACCAGCTAAATATTCTGTTCCAATTCAAAATATGACCGGTTTCACTATTTTGAGCCCTACGATTAGGGTGGCTATGGTCGGAAAATTACCCTGTTCAGTTTAGCATGCAAATACATAGCTATATGAATTATAACAGAGATATCTTGTACCATACCTTACACCAATGGACGATATAAGTTGGGCTAATTCAGCAATTCCACCTGGTCTGTCTTTAACATTAACAATGAAACGAATGAGTCGACCATCAGATGATAAACCTCTTTCAATGCAACGACCAAGCACAGTTGGATCAATGTTTCCTCCACACAATGGAATAACAACTCTGCAGAAAAATGACAAAATTTCAAACATCACAAGTCAGTTAATAATTTGGAAATAACGTGTTTCTCTCAACTAATCAGCGTCCAGTGATTTCATCATGCTAATAATAAACTAGCCGCTAGAACATAGTCACATAGCACACACTACCTTTTCCCTCTCAACTCTGGAAGAAGCCCAGCTAAAAGTGCAGCAAGCCCTGAAGCTCCTGCCCCTTCGACTATTGCTCTTTCATATTCCATCAATCTAAGCACCGCTATTCCAATGTAATCCTCACTGAATGAATATTGAGAAAGGTTATGGATGAAATGAATTGGAAGGTTACGTCTAAATTAGTAGCGTTAGCTCTGCATGTAGTCTTATTTTACCTCACAATCACGGTCTTGTCCACGTAGTTCTTAGCAATTTCGAAGGCGTTTTTACCAACCTTTGGCACGCACAACCCTATATATACATAATACAAGCGAAGAATTATATTTCCTGAACGAACATGGTCAAATTAGTGAAATGGCAAAGATGCTGGCCGCGAAATACTGCCGCGTTAAATACAGCTTTGAAAGTTCGCAAATATGGCATAATTTGGCATTGCATTATTCACAAAATGGCTACCTATTTACTATTTAGCTAGAAACTTTTGCTCTGTTCTTTTTAGCTTTGCTGGTTTTTTTCATCTTTTGGCCTAGCTGAAGAATGAGTCTAATCATGCAAATTATTTATTGATGTGTTCAACGAGACGTTTGTATTGCCAAGCACACACGTTTGGTTTGTAGAAATGTTTCCACCCATTCATAAGTTTGCACCAATTTATAAGTTCATTTCCTCATGCATATGATAGCATCATACCATCTGCTAGTGTCAATGCGTGATGAGCGTCAATTTTGACTGGTTTACCAGCATCTAAAGCTGCTTTGAAACTTGGACACATTTCGGATTCAACTCCCTAAATTCGAATATAAAGATGACTTATTACAATTTTACGATAACAATTTTCCTCAGTGATTGTAACTATAAAGGCGAAATGTCTGGTCTGACATACATTTGCGGATTTGCAGCTCTACGTGTGTGGGACTATATTTTAATGCGAGGACAAAGTGGCAACAGTTTTCCAATGAATAATCCTATTTCACATGCAATAACGTAAGTTGTTAAAGAAATTAATTTGAAGATTTACAATTATTTGACACCGTGGATATAGACTTTTTATTGCAACTGCAATTCCTGCAATCAATCCTCCACCACCAACAGGAACGATTATGGCGTCGACGTCATCAACCTGCTCAAGAATTTCTAGTCCAATTGTGCCCTGTCCAGCGAGAATATGAGGATGGTCGTACCTTGGGAGTGCATAATCACGGATATAAAAATAGTGCTAACTGTATTTTAACTCAATTGGGAAGTTCTAAATTTTCTGCACAAGCTTCGTTTGTGGAATATATAAAGAGGGCTGCCCAAAAAGTTTGTATCTTGACTTACTAGATGAACTTACTGAAATGCCTCTAACCATACATAGAGGATTATTACTCATCAGTAACTCCTCCGGGCCAGGTCATGCCTCCAAAAATTTTTATACGTACCCGTTCACATACATCAAACCTTCTTCTCTTGCAAGTTTCACTGCAAAATCCTTTGCCTTAAAGAGACAGTTGTTCAGGCATGATTTCTACTATGTACATCTTTCGTAGAAAATTCGATTACAAAATCGCCAATATTTGATGCTTCTAAATTTACCGATATATACGAGCGTTCATCTGATAACAGCAAGTTATTATACAAAGGGCAAGCATCGCAAATGGCAGATTTTTTGCTAGAATTTAAGATATACGGTTTAACTAACCTCGGCGAGGTTGTGTCCTTTATTTAAGACCTTGGCTCCATAACTTCGACATTTCATTTCCTTCACAATGGTGCAATTCTCTGGCATAACTACAGTTACCGGAATATTTAAAGCCTGTCCATGGTACGCTAAAGCAAGAGCATGGTTACCAGCTGACGCAGCAATTACTCCCTTTTCTTTTTGTTCCTGAAGATAACATGAGATGAGTATATATAAATACGTGAATGCAAATGAACAATGCTTTCTGAGATCATTGCAGACTGAGGTGGTGAAGAAGAAGAAAGCAAAACGGAATGAAATCTTCAAAGAATGTTTTTTTTGGACTGACCTCCGTTAGAAGAAGCAGCGTATTCCTTGCTCCGCGTTCCTTGAAACTGAATGAAAAACGAAATGCTGTTCACTTATTTTCGTTCACACAAAGCGAAATATACACATACATTGCTGGCAGACCAGAACGATTGCATTGATAAAAAAAAAATTGTGCCTCACCTTCCAGTCACGTGCGTGAACTCTTTCTTAAAGTACAGCTCTATGTCCTCAAGTTCAGAAATTCTTGTTTTCTGCAATTGGAAAAAAGCTGCTTTATTATTTATATATTCCCCACTTTTCCTAAACGTTTGGAAGTATGCATGTATCAAAGACTTGGCATATGGACCTCGCATGGTGTCCTCACAATTCCTTTCCGGATTCGGAATGACGCGGCAGCAACATCCTCGAAAGAAATGGCAAATGGATTTTCTGATTCACCGGTGATACTTAAGTTCCGAAGATGCTCCCTAGACAAAGAACACAATCTTACAAATAATATTAATGTTACTTTCCTTAAGGTATATGTAGTGAAGCAACGTGAAAATATAATACTCATGATTCATCGCATATCCAAATCAAATCCAAATGAACGCAGCTGTAATTTACATGTACCCCATGCATGACAAGCGATGTACTATCATATAAGTCCACGAAGTTCCTATTTCAAAGCGACAGCCTATTTTTAAATGTTTGTACATCGGCTAGGATATCACCTGGTTTAAGTAGTATGACTGCACTATTGGACTTGCTGCATGGACTCTTTTTGGAGACCTAGAATGTCACTAATGTTTGTAGAATGTAAACTGTGCGATTAGGCAGAGAAAACATACGAGGTCTTTCACTTATTAAACACCAAAGCCTGATAATTACCCATGGGTGATCAAAAATCTTCCTTCATGAAAAAATTTAGCTGCATGGGGATGCATAAAACACGCACTAACATTTACCTCGTGATACTGATAGAACACTTTGAAAGCATGATCAGAACACAAAAAGATACGTTCCAAGAAATGTTTCTTTCATTGCCTCTATTAGTTCGCGCAAGTAAGCGAGAAAAACCCAAGAAACAAATAATCTTTGAAAATAAAAAAAGTTTTCTTTACTCTTACATCCTGTCCAGTAGATCACGAAGCTAACCTTAATCGTGCGGACAAAGCGACAGGACGCTCCATCATATCTCCAGTGTTTTGATCAACGGCAGTATCCGACTGAGTATTTGGAGTAGCGGGATCACCTGAAGATTCCATATTTTTATCACGCTTTGATGTCTTTGTTCCCTTTGGCTTCAACCTGAATGGACTTTTGACAAACTTTGATTGATAATTATCTCGAAGACGGTCAGGCTCAGAAACGGTATCTTGGTAATCCTCAAATATTTCGTTTTCTTGTTGTTGCGACAGAGGATTTTTTGTCGAATTTTCTATTTCTTCTTCGAGAAGACTATTTTCTGGAAATTTTTCAGCAATAGTCGATGAGAAATGAAACATGCTCATTAAGAATCTAATTAATTAATTAGGAATACTATTAGTGACGTCATTGATCATTAGAGAACGCAGGTTTTCACTGCGCGCGCACGAAGGAAATCTCAAAGAGGGTTTTTCAACTTTTATTTAATTTCCACAATAATCTCTTTCTTTCACACAAGCTTCAGTGAACTTCAACCCGAGTACATAGTCTGACTGAATTGAATTTTAATTAATTAAAGAACTGAAATTAATTTAAAATTTAGTTTCAACTAACAAACATTCACATTTTTATTAAATTTTGCACCACGAGCATAACGATATAACCTGAGAACAGCGATGTAAAATCGGTCAAATTTTTATCCGTCTTTACCTGCACCGGACCAATTCAACTATTCAATCACAATTTTTAAATTGTACAGCGCCGTATGAACGTTGCTATATATTACCGAATAGACTATTGATGTTCTACAGTACAGAAGTTTGTGTACAAATTCAGTAAAAGGTCAAAATCTAGATTTTTTTGATATTATATATTTATTAGCTACAATCAAATTCGGTTTTTATTAGCTACAATCGAATAACATTATCCACTAGCACGAATTATGTCACGTCATGATTTTAGTAAATACGGTAAGGAAAGTTAGGGAACACATTATATGATAATTTAAACAATAATTTACGGCTATGGACAACACCAATAAGTAATATTAGGCGTACATCAATTTTTTTAGTACGACCAATGTTTTTGAGTTAACCGTAAAACCACAGCCGGCAAATGACTTGAAGCATGCAAGCAATGCCTTTCACAAGACGAAAATAAACATGCAGAAAATTCAATTGCATATTCAAACCACGCAGACAGACATTTAAACCTGAGACTTGATAATCTCTGATATGATGCAATTGAGAAATTAAATGGAATTCATAAGACTGCAGGGTTCTCAATGATCAGAAATTCTTTCTTCTTCAACTGTCCTAGATAATATTTATTTTATTATGGTGGATTTTGCATTTTCATAACCAATGTAAATAATCCAGCCAATGACAATGCGCTCCTGACCGGCTACATTTCATTTCTTTAAACTCAAAACATCGTATATTCAAGACCGCTAGTCACCCCAAACTCACTGCAATATACATGTCGACTTCCTGTCGTGTTTCTTCCGCTGTTTTTGGATATCCTGATCGTTTGAGTCGTTTTGCGTCATCTGGTCCCTAATATTCTTCGGCAGTGGACCGTGCGTAAAGACGTCTTGATTACGTCCAGGTAAATCCGTTTGTGATTGAGATCTTGTCGGTTTCACATTCTTTCTCAAATCCTCGTGTATATTTCCCGGGGGGAAATAACGAGCGATGACAATGCACCTTCCATCCGACGTTTTCATCTTCGCCGCTCCCACAAAGCGCGTCGAAGCCCACACGACTTGCGTGAAATGTCCTGTTTTGTTATTCAATTCCGGCTCTCTAAAGTTGTAGTTCTTAATTTCGTCGTACCAAAGATCCGTCGCGACACCGCCAGAGATATTTTGTCCCTCCACGACGATTATATTTTCTCCGTATTCTGGACTTCCAAAGGAGCGAACTTCCCTCCGACGACCAACTTCTTCAGCCCAAAGTTTAGCTCCTTCCGTGAGTTCGTTTGACCACTGCAACAAGGGAACCCCGTGCTTCTTACGATATCTATTGTGCGTCACGAGTAGTTCCTGTGGAAAGTCTTCTTTAACTAAAAATGAAAAGAAGTTTATTAAAATGTTGGATATCAAACCCACTGTGCCCAATATGTACCAACAAAATAATTTGGAATAGGAGAACTAAAATATTAGTTTAAAACAAACCGGTTTTAACTTTCAAGCAATTGGAAAACCACACTTATCGCCAGGGGTGGATGCAAAAAGTATCCCAGGAATTTGTTCGCCAGAGAAAGATTTGCAGACTGCATGGTTTATGTTAGAATTAACATTTTTAGAATTTTCATGGCATAAATAGATTAGGTCAACATGGCTGTTCCCCATTCAAAAGAAAATACGCAAATATTTCGCTATACTGACTATTTCTCCAATTTCCCGCAAGTAAAAACCCAGCCTTACCGCTCTCTGGAGGTGGAGGTAATACTGGAACAAAATTTCGTGGAATTTCCGTGCATTTCAGAACGTTTTCTTCGAACTTTCCTATGACATTGGCGGTTGGGTAATAACGAGCGACAATCGCACAGACACCGTCTGGCGCGCGAACCTTCGCCACTCCTATGGACGTCGTCTCACGCCAGACAATTTGGGTAAAATTCCTTGTTTTCGTGTTGAAGCCCGGGGCGTCAAAGTCGTAACTGTCGATCTCGTTGTACCACAAATGAGTTACGCGTGTTCCAGAAATTCTTTCATCTACGCAGTAAGAAAACCACAAGAAGCTGGTTGAATAAAAATCTGAGCTGAAAAGACGATTGTAGAGAATCGATGATTGTTTCAATCATAAATCAACATCACATTGGATGAAAACCTTTTCTTAACAGACGAATCATCCGTCAACACGAGTTATATGCATAAATGCGCGATCGATTCTGTTTCGTTTGACATATTCATCTACATATATATAATTCGTCTAGATAGTGTGTGCGTGGTGTGTTTATACTCAGACGTTTATACTGATCCGTCAGACGGATCATCCGTCTCTAGTATAAATGGGGTCACTGTTATTGATAATTACAACCTACCCTTGCCAATCCAGATATTCTCACCGACGAATGCTTGATTTGAATGTCTAAGATTTCCTTTCTCTGACAAATTAGTTGCCCACTGCCTTGCGCCTTCGGCTAGCCCCGCTGACCACTTTAATGGTGCTGCATGATGCTTACCACGGAACTTGTTGTGTGCAATAATCACATCCTCTTGGAACTTCTCTAGCCTATATGCAGTTCAGGAAAATTTTTTTCCCATGTTTATGGTTATCACAACAAAACCAATATTCGGACAATGATGATTTACATGAACGTATTATAAGTAAATTAGCTTTGTAGGTACTCGGTACACCACGTAAGTATTTAATATTGCGTGCAATATTAAATACTTACGTATTCTTAATCTGCGAGGACCGAATTGAGATATTTTGTCATTCGTGCTTAACTTTACACGAATGACAAAACATCTCCATTTGGTACCCGCAGACTGGGAATACGTGTAGATCATGGAGAAACATATTTTTTATATTTACTTCAATTGAATTGAAAATATTGTCATGTTGTTATTCATATATATTGTCATAGCCACCTTTCAGTATTTTTGTGTAATAATTATTTTTATGTTTGTATTAACATATTATTGAGATTGACTTAACGCTGTTCATGAAACATAAAATGTAAAATCATTTCACGAAATCGACTTGCGATAAATAATTGATTCATTTTCGAAAATTATGGCTTTCAGGTCAACTAATCCAACGTCTGCTATACGCAAATTAAACATGTAAAATAGCTAGCAACCGTTAATTTGACGTTGCCATGCAGTGATCGCGTTTTTGCAGTTTGGGGGAAATATTAGCATAAAGTTTATGATTACATCATTAACTCATATTTCTCATTCTGTCATGATGCGGTGAGTGTAACATTCCAGCCCTGCAGACCTTAGAATTGGCCTTGACCTGACCGCTTTGTTTGGTTTTCTTGAGCGGAGTATCCCATATCTCAGGTGTCAATATTTTATATACTATACAGGCCCAGCTAACCTCGTGTCCCTGTCATAGTTTGTGCGAGCGCAGCTGGAATTGTACATATATAGTTATTTCCATTCCTACGCCTTGTATAGAATTTGCTGGAAATATTGAAAATATATAAAATATACTAAAGCTATCTGACTTATCTCAAACTGGCATATTCATGTAAATTCTTAATTGCAATGAAAAATATCAACTGTTGAACCACTTTGACAAACCATCTATATGCAAAGCATTGCTTCAACCATCAACGATTTAAAACTACTTGCAGTACATTTCGCTTGTCTGTCTCAAATATATATACAGTATATATAACGACAATAATGCATAACGTATATTCGATGATATGTTTTCGTGCTTTGTATTATAATTTTTGATTTGCTCTCGGTGGCTATTTGCTTATCAATTGGCTTATATGATGAATTGCTTTAGTTTGTAAATGCCTGCAACGAAGTCAATTAGGAATACATAGACATAGTTCTTGTTTGGTCATGTTGCTACAGAGTTTTCACACAACGCACAAGCAATAAGTTATAACGGATTACAAACACTCCGTAGTTTTTTTGTTTACCTGTTGTGTTGAGCTTGCTCCTTAGTTTTGCGTTTCGGTTCTCCGTTCATTACTATATAAGCGGGCCTGGAACAAGCCGAGGTCCTCAGAATCCGTCCAACACTTAGAGCAAAACTCTTGTAACGGTTACTGACGAATTGGAAGAGATGCGCGTGAATTATCCGACAATTACGAGACTAACACGAATATGTTTTGTTTTAATGATAGCACCTGCTTTACATTTTGTTGTTTAATACCTGCTGTTTTACTATGCCAACTAGCGAATGGAAGGAACTAATTTGAATTTCAACCTAAAATAAGTAGAAAATTATTCATCCTCTGGGAATACATAATTTTCTTATTTCCGCAGGCGATTGAGGATCATTTTCAAAGTATTTGACTTTAATTAACTACAAATAGCTATTAAAGGTTTTTTTAAAGCACTTTTAGCTCAGAGGAAGAGTTTAGCTCAGTGGGAACTTCAAATAGCTTCTATTTGTGTTGATTATGCATGCTGTAGAGCTCACAAAGAAGAATTAATTGAATGTAATTATATTTACACGAAACTTTTTCAGCAATTTGACAGACATGCTTTTATGCTTTCGGAATAAAATGAATACAAGGAAGAAACTTAATATTCCCGGGAAAATTTAATCTTTTGTGTTCCAAGGACGAAGTGCATTTCGAAGCGGAAGTGCAAGAAATTCCAAGGTCGCGTGTGGGAAAAGAAACTCGTCTGATTTGAATTTGTTACGGACGAGTTTTCTGCGTGCAATCTTTAGTCTACCGTCCATCTCGCCCGCGTCTAGTCGAAAAATTTGTCTTCGAATTTAGGCCCGTTTCAGACGTCGAACTTTTCATGTGCCGAATCGAATGCAAATGAACTTAAACAAAGACATTAGGCTATTAGCTCTTAACATGAAAAGTTCGATGTCTGAAACAGGCCTTAATTTTTAGTCGGATAAATAAATTAGACACTTTCCGAGGACCAATGCGATCGTATAATACGGAAATACACTAACGGTGACCAAATTGAAATGTTTTGCAAATAAATGGGGTGGCACCTAAGGAATCCCATGAAATAAATAGTTGAAATAGTTTAATCCGAGAGCTCAGGTTGTCTAACTTTGACTAAATTTCAATCGCTTTGACTGTTCCACTCCAGTATGCGCTGTGAGTTTAGTTGCGTCAAAATTTAATCGCGAAGCATGAGCCATTGAACTATATAAGAATATATACTTATCAGTAATACTTAATAAGTAATACTTACATAGTTCAATGGTTATAGCTTAAAGTTTAAGTATGATTCTAATTTTTACCGTTTTACTGCATAGAATGTCAGTTTTGATTATTCGTAAGTGCCCACAGTTGAAGCCGAAGGTTTTTTACTTTCTCAGGCTTGTTCAATCCGACATTGAACTGACGACGGAACCAGTTTCGATTCCCTTGTATCTTTTGGTTCTCGCTTGATACCCATGCAGTTGACATCGGAGAATATATCCTGAAGGCGTCAGACAGTTCTAATCTATCTCATGGCTTCATAACGTATGATTGAAAGGTATATGGGTGTGTCATTTCCTCTCAAGCATTGTATATGTCTTCTTTTTTCTATTAACACTTTTTGAATACAGGCGAAAGTGTAGTTACAGCTTAAGTTTGAACTTTGGCCACTCGTGTCCGGCACCCGGCTAAGCTGAACGCTGCATATATCAATTTTGAGTTTTGTCGATCTGTAAGTTTCATAATACTTCAAAGAACTAATTTCTGATTGTCTAATTTCATCTGCTTCGTGCATCCGTCCTCTCAGGGCGCTGTTACTCTATGCAACTTTCCTGGCAACTTGCAATGCTATTCTACTCCTGAGGCATCTAAAGTTGACAAATACGAACATTTCGTACGATCTGCTAACCTTTTTTTAGCATTTCGAACACTCGTACAAATTAACATCCCTGAAAATTATAATTGCATTGCAAGTTGCAAGGAAAATTGCATAGTGAAACAGTAGTGCCTTTATGACGCTTCACCGCATTGAAAATTATACTCGAATCAATTAATGATTCGAATACGAGTGCAATTATTATAATAGAATAATACAGTACAAAACGCTTGGTGGTAGGAATCAGCCTGGTTTCCATTTTGTAGTATTTGTCGTACTTAGCTACAGGTGTGCGATCAGCCGCATGCAATGACCGATAACCGATTAATGTACAGAAAATAAAGAAAAACTGCAGCTGTGGTATCTCACATATTTTTCACGACAATTACGTCAAAATGGAAATTAGGCTTTTGGAGCTGGTGAATTGGCAAACGTGGATTCGATGCGGCTTTTATAAGATAACACAATGACAACCTGAAAATTAAAAATAAACAAAGATTAGTGAAGGCTTACCATGCATATATATATTTGTAATCAACTTATAGGACAGGCGTTGGTGTTCGAATTATTGACATCGTATACACTGTAACACCCGTGAAAATGATTGACCTATATTGAAACAATCAAGTAGTTGCCGTTGGCAGCTTTTTCGAGTAAAAACACGATAATTGGTTCATCACAACGGCTTGGAGTGTACAAAAGAAATGGCATTTCAAACTTTTACCTAACTGAGAAGTTGGGATTTCGTCAAACGTTTTCTTATTACAGTTTTACAGTTTTTAAAAAAGCTAATCCTGTTTCTGTCAATCCTTTCAACAAAGTAAACATCCCCAAGATGCATAAGTGAAGGGCGGGTAATATGCATGCCTGCAATTTGCATGCAACAGCCTTTCCTGTGCTTGCATGGAGGATCTCTGCGACCACTGCTAATTTTCTCTGTATAACTGCGAGACTTTGCGAGTTGCAACTACCTATTAACGTCATAGGCTGATATAGAGCATTATAGCCAAGTTCTTAATTGTAAAATATTGACGCTACTCATAGCTTAAATCACTGACAATATAGAGTAGCGTTACCTTGACTCTCGCCACCAACGGCGCGAGTTCCTTTCGGTTTGACATTCTCCTCGAACTTCCCACGAACATTTCCAGCAGGCGAGTATCGCGCAACGACAAACTGTGCGCCTGAACTTGAGACGGCTCTACCCGCTCCCATTTGTGTGCTACCTGCCCACACTACCTGGGTAAAGTGCCCAGTGTTTGTGCTGAATTGAGCACTTCTGTAATTGTATTTACTCTCTTCTTCATACCACATATCGGTAGCTTTCTTTCCAGTTAAATCGGCGCCTATGAAAAAACTGATTTTACTAAGCCATTCCTAGAACATGCGAAGGGTAAAGGAAAGGAGGAGAATGGTAATGAGGGTGCTCTGGTTACGAGTGTAGTGTTCGTGACGTAACAGTCACGTGGGGTGAAACACATGGAAGTCGAGGGAAGCGAGAGAGAGAGGGGTTTTTGGAAAAACATAGTAAATGGAAAAGCATAGGAAAGGACGTTCACGCGGCAGGAATGAAGAGAAACATTTGAAGCTTTATTAAAGCATTATTTTGAGCACGACATTATTTGCAGTTTTACTGAAAAGTCTGTGATTTTAATAGTTTTGAGTCGCTCAGGCATTCAAATTATAACAATAGGATAATATGTTTATTGTCACTTCCATGCGGAACGATCTTGAAATAAATTGCTTATTACACCATGACCTTTGTTTTTGTTGTTTTAAACAAACAAGAAATCAATCGATGCGTAGCTTATTTATTCAGTGATTGGCTTATCGGATAGGATCATGCAAATGCATTGAGCACCAATATTAGGTGATTTAGGTCCCAGATCAAAATTTCACTGTTTGATGAAGAATTTGCATACTTGGGCTGAAAATAAGGAGATGCTTCTCTCCTTATACATCTAAAAACTAAAGGATTTATAAGGAGATTCTAAAAACTAGTATGAGTTAATCTACATGCAGGATGCTTTGTTCGATGGTCATATGAAATCTACAATCAAGAAAAATGCAATGGATTTGCGGGGCCTGTTTGCCTAATCGTAAACAGTCTATCCACGGTAAATGTTCGAGATATTGTGCATGTATAAGAAAATTCATTTGGATTTCGTTCTAGGAGTTCAGGAATAACATTACCTGACATGAATGCGATGTTTTCTCCGAAGTCGCCTGATCCATGCTGTATTTTATTTTGTTTAGCCAACTGTTTTGCCCATTTCTCGGCACCAGAAGCCAGATTCGAGGACCACTGTAAAGGCCGGGCGCCATGTTGCCGCCGATAATGGTTGTGAGTATCAAGTATGTCTTTCTTTAAATTTCCAGGCTTGCTTCCACCTTTAAAAATGATCATGAAGTAAGATGTGAATGTTATTGAATTATCTAGTCGTAATATTGAGACTTCCATGTCGTTTGAGCTTTAGGTATAAACAAGTGGTTTGTAATGTAAGCATGCACTAGCCGTACTGTACAAGATATTATAATCGTGATTTTTTCTACCGGTGTGAAATAGTGCGGACATAAATTTGCCCATGATACATCAACCGCCTATGAGCAAGCCTCGTTAACTCTAGTGCACTACACTCGATTTATTAGAAACTAAAATTGGAAACCTTAACTAATTCTATCCATCCAGACATGCTCATGCTACAAATACAAAGGGTGGGTACAGGACACAGATGAATGTACGGTACACATTTTAGCCGTAGTGCCGATAAATTAAGTGCAGTGAAAACAGGGCTTTTAATGATCAAATCAGTTGTGTCCAGCGCATTGTCGCGCGCGAAAAAGAAGGGGAGACCGAAAATAACGACCGCGAGAATACAGAAACAAAATGGCGGACACAGGACACTTTCTTTCCAACTTTAGTACACCGTAGAGAATTCTTATGCCTAGGTTAAACGTCGCGACCAAAAGGGACCTATAACATGGGCCTTAGTTGAAAAACACTCTTTTGCTTCACTAAAAAATGGAATTTAGTAACGCCTTACTAAATTCTACTTACTAATTTGCTATGATCGATAGCCCAGAACTGTGCGCACATTTGACCTCGGCTGTCTGACTATGGCATAATTACAAATGCACAAAAACGATGATATAACAAATGTTAGGAAACTATTTCAGGGAACATTCTTCCTTGTGACCCTGGAAGGGAAAGAACTTGCAATTTGCCCAGACTAAACGAGTTGCCAATCCAAATTATGCTCAAAGAAAACGAGACCCTAATATATATAACAAGGTATGGTTCTCAACGCAATCCCGAGTTAATACGATTCTTTACAGTCAAACTTTTCAACTGCATACATATTAAATAAACAATGTTGGTAAAATTCTCTAATTAAATAGAGGCTCTGAAACAACGGTCATGCATGCAGATGGTCTTAGCTTAAAATTTAACAAGTATCATTCATTATATACCTGCTTCTTTTTCGGCTTTTGTCACTTTAGATCCTTTCTGTTTGACATTTTCTGGAAAATGTCCCATGACATTTCCAGCAGGAAAATACCTGGCCACAACATACTGTGCGCCATTCTTAGCCGTCGCTTTCGCCACGGCAAACTCTCGGGAACCGACCCAAACGACCTGGGTGAAATGACCCGTCTTTGAACCAAACGTGGGATTGCCAAAACGGTAATCCTTTATCTCTTCATACCACATTTCTGCAGCTCTCTGGCCTGATAAATCCCCGCCTATATATTTGAAGGTAAAAATCATGTTTGGGCATGGTTGCTATATCTAATGATTCAATCGCACTTTTATAGCTTTTGAACCAGGGCAATACCAAAGGAAAGTATTGGGCATGGCTTTGAAGTTTAACTCGTGCAGAATGTTGTCATTGCTGACCATTACCTCACCTGACTTATACCCTATATTCTCGCCTTGGTCACTCGTGCTGGCATGTTGTATCACTCCTCTTTTTGCCAAATTTTTAGCCCACTTATCCGCATCATTTGCAAGTTTTGACGACCATTTTAGCGCTGGAGCGCCATGTTGACGACGGTACTCGTTATGAGCGTCCAAACAGTCTTTTTGGAACTTGTTGGGCATTGTGTATTTCGACCTCTACTAACGAAACAAACTGAATAATTACATTATGAAGTAGATCGGATAGATTGGCTGATGGATGCATGGTTTGATAGGTAAGTGAGCAAGAATCCATGTTCAATAAATCCAGATTAAAGGATTTAATCCTTTAGAATAGATAGGATTAGGGATAGGATAAGGGATTGAATTAAGTATATGGTTGATTAGGGTTAATCCAAAACCAAGCCTAATTATATAGAGGTAATCTTAAATCTGCCTAATCCTAACCTAATTTCCCAAATTAAATTCGTGAATTTAGGACCTATTTAATCTGGTATAACAAATGCCTACAATTGCAGTAAAATACTTCTCGAATTAGGTCACGTAGAAAACTAAATTATATAATCCGCTTATGCGTTCTTCCTTTGGCCTTTGTACACAAGCGTACATGCCAACTTTATGTCGTCTTTTACTAAGTTAAGCTTTCGCCGATGTACAAAATACAATACACAAAATTAAAGTGCACGATTTTGACGCTAAATCCTGTTGGTCGAATCGATCTCAAAATGAAGTCTCGTCATTGGGGCGTTAATGAGTCATTTTATTAATTAACAAAAGCTCAATAGGTCATGCAGCTATTGAAGATCAGGCACCACTCCCCTATATGTCATAATAAATTATTTGAATATGTCCCCTCATCGGAAGCGACTTGAGCAGTAATTTTCTTTATGTGCATGCAGGAACAATTCAAGTATGTAAAGTTTATATTAGTGTCCTGTTGGGTGCTGCTGTCACTGCAATGTGTACCGACCATTCACACAAAAATTGACATATTTTCGGATTCACCTGCTTCAGTATATGCATAAGTTACTATGTATTTTATTTATTAGCACTGTCTGAAATCATCATATAGGAATTCAAAATCTTTTTACCGTTGCTATTTGTTTAAGCTTAGAAACAATGTAAACTGCAAGGGAACATGCTGATACAACATAGCAACCCTATAAACAAGTAAAACCTAACAATGAAACGAAAGTCAGAATTCCTTATGTAGATAGGTATGCTTGCCCTATGGGTATGCACTATGCATATAGTTTTAGATTCTTGATGGAGGCATTGAGAAGCTTGATAAAGTAATGGCCCTTCTTAGTCTTAGCCTTAGGCCTTACTTATCATATACGAACATTTAATATTGGCTATTTGCCTATTTTTATACATTGTTAGACAAATTTGGTCCTCGATCCTCGAAGACCAATAACTCTCTTAGTTGCTTTTCTCTTTGAGGATAAGAGACGCTGTGATACTAATTGTACCGTTATGCCTAAATATGGACACAAGTAATTTGTCTATCACATCGCAAACAATTAAAACTCTACATATAAAAAAAATAATTTCATTTTTTTCCTACAGTGCGTTATATCTTTCATGTTTTGTGTATGTATGACTACATGCATGTATTATGTTTGAAAATTGTGTTTGTTTCTTCATTTAAGTGGCAATCATGCATTCGACTTTTCGACATTTTCGAAAATTCGACTTTTAAGTTTATTGCGGCGTCAGTAAATCGCTGCCTTGAATGAGATATAGAACTATATATACAGTACCTATATGTACACTTTACGAGTCTGGTGTTTTCAAAACTTTTTGGCAAACAAATAAATATTGTGCACATGTAATGATATATCAAAATTTTAATATTGGTACCAGTCATTTACCTGCTCAACAAAATTTAATTCATGTCGAAGAAGAGGCAGTGTTTGTTTGACTTGCGTTCCATATATTAGCCCATTGTTTAGTTTAGATTTTAATGTTTATTGTGAAAATAAAACTGATGGGATATTAAATAGCTTGTTTTGTTTGAAATAACTTCAAGTTAGACTAAACTCGACTTTGAAAAGTTCGACAAAACAAGTCTATTGATTCGCGATCCTTACACGATCCTCATGTTTTGAACCTTGGGCTTGCAACAGCGCGCTGTCAGAAATTAAATATATCGATTCTCGACTCGGTTGTTTTACGATAAATCTCGAGAATTATGAAATCACAAGCCTCGACAGGCTTCCGGTTAATGAAACAAACTGTTCTTTCTCCCTGTATACAAGTTTACACATAAAAATATCGGGCATTCTCTCACTAACCTTGTCACTAACCTTGTCACTAACCTTAATAAATTCTTCCACAACTTTTCGATAAAGTTTCCAACACGCGAGCTGTGGCTTCACAGACTTCAACCTATAACGTGACTGGGGATATCAACTTTCTTATGAACTCCAACCTTCGAGGATATATCGTTCACGTTCACAAATTGCCTATTTTAAAGTTCTGACGTTCTAAATACGGCCAGCATATGATATTGGAAATATGATTCAATTTTTAAGTGTTTCCGATGCAGTCTAGCAACAATGACACGGTCGGAGAGGTTTATGCAAACTAGATTAGTCTCAACCAATCCTGGCCTCAGATCTCTGAATAAGGGTGAAAGGTTGTTAGGTCGCCCACGCCTGATTCTGCAAATATTCAAAGCAGCAAATCGAAATTCTGTGTTCCGGCAGTGAGAAAAATGAGCATCGCATAATTACCGATTGTCATTATGTATTTGTTATACCACACTTTTGAAGTACCACACTTTTGAAGTATGGAAACTCAATGACATGCAATGGGTGACTGATCAAGTAAGCCCGTTGGCTAACTTTACTATCCTATGTTTTCTGATTTTGAACAGGGCCGGATTAACCATATGGCTGAAGGGGCGTCCGCCCATGGGCCCCGCGCTTTAGGGGCCCCGCGCTTTACTCGGTTATAATTTTTTTTTGCGCGTGAGTCGACGCCGTCACGCCGAAAGGGCCCCAACCAAAGCCGCATGGCCACAAAATAAAATAACGTTATTCCAAAAAGTAGGTATTTACTAAAAGTTCGTTTAAGAAATTCATTTTAGAATCTTGCATAAACTGCAGTTTAGACATGACTCATTGCCTATTTGTGTTACCGGAGTGCAGGTGTCATTTGACACGACGTCTCATTTTACAAACAACAAGATTACAGTCGACTAGTCGAGACATTCAAATATATATCAACGTTTTTAGTCAATATTTTTATTTTATAGGCGCCCTCCAACAACCCTACAATGAGGGCATAGCCATCTCCACAGGGTCTGAATACCTGCAACTATATATAAAATAAAAATATTGACTAAAAACGATGTCATAGAGTTATTTTTGCACATCATTATATACATATTATTTTTTGATTTCACGACAATCTGAATTTCGGCCCGCCGGGGGGGGGTTGAGGGGCCCCGCGCTGAAAAAATGCTACGGGTCCCGCGATAGGTTAATCCGGCCCTGGCAGATTTTCTCTATATAATTCCTGAGTTTACTCTCCCTAATCTCTTATGGCTCTTATCGCTTCTCAATCTAAATTCGCTGTTCGCATGGCCATTGCATTGAGGCAAAGCTATGCAAAGGTAAAAAAGCATCCTCTTTTAAATTTTTTGATTTATGATTACATACCATGCATACATTGAATTCGTTTGATATGAAGAATGAAGACAATGGCGGCCATGCATGTCGAACGGTCCCACTAAAATTCAATTTGTTGTCGTGAAGATGCGGGAAAAGGTTATTTACGGGCATAAACAAAATATTTAATAATATTTAATAATATTTCTCAATTCTCATTCTTAAATTTGTGGGAGAATCACTATATTCGTCATGTATGGACCCTGTTTTAAAACGTCTAAATTCATCTTCTAGCTGATCTTCTGTGTTTGAAAGTCTAAAACTATAGTATGGTAAAAACTGTATTTCACAAGGACACAGGAAAGTACATTTTCTCCATGTGCAGGCTGATTAAAACCAAAGATATTTAGCTTTGTCCAGAATTTAGGAATCCGACCACAAAAATATCGTGCATGCCATCGCGGGTGCAAAATGCAGGTATAAACACTAATGAATATTCACGCAAGGCATTTAGAGAGTGTCCTAAGAATATATGTCACGATATGAGATTTCCAGTGAAATTTCGATTTATAGTTACAATTTTCTTTTTTTAAAAGATATGAACGAGTAGTCGATATACGGTACAACTGAGCAAATTCGCGCTCATATATACGTTTTAAAATTAGTTGCAAGTTCTTTAAATTAAGACTAATACAAGAAAACGTATGAAGTTGACTGACACTGGGTCTTCTGTTTACCCTTCGTTATTTAGTGGGATGGGTATAAGCCCCTTCTCCAGCTGGAAGTGAACCAATCATTACGTTACACGGGTAAAATTTCAGGCCATCCAAAGCCAATCAGATACTTCACGAAGTGTGCGACGAGTTTGTATAGGACCTGGGACGGGGAATCTGCATTTTTAATAGTACACCAGCCTCTGTATTCGTTGTCTGTTTGCCCTGGCAGCGGAAACAGACTCCTTTGTATCTATTATGCAACCCGAAAAACTAGATCTACTTGACTCTCCTGGGAAATTGTACGATTATTTGCTTATATCTCTTTCCCAGAGATTCAATGAGAGGGATAAGGATGTGTTCCAATTCTCGTTCAGATATATATTGCCTATGCAAGTTCTAGAAACGCAAAAGCCATTGAAGTGGTTTCAAAGTTTGGAACACCGAATGGAATTGTCGTGGCGCAACGTTAATTCTTTAGTTGGTTTTTTGAAAGAAGCATCGCGTGACGAACTGTTATCTGTTATTCGTGATTACCAAGCAAGAATCGGTATAATTAAATTTTTTCAGAAGCATCTTCAAGCAAAATTCCCTGAAATACGTCTAAGTATGTACTTTTGTTATGATTTGAATAGGTATTCTTAATATGTTTGTCTACGCAAGAACATTGACTGATTCAGAATAGGAAATGTTAGTCTTCGCATGCAGCTATCGAGAAGTTAACATGATGTTCGATGTACAAGAGTCTGAAGATCTCTTTTACACTTTAAAACGGCTTTACACCCTCAAAAGTATTAAGTTCTTAGCGAACATTTTGAGGCTTTTAAGCATGACTTGGGCCACAAATTCGCTCAAACAAACCGATGGCGATACTATTAACATCCTTGCTATATTTTCTCTTAATTGAGCAAATGAGCATGTTCTCTGCAGACTAGTCTTAGCTTATGCAATACATATACAGTACAGTGCTGTATCCCACTATATATACTAGCTAGCATGAGTTATATATAATGACGCACTTGAATGCTAAGAGACAACTATATTTCGTTTGCAAGTTGTTCAAAGCTATATATATTTTAGCGGTATACAAACAAATATAAGATTGTATCATTTTACCCTGGTTTATACAACCAGACGACAAAAGCTTTGTTTTATAAGGTAACCCTTCAGTTAAAAGAAAAGTTTCGACTAAGTGGGTAGACTTCGCGTTTATAAGTTCGGCTATTGAATGATCGGCTATTGAAGTTTAAACACTGCGAGAACTACAGTAGACATGCAGTATTATAGCAATTCAATTATTAATAGGCCTAGGCATATATGTCTATTAGAAAGTATAGATAGTATTTCAGTTCAAAACATCAGTGGCAATGGCAGTGATATCTTGTTTACACATTGTCAAAATCGAAAGTTCTTCTTGAATTTAAAATTGAATTGTTCCGCGCGTTTCCGGAACGTAATTCGATACCGATCTTTATAACCTATGGACATGGTGACGACATTCATACGATTTATTAATGGTATGACGAAATTGAAACTAAAACACCTTTGAGGAACGCTGAAAAATCAATGAATTTTATCTGCGTTTATGAAATGACATGTAATAATTTATGCACATATAACAGCGAGTAATTAAAATTTATTTTGTCTTTAACTTTACAGAAGAAGAATTAAAAAGAAAATGGTCATCGAAAAACAACTTGGCGAAAAATTATTTAAGAAAATGTCGGAAAATGCTCCGTGAAAGCGATTTACCTATAAATAGCGATTTATCTATAAATCGTGTTCGCAGCCTCTTCTCAAAAGGTGTTATCCTCCTGGTAAAGAGTTGTTCTCCTATATGTTCTCCGCCATCCAGTGATGCTTCGCACTTAGTTTGCCTGAAGCTTCTCTATTTGGCCGATTTATTTTACGATAGATTTAAGGGAATGATAATTGATCACGAAGAACTAGTAAGTGCTCCTTTAATGTTGTTTAACTTGTCCATCATGCAATATTAATTTCATTAAAATCGTTTCAATTTCTTACATTTTTTGATATGAGTGAGATGCATTGCTCTATGTTATCATGTTCTAGGATCTAAGCCGTTCTGACGTTTACGTGTCATCTTCTTTTAGCTGAATATCAAACCATTGCCATCTGGTAAATTTTTGGCTCTTGATAATCGTAGTCTTATTCGTGGGCAAACCTCCTGTAATCCTGGATTCAAACCTGTAATGCATGCTCAAGCTCATCACGAAATATCAAACAGAAGACGCAGTTCATGTGAAGTATTTGGTTTTCACATGAGACTATGTTCCATGTTTCTACGTGGATTTTTCTAAAGCTTGCCGGGTATGATGAAAGCTGGGCTGAGAAAAGTAATGTTTGGAATTTATTATTGGTAATTTAATTTATTCGATATAGCGTAACTGCACTAAAGCCAGGCCCACTGAAGCCGGTTTTCCTCTAGCGATATTTCTCGCGCGAAGCGACGTTGTTCTTTTGTTTGAGAGCTTTCAACTGCAACCATCTGGAACAAATTGCCCAAATTCAAAGGAATAAAGTCGCTTCGCGCGAAAAATAACGCTAGTGGAAAACCGGCTTTGTTGTACGATTTTAATCGGCTAATATCAAATTGTTTTGATGTATTCCGATTACAATCTGCCGACTAAAATCGCTTAGAAGTGTCATCGTACACCTAAGGATTTAATCGACCGACTAAAATCGTACGATAAATCGCGTTGTGTGCGGCCTGGTTTAAGGTGTCTCGATCTAGTTATCAACTAAGTTTATCACAACCCCTACCGCGTGAGCAAATTCACGTTATTGGAATTTCCATTTTTAGAAAAGCAATATACCGAACGATTGACTTTTCTCATTTTATACGGTATCCTACGTGACCTAAATTTTGAGAATGCAGTATTGTTCCAAGAAAAACAAACTTTCTAATACCGAAAATATCCCGTGATGCTAAAAATTTTTTTGAAGAACGGACATTTTTTGATTCTTCAAAAATCTGGCTTCACAGATTGTTTTCTCATATTTTGCTAGATGTTGGTTTTTCTCCATTTAAATGATGCACGAAAAAAATTGGGGGTCACCGTTCTTTCAGTTGGCAACTTTTTTTCGGCTAATAGGTGATTTCGGTGTACGTTTCGTTCACGTATGTCGCCGTAGCAAAGGCCGAACTCTTTTCTAATTTGAACGTGCGCAGTTCAATAGTGATTCAAATGTAGAGACGAAAATTAACAAACCCAACATCCGTTGAATAATTTATATAAACACGTAGTTTGAACACCTCAAATTGTTGAGCACCTGGATTTTTGAAAACCATATCGAGCCACATCATATACGTTGGATCGATACAGTTTTTAAGAACTCCGGTATTCCTTTTGAAAAGGTGTAACCTACGATCTCTTTTAGGTTTTTACTATATCGAGTCACCTTTAATTTCAATGGAAGGAATTTATATATAGGCCATCTCAGTTTTTAACTTTAGATATAGTTGTCTCTAGTGAACAAGAATCAGTATGCCTGGTTGATTTCCTGCTAGTTACTTCTTAACGAATGTGTGCTGAATAATTGTGCATGATTTAGTTCTTACTGATTGCCTTTTTATCACACAGTCGATCTCATGACTGAAACAAAATGTGAAAGTTTAGCAGCAGTGAAAACAAAAGGAGCCATGCAGCTTCAATCTTGTCTTAAATGCAAAAGTAAATTGTAAGACTGTATATAAGATTGTATTGCCAAGCCTGATAGGCTGGGTGTGAAATGGCAGTGTGTGGGCCGCCATATGCAACTAATGTTGCATTAAATTCTACCTCGGAATTCTGCAAAATGCACAAGGAGAGAGGTTGAAAAAGAAAATGGCGGTTTACGAGACTCCCAATATTGTAATTGTTTTAACAAAACCTCGAAACCTTTAGCTAATGCGAAGGGTTATCCGAGAAAAACGATGGCATTAAACTAGATGTCGTAACAGAGTTAAGTGTACGAAGCTCCCAAACGTGTGACGGACGTCTTGAGGCAGCCTCAAAATTATCCTCGCTAGAAGGTGTATATAATGATGGGCTGCGCGAAGACGAATGTCGTAAAACATATGGTGTTGCATGTAAACTGCGATCAGGTGTGTAGCCAGTTTGGGTGCATGAAACCAGTCAAACCACTATTATGTTATTGGGATGTATATGTACCTCTCTGTATCATGAGATAAAGCCGTAACACATCCTCATCATCTTAACGCAAGATGTAGGGAGAGGGGTTATGGCTGAATTGTAATTAAACGATAATCGGGCAAGTCAATGAGTCGCTGACAGCGGTTATCGAGATGCAAAGAAATGCATCTAAATAACATAGTACGCAACACGTATACTATATAGTATAAGTATACTGATATAGGGTTTCCTCAGATAGTCCCTTAAAATTCTGAGCTCGAGTGTTTGGTTGCACTTATGATGATTATGATTGTCTCTGGTGATTATGATTGTCTCATAAACTTCATAGAATCCAACGTTATGACGATTCGGTATTTCATAATGTGGAAATGAAGATGTTTGTAGTGCGACCAAAAGCCGACACAACTTTGAAATTCTCTTTGTTGCATGAATATCACAAAGTTTATATGCATGATTAGCTGAATTAAGGTTATGTCGCAAAATAATACGGGTGTAGAAAGCTCGTAAAAATGTCGTGTAAAAGCCTCAAAAAGCTCTTTGATGGAAGTTATGCGAAAACTGCAGAATAGGCTAAACTGATGTTATAGAATATTGATACACTATAACCTTGCTAATGCGAGTATCAAAATAATGTGTCCATAGGACGTACGTCAGGCCACGATTACGGCGACGATATGTCGACGGTCGTCGGTAAACAATGTCGAAAATTGCTTTAATACCGTATGGTTTTATAGCTTCAGTAGAGATTAGACCGGTATTTTATGTATACTATAGCCCTGTCAAGTTTGACCTGGGTATCGAATAGGTGCATGTGTACGGTTTTCAATATCACGGAAGTTAAAAAACACTTCCTTCAAATCTTTGATATATTTACACGTTTTGTCGGTTTTTATATATAAGATTGCAATTGTAAGCTAAGTGTCAGTGATATATATTTATAATCTTAGTTATGCAACTAAAATCATTCTTATACTTGTATCCATTATTATAAATTATTTGTATTTTAGAGGCTGAGTAATTGTTATAGATTTTTTGCTTTTATTAATGACCTAAAAATAGCTGTAAGTTGCACCGATAATTCTGTATTAATTATTTACTATATATACTCGATTGTATTAAGATTAGTGTAGATATGCATGCATGTATCTCAGTATCTGTTTGTAAGTTATAAATGATATATAGATAATATAGATTGTTATAGATACGATCAGACATGAAATGTGCATTTTATAAAACACTTTGTTTGATTTACTCAATAAAAGTGCTACACAATGTAGTTCTGTTTTGAATTAATGAACTATATAGCTATATATAGCCAGGGATGGTATTTGCGTCCGTGGGATACTTCTCTTGTAAAAGTCATATTTCCTGTGACAATTTCTTTCTTGGTTCTTCGACTGTGGCTTCACAGACTTCAACTTTACCTATAACACGACTGGGGATATCAACTTCCTTATGAACTCCAACCTTGAGGATTTATAGATCACGTCCACAAATTGCCTATTTTTAAGTTCTGGCGTTCTAAATATGGGCAGCATGTGATATTGGAAATATGATCCAAGTTTTTTAATTGTTTTCGATGCAGTCTAGCAACAATAACACTGTCGAAGAGGTTATGCAAACTGTGTTATAGTCTCCACCAATCCTGTTCCCAGATCTCTGAATAAGGGTGAAAGGTTATGAAATCGCCAAGCAGGAAGTGAAACATGCATATATATACACCAAGATTAAGACCCAGTTTATACTGTGAAAGTTTTTGTGTTCATGTTTAGAAATTTTCATTGTTACAAGACTTATAATAGCCAAGTTTTGAATTTAATAACCAGGTTTTGTAGCCGATGTCACAGTGAAATTACTTGGTGTTGACCACTGTTATTGTTTCCTCAAATTTCCATCGAGTCCTTTTAAAACTCCAACTGTGATTGCTGAGAAAATTCGAAAATGTAAACCTAGCTTAATTTTACAAATACAGTGGTCCTTCCAGCTGATCTAAGTATAAAAATCCGGCAACAAATCAGAAGACATTTAGTCAGATCCTCGACAAAACTGAATTGTCATTACCTTCATCCGAAATTTCAAAATCGTGAACAAAATAACTTGCATAAATATAATTCGTAGAGAAGCTTAATTTAATTACATCGCAAATCAAAATACCGACAATGGAGCTTTCAAGTGAAAATTTTGCTCCCGATTGTGATTATTTTAAGTGCTTACTCTGGCTCAAAATAAAATTCAATTAATTATAAGAATTCTTAGTAACTGATTTCGAAGAATCAAATCACATGACGTGCATGGAACTTGTACACAGAGGTCCTGGAACTAGTCTGAATTGTGCAATAAATAATACCCATCCACGGACGTCAGCGGCTTATTCGCCTGAGTTGGCGGCTGTGTACGACCAGGCTTCTTTATTTTGTATTTGTTATGCAAGCTGAACTTCAACATAGACATTCAAGATGCGAGACTCTAGCGTCACCTAGAAAATTATACGATAATTTACTAGTACACATTTCGCAGAAATTTGATAATAGAGAGAAGGTTTTGTTCGAGTTCTCATTTAGGCATGATATGCCAATGCGAGTTCTGGAAACCCAAGAACCACTGAAATGGTTCCGCTGTTTGGAACAACAAATGAGATTGTCGTGGAACGACGTTAACTGCTTGGTCGATTTTCTCGAAGAAGCATCGCTTGAGGAACTCTTAACTGTTGCTCGGGATTACCAAGCAAGAATTACAGTGATTACATTTTTTCAGAAGCATCTTCAAGCAAAATTCCCTGAATTACGTCTAAGTATGTTTGCTAGCTAAGCCTTCATTTTTGTCGTAAATACTAGATGACCTTCTCCAATAATTAAGTTTGCTTGGGCCTATAATCGGAACTGTTACAGAATATTATTGCGCATGCAAATAGCCACTCAAAATGTGTATAACAATCGAGCGATGAATTAAGGTATAAACTTCCATCGCTATTTCAATTGTCTCGCTTTTTTGCCTTTTATATAAAGACTATTTCACAATTGTTGCTGTTATGGGTGAAATCACACTTAGCAATTTGCAGTTATACACCAGTCACATCAATTTTTAGTTGTAGATAAATACATGATAAGTGGTAGCGAATAAGTTGGGGTCTTCAAAGATGAATCGGGCCATAAATCTCCGAAATAAGAGGAATCGGAATCTTATATGTATAATTATTAAAATACACAACAAATGGCTATCGTATTATCGAAGGTGCCTTTCATATTACTTATACATACAAGTAGCTATGTCATTACATGACAATTTTTCTTTTGATGCCAGAATCACTATATACTCTATACGATGGAATAATGTAGTACTGTACTGTATTACTATACTGATTTTCCCACTGTACCTGTCTTGATGGAACCGAAACTATAGTTGTATAATTATGGCAGAATGCAATGTGCTATAAGTACAGTATTTCCTTACAAAGTTAGTGGTTTGCCGTGAGTAATATAGAAACTATTTGTCAAATTTCACGCCTATATAAACGTTGAACGACAAACTTTGACAAAAGCATAGTTTGTAAGTAACGAATACTAACGATGACCATACATGTATTTTGAGGCAAAATAGAAAGCCCTTAATAATTCGAACCTTCACAGATTGAATAATTGAATAATTCGAACCTTCACAGATTCGTTTATTTACGGTATACTTTGCGAAAACGTGTTGTGTGACTTGTGTTCAATGATTATTACACATATCTGATATCCATAATTAAGTATATATATACATATTATTTAACATTTAAAGCTTACATGCGAATTATACACTAAACATTTTTGTCCGCGAGAGATGTTTGTTAATGTTGTTCACAGGTGGCGAAAATCGAAAGTGTTTTAAATTATGCTTGGATTTAGAACTTTAATCGATTTGCGTGTTTCGGCGTGTCCCGTACGTTCGAAAGATCCTGTTCATGTCAACATTGTGTCTCACATTTTTAAACAAAATGCATGGTCTAATGAAATTGAACTGTAGTCGTATAGAATTCGCAAGGAAATAGAAACAATATAAATTATGCATTTATGCATGTCGATAGTCTACAAAGATACACTAAGTATTCATGAATACTTAATTTTTTGTGTTCGACTATAGAAAACGACCAAAACGAATGCTCATGGGAATATTCATATAGTGGTTGCGTTTTTTCATGCACCCTTTACAACAATGAATTAACTTTTTTTTCGTACTATTGTACTAAGGCAATAAACTTCAAGAAAAATGGTATTCAAAACAGAACTTGCCGAAGAATTACTTGAGAAGATGTCGAAAACTTCTTCGAGGAAGAGGAGTAAATCGCGATTTATCTATAAATTGTGTTCGCAGCCTTTTTTCCAAAGGTGTCGTTCTCTTGGTAAAGAGCTGTTCTCCAGTTTTGCCATCTAGTAATGGGTTGCAGTCAGTTTGTCTCAAGCTTCTCTACTTGGCGGACTTATTTTATCACAGATTTAAGGCAATGATCATTGATAACGACGAAATGGTAAGTGATCTGTCAATTTAAAAATCAACCCATTTATCCTTGTCTTTATTGTAAATTAAATTATGACCAGCCGTCAATTTAAACTGAAAGTAAAGTGAAGTGACTTTAAAATAAAGTCGAAAATTTACAGTCTTAACCTGTGTCTTACTGGATTCATATATTTTGACTCTCAAGGTGTCCTGTTTATTCGGAATTTGTTTTTACTTTATTGTAAAATAAATTGGTATATTTCAAATAAGTTTATTTATTACAATGAAGGCGAGATCTCATAATTTCTTATTGCTCTTTTAGCTGAATATTAAGCTATTGCCATCTGGTAAATTTTTTGCTCACGATAATCGTATACTTACACGAAAATCGGTCAATCCGAAGGTCAGGCCTGATCATGAAATGCCAGCAGTTCAGCAGGAAATATCCCACAGACGCAGCTCACGTGAAGTGTTTGAATTTCATGTGAGACTATGTTTTACTTTTCTACTTGGGCTTTTTTCAAGCTTGCAAGGTATGATGAGATGGCGGGAAGATTAATGTATATAAAATGAAGTATAATTATGTAATAAAGCATGGTTCTCATATGTCGTAATTCATAGGCGATGTTCTACGATCCATTAAGATACATCAAATCTAAGGACGTGAAGTAGTACTGTCTTAATTTCCACAGTTTCACTACAGGAATAAAAATTATGGACACTTTATGGTAAACAAGGTCAGAGCTGTATGTAAAACTAATTAAAACTGGGTTCCTAACACTCAATCCGCTTATTTCATTTCACGTCCGCGTTTGGTGTGTCTTAAGTTCCCTAATGTCGGTGATCAATGAAACGACGATGACCAACAAATTTGTATGTTGTGTGTGGATAGCGTGTGGATCAATATTTTTTCAAAGAATAAATCAGTAAATAATTTATTTCAGTTACCAATTAAAACATTTCATGCAAGAATGATACCGACAATAACTATCGCCGTCGCTGATAAATTACGACACATGTTAAACCAAGCCTAATTGTGACTTTTTGGCACAGACTGGCTAGATTAAGATGGATCGATACAGTTTTCAAAAATTTCGGTTCTCTCAAAATATGTTTAAATTCGTTTTTGTTGTCTCTGTATCGAGTCACCTTATTTAACTTCGTCGTAGGTTGAAGATGGTTCCTTAGTGTTTATGTAGACGTCCTTTTCGGCTTTTCTGTTTCAAACTTGGATGCATGGTGGTAAACGGATGCTTGCCTCCCACTTTCTTTACCTCATGCATTTCTGGTGAATGCTTGTTTGCTGATAGATTGTGCAGGGTAGGAAATGGGGCACTCAACTTCGAAATCCTTTTTGTAAGATATGCACAAAAAGAGAGATTGAAAACTAAAATTAGCAATTTCCTATTGTCATTTACACAATCAATTCGATGACGAAAACTGAATTTACTTATAGTGGCGACTGGCGGGCTTTAAAACGAATAGGAGCCATCTTTGATCTAATGGTAGTAATGCTATATATATAAGCCTTAGAGTTATTATTGCGTTCGCGAGGTACTGCTTTCTGCTGTACTCAACTTCGAAAGGGAGTGCACTGAGTAAATTAATTAATATGATAAATGATAAAATGTTGGTGTGTGAGACACCTAATGTTTAGAACGTTTTAACAAAACCTCGAAACCATCTTTACTAAACAAGAGGTGCTAAGAGGTAGGTTAAAATGTGTAACAATGATAAACCTTTAGCGAGTGCGAAGGTTATCGAGCATAATGTACGTAGTCCATTAAGCTGAAGCATGTAGTGCATGAAGCTGCTACGATTGTGACAAACGTCGCAAGACAGCCTTAAAATTATCCTTGGTGGAGGCTGTAATAATGGACGATGTGTGATTGATGTCATAAAACAAACGGTGGTGCATATAAATTGCGATAAGGTCACTATTTCCTCATGGGGTGCATGAAGCCCTCATGAAGAATGACGTAAGTAACCTCGGAACATCTTCATAAAAGATGCATAGAGAGAGGTTTCGCTGTTAAATTGTAAATTAATGATAACCGGACAGCGAGTTGCTGGCAGCGGTTATCTGGCAGATGCAAACGATGCCCGAAAACTTATTTGATACCATGTATTGCATCACATATTGCCTCAAATCAGTGCGTGTAAGTAACACGTACGAGAAGTGTTCCCTCGGGTTTCACTTTCTCAATGAAGAATGTGGTAACACAACTTCAAAAATTTTGTTTGACATAAAGATATGTTAAACCTACTTTATAAAACTCCACATTGTGACGAATTGTTGATTCGTAATGTGTGAAGGAGTGTATGAAGATTACTGTCATGCGACTTACCGCTAACATGCACCGCTCTGGGATTATGTTAGAGGTTACGTCGCAAAACAATGCGGTGTAGGAAACTCCTATACTATTACGTCGAAGGTTGCAACACAGCCTTTGAATCTTTTTGATACAAAATGTACAAAAGGATACATGTTAGACCTAAGAGGCAAATGAATAAACACTCAAACACATATTGAGAGCTTCCAATATGTGGACTGTCGGGTGAAAGCCTCGAAAAGCTCTTCGATTCAAGGTATACGAAGACTAAACTGATGTTAGTACAGATATATGATAATATTGCAAATTAATGCACATATATCAATAACGTGCGCATGAGACGGCATGCCACGATTACGCCGGGCGACAATTCTCGTCGGTGAACAACCTCGAAAACTGCTTTGATACCATGTATTGTATCATACCATTAGTAGAGGTTAAACTTAGCAGTTTATACGATAGGCGATAGCGCCCTGTCGAGTGTATCATGAGTATTAAATACCTAGGTGTGTATCATTCTCTAGTATGACTATGTTATTAAAGAAATTTGAACACAACCTAATCTTTGATTTTTACACGTTTGATATAAGTTGATAATTGTAAACATGTATTAGTAAAATATTTAGAGGGTTTAGTAATTATTAATATTATAGATTTTTAGTTTGCCTAAAAATTACTGCATGTATAAGCGGTAATAATTCTGTAAATTAAGCTTTATTGTCTATATAGGGAATATTCATGCATGTTCAGTAACGTAGCCAGCCTGACTATATGTCCCGCTATGCTAATATTTTGGTATTTATTGAGTGTGAAAACAATGAATTTCTAAAGACATGAATAATTATAATAACACGAAACTTACATGGCGGGACAAAATCGTCAGGCTGGCTACGCCACTGTGCATGTTCAGTATATTCGTAAGTATTAAATTATAAATGATAGACAATTGTTGCATGTAGTTACGATCAGACATGAAATGTATATTCTAAACAGCCTGTTTGTTCAATAAAAGTGCTGCTCTATATTTCTTTATATATACCTTTATTTGTTCAATACTGAAAAGTGCTGCACCATATCCTGTTCTATATCTATATTTTGAAACAGTATAAAAGGTACTGACAGATGATACAGACAAATAATATTTGCGTAATTTTAGTCCTGTTTACCGGTATATTATTATTAAAGGGAAACTTTTTCTTTTTGGGCACCTATTGCGATGCACAGATTCCGGCCTTATAATTCCCTGTTAATGTATGGCATATACCGCGTGTTTTATACATGCATGGATGCATGCATGCCCAAAAAAGGGCAATAAACTAGCTTTTCCAATCGACATCCGCCAAGTAGCCAATCATCGTCGTTCGTTTTCAGCTTTCCCCGTCAACACGTATATTATATGATACCGTGGGCTAAACGACCCGTCTTTTAGCGGGGTTGCGGGAAAGCTTTCAGTTGTATTTTGTTTCTATATAATATATGCTCAGTCAAATAAAACAGAACGGTAGATGCGGGACGTTGGAGTCACCTAGGAAGTTGTACGACAGTCTACTTCTTAACGTCTACGGCAAAATCGGTGAAAGGGAAAAGGACGTATTTGAATTTTCGTTCAGAAATGACCTGTCGAGTTCAGATCTAGAGAGCCGAAATCCATTGAAGTGGTTTCGCATTTTGGAGCGACGAGGGAAGCTATCGTGGACCGACGTTGAGTCCTTGGTTCATTATCTTAAAGAGGCGTCACTTGATTCTTTGGCATCTCAAGCTCGTCATTACCAGGCCAGAGTTCGAGTTATCAAATTCTTTCAACGATATCTCCAGGAAAGTCTGCCTGGAATCCGTCTCGGTAGGTTACCAAATTTAAATGTCGACATTACGTTTTTATAACTCGGGATTGTATAGATGCATGGTATATGGTTGGTTGCATTGAATGTCTCATCGATTTCCGTGCTTTCGAGAGATAATTAAGGTAGCTAATCGGCTACGAAGTTATTATATATTTCGCTGAGTTGCCCAGATACATTACGCAACAAAACTACTTTCATTATTCGCTGCCGGTTATACGCTACTGACTGATTGTACCCGCGATTAGCCGGGGTTTTGTACAGGATTAGATTTGTATAGCATCTTGTGGTTTTGATAGGTAATTATACTACTATACGATGAATCTTTCATCTCAATTTGTCAAAATCCGGCAGAAGGAAACTCAAATCAAAATAGATTTTAGGTGGTATTTTGTTTCGTATGTTTGTGTTTTGTTTATACTACTTGTAATTTGCATCGACGTCATTGTTCTACATGCACTCTACAGTGTCATGCAGCGCCAAGATCGTATATACTCTTTCATTCTTTATGCATCTGCAATACCAATTCATAGTTTTCTTCTCTTATTCGAATGCGAGTTCGCATCTTCTCTATTCAAACTATGATGATCTAGACTATATGCATACATGATAATCTCGATCATAATTATGCGCGAATGTTGATATTGATATAAGTTTTTTCTAGGGTGCTCAATATAATTATACAGTCATGCAATATTTTCATATCTCCAAACAATGTCACGAGAAATGTACACTATAAACACGACAATAATAGATATATAGATATATTGCTTTGAAGTTTTGAGCTCGCATGGTGAGAATTTGTGAGATCATATATAAATGTAAATAGATATATATATATATATATATATAAAATGGCGTATTCAACACGTATTCATTATATATGATATGCCCAAACGTAACAAATTCCACTTGTGACAATTCAAACAAATGAAGTTGTAAACGTGAATAGTATATTTATGTTTGCCGTAATTTGCTTAATGATTTTAAAAAGTTAAAGCTTGGTATAGTTACATCTAAGGGTAACTAAGTTAATTGATTGGCCCAAACGTATGCATGCAAGCATGAGGGGAATTGTGCTATTGACTGTCATAGCGAAGAACAAGGACCTTTGTGCCGTCTTGGACGCGTACTGAAAGTTTGTTCGTCCCTGAGAACTCGAATTTAAGGTGTACCAAATGTAATTTGATGAAAGAGGAATTTCCCATTCAACTCGGCTATCGCCTCTTTAAATGGAACATTTCGTCTTTCACTTTGCGAAAATATTCTTTCCATTGCACTCATAAACATTCATTATTTGTATACACATATTTATAGTCTCGCGGTTCAGCTGATGTGGACATCTCAGACTTAATATTAAAATCTTACATTATAACGACCATACATGATATCTGCACGTTTATGATCATATCATATGTATATATGCATGACCAAATCGAAAGTTCTGGTCTTCTGGAATATATATATGACGTATATAGTTACTGTCAAGTACGCATGTGATCAGGCATTAGGCATATGCAGGAACTTGCATGCACTTAAAAAGGTCACTGTCTATAGTAGATTAGTCTCTAAAAACAGGTTGAAATAGAAAATATGATATTATTTTGCAAGAAATTTGGTACCAAACTTTCCCAAATTTATTGGGGCCGGGCCGCAGGGGGCGAATGAGTGAGAAATGTTTCCTACAGTCAGATTTGGATAAATCCACGAATTCGTGTTGGATTTTTGATTATAACATTCTTTTGGAGTTAAGCTGTCATTACCATCTCTGTTTTGGAGGTCAGTGCTTTCGGGAAAAGGCCAATTGTCCACAATCTAAATTTTACTGAAATTTTACCGCTGTACAGATATAGCAAAATTATAACAATCATTACTAAAATTTGAATTCTCAAATACACCGGCTATACGACTGTCTTAATCAAGTGTTCTGGCATATCTCAATTTCTATAATAATGGTCTACGTATATTTTTGCTCTAGACGATAAGTTAAACGATAAATGGTGTTCAGAGGAAAACCTGCCAAAGCACTACTTGAAAAGATGTCAGGAATTGCTTCGAGGGGCACAAGATTATGATATATCTTTAAACTATTTGCGGAGTCTATTTTCTAAAGGAATGGTTATATTGGTAAAGAGTTGTTCTACTAATGATTCCCAGTCAGCTTGTTTCAAGCTGCTTTACTTAGCTGATCTATTTTACCAAAGATTTAAGGGAGTGATAGTCGCTGATAAAGAACTGGTAAGCCATGTTTTAAGCTCTTTCCTCTCATTACGAGTTACTTTATGTTATATAGGAGTATTTTGGAAATCATTATAATGCTATTATGGTGTATTCTCATTATAGATTTTTCTGTTTTTAGCTGAATATCAAGCCTCTTTCGTCAGGTAAATTTGTATCTCTCGATGGTCGTGGAAGAACGCCAGTAGTTCTCAGACGAAGAAGTTCAGTACAAGTTGAAGTTTTTCAGCAGTTTATTCAGAGGCGAGGTTTACATGAATTCAACATGTCGTTCACTGTATTAATGTGTGTAATATTACCACTGGCTGGACTTGTTACAAGTTCAGTACTAGGTATGATTTCAAAATAAAAAAGCTAGATATCTGATTAATTTTGGTTGAAAATGGCTCGATCTTTGAATAGTATAACATCTTGTATCAATTATTTTTCCAGAACCAGTGATTTCATATTACAAGGCCCTATATATTTTACTGACTGTGCCTTGAACATAACTACAATTGATGAAAAAATTACACTTTCTATAACATTTCCTAGTTTGGAAAATTCCTCGATATTAATATTAACAATTGATGTAAACCAATCGAAGCCATTCTTAACCAAAATTATGTTAAATGCCGGAGATAAAAGGGGATCCGCATAGAGTTGGATAATGCAGGAAAAGTTAAAACTAAAAGGATTTATACTAAAAAGAGAATATGGGGTGTGAGAAAAAAATTTTTGCATCACAAGAAAACTGAATTCAGACAACGAAATGTAAAATGAAAGTTTGAAACCATTGAGGAAAAAAAGATAGAATTAATTAAAAAGGAAACAATAAATTAAAAGGAATGTGACAAAACACGGATAGCTTACGTTAAAAGTCACAACGAAAAGTCAAATATGATATAAGAAACCAGTAAAGAAACACGAGACAAAATGCGTGCAAGACGTAAAATAAGGAGGAAACACATTAAAGCTTATAATAATGGCTTGAAGATATTAGTGATTTGTTAAAAAGATAACAAATTCACGAGTGATACAGATATTAAAGATTGAAAGAGTTTAAAAGATTATATTGACATGGGCAAGCAAGTTTGACTCCCTTGTCGGAAGAAATAAGAAAACATGAAACAATTTGAAAGTTGGAAAAAGGTGTAAAATGAAATTAAACGAAGTGAGGTAGTTAAACGCCTCTCAGTATTTAAAACAAAAGTGAAGTTTTAAATGAAGTGTATGATTATAAATATACCTCTGAGTTAGGATATTTAAAACAAAAATGAATGAAGTTTTAAATGAGGTTAAATTTTTAAAGAAAAAATTGAAATATTGTAAACAATTTATTGACATTCAATGAAAATAGATTTGAACGAAAAATGATTATAAATGTATTTTTACATGCAGACAAAAATAAAATTGTAAAAATAACAAGCCCTGGTAAAACAAGAATGAAGTTTGAATAAATGAAGCTAAATTTTTTATTATTGATGTGTGTGCGTATGTATATGTGAAATAAGGATGAATAGGTGTAGTAAGACATCTTAGTTGATAGATGTAATGAATTTAAATGAACAAATACTACATAAAAAGCAAGAACGATGAAAATAATTGATATTTTGTATGAGCATATAACAAAACAAACAAAGTGCAACTGAGAGAAAATGCGTTTCATGTGTAAAAAATTAGTATTTGTATATAGTACATTTCTATACAGATATTTGGTAGACTTGTTGACGTTTTAGTATATAATAAACATTTGTCACTAAGAATCGCTGAATAAAATGTGTATTTATTGCAGACCCAAATGGCATTCTCTTATTTCTCTATTAATGGTTTTGAAAATATGACTTTTTTGATATTATCCATGGCCATGTATATTTAATTCCTGTGGAACTAACATGCATGCGCAAGACGGACAGTTAAAGACCAAAAGAAGGACAGCGAAAACTGCCAATGTTATTTATTGTCGTGGGAGTTTCGGATTGGTGGTATTGCTGACTAATACTAATGATACACTGAAGATCTCCTTGTCGAAATCACCAAATGTCCGGAAAATTGTCTTTTATGCTATACTGTGTGCCTGCATGCATGTGAAACCAACAGGGTAAATTCAGGATTACTCCCCACCCCCCAACTATTCTTTTAGCCATTTTAGGGGTAGTTTTGCATGACTACTATATAATATATATATATATATATATATATATATATATATATATATATATATATACAGTAGGAGGCAAAAGTTTGAGTCCAGTGACTGTATTTCATTGTTTTAGCAGCATATATTAATATTCTACAGAAAACCTTACCAATAAGTAAACTACAAAAAAGTACACGAGTAAACAGAAAAATACATGCTGTACAACAACTATGAGACGTTATGATATTCATTTTACGTATGTTAATGTGCAAAAATGCATTTCATGTCAATGCTTAGTGTCCCTCTTTTTTGCTCTTGAAATGACGTTTATTCTTGCTGGCATAGACTCCATAGGTTTCTTAATGTCGCACGTTTAATACCTTGCCAGAATTCGTTGACCACTTGCCTCAAGTCATTCTGGCTGGCGGGTCTGTGCCTCGCCCTTTTCCGGTTAAAACGGTCCTACAAGTACTCGATAGGTTTCAGATCTGGAATTTGAGGTGGAAAGCCATGAGAACGAGATCACCAAAACGAGTTTGCTTCTAAACGATTTCTGGCACATAGAAGATGTGCAGGTGTTTATGGGATTATCATGTAGTTACACACGCGATCATCCTTGTACCAGATGAAATTCCATGTCCTTGAAGAATTGGATGATACTTTACTTTAATTAGGATCCTATTATATCTTTCAATATTGCCAAACCGAGCATGACGGAAGAAGCTAAAAGTTTGCTTGAGTAGGATTTAGTTTCTTCGAACCTCTCCAAGGTTAGTTGCATACCACCTTTTTAAATTCTCACTTTTTCTGCGATCTTACGAGGAAAGAATCCCTCAATACTTAATGCAACTATTTGTCCTTGTGCACCATCACTTTGCCCTTTTTCCCACCAATCTTGGGCAGTGTAAAGGAATAAGAACTTTATTTTGTTATAATTTAGATCATTAGGACCAAAACAGTGTGTAATTAATATGGTTTACAGTACTGAAACACTAATACGCATGTCTTACTCGAATACACTGCCAGGGTTTAATACTGGAATTCTACAACGACTGGACTCAAACTTTTGCCTCCTACTGTATATATATATATATATATATTATATATATATATATATATATATATATATATAATTATATATATATCAAGTGTGGGGGTTACATCTTTAATCCTACTTATGATGTTTTTATAACATCATAAGTAGGATTAAAGATGTAACCCCCGCACATGATATAACGCTCCGCCGTCCCTGGACACAACCCAAGCAATACATCCATCCAAAGCGTTAATAAGCTTCAATGTGAGAGATCGATTTTATGTACTTATGTATCAATGCGAATGTACATTCTTAACATATCAAATGTCCAAGTGCCACACAACTCATCCCATCGTCGTCATGAACATTCTTACAATGCAGGAAATAAGTATAGTTAAAATACGTAGGTATATTATCCGCGCCAAGTACTTTGTTTATTAGGAACCTACGCCTACAATATCCTGAAGGATTTCAAAATTGAAATCCTACAGAGTATTGTAGGCGTAGGTTTATCAATGCCTGAAGACTTCCCATGTTTTTAGGTGCTGATGCGAAAAGAAAGATATTTTTTAGATAATGCATATGATTCTCACTTCCTCGATCATCGAAGCAAAAAGCAAACTCATTCGAGTTTGAGACATGCATTTCCAGCTAAAATGTTCTACCAAAAAAATAATTGTCATGCATGTAATAAGTAATAAGTGTCATGACATCGTCGATCCAGGCTATTAATTAAAAGGGAAATGTATACATTGGAATCAATCTGTTGAAGGTTGGAGGAAAGCGATTTTTTTTAATTATTATTATAAAAATGTTTGCCAATTGGTAGCCGAGCAGCAAATTACAATCGAAATTACAACCAAAAACGGGAAATATACACTTTTAAAATTTACGATCAGTCGTTATAAGATCACTCCATTTACAAATTATATTACCTATGACTATGACAAAGGCAATTGGACTGTTTTTAAACCGCTCCATCCTGTATTTAAACTTATAAATCTTGTCACATGATTCAGTCTTGTCTCACGTTCCCTAATTCCGTTAACCGTTGCGGGCAGAAGGTCATGTAGCTTATGTGTAGGATCTATCATGTTCTTAATCAAGTTTTTACATATAATATCTCTACGGTTCTCTAGGGTTTTAATACCACACTAAGCCAGTGCTTCTTCGTACGTCCTTTCGGGGTAAATTATTCTAAGCGTTCTCCTTTTAATCCTCTCAATTAATGTCCTAACATTGTTTACAAGTTATAGACTCCCGTGCCAAACTTGGGCACCGTACTCAAGCACAGCTTGAATTAGAGATGTGTTAAACACTATTAGATTCTTTTCCGGTGCCAAATATAACTTTTAAGAACCGTTTTATCAATTACAATCGTTTCGCAGCTTTATTGACGATGTGCTCTGTATTAGTACTCCATTTCAAGTCGTCGTCAATCCATATAAACCAAGCAGTTTATAACTTGTTACCCTTTCCAGGAATATTTCTTGATTTTCTTCCACCTTTAAATAGGGGGTTATTTTTTCAAATTCAGTTGCATTCTCTCATTTTTGGCATATACATTTACTGCGTTGATTTTTTCTTGAATATAACCTGTATTTGCACTGGAGATATGCGCGTGAACATCCATAAACCTGTACATCGTGCTATATCACCCATAAAAATTATTGAGTCATCTTCAACGACCACATATTCTATTTTTCCGCCCACATGTTAGCCGTAGTTATATTAGCTACCTCTTATTATTTCCGGAAGTTTATTGATATGTATAACGAAGACCACTGGCAATGCCCCTTTTTTTTTCTTCCTTGTGGTACTCGATCCTCCCTTTATGAATACAGACATGGTCTTCATGGCCATACATGGCTGTATGGTCTTTGTTATACATATTAATAAACGTCCGGAAAAAATAATAATGGACAAGAAGAAACGAGGTAGTTGAAGATGACTCAATACTTTTTATAGACGATAGCACGATGTATATACGAGGTTATGGATGCATGTTCACACGTCTTACAGTCGTACAGACTTATTCTCGTATTGTCAGGAATTTATGGAATGAATGTAATAAATTTCATTGTTTCCCGTTTAAACAGACATAAATATGTTACACATGCCATTATGTATATGGCTTAATTCCAATCGTCAATATTGTTCTCTCGGAAAAAGCCGAGTGCATGTGCCATGTATATACAAAGAAACTCCTTCCAAAGGGGAAAACCCTATTTCATCACCGCGTCAGCTCCGGCTCGGCCAGCATATATATATAAAAAGAAATAATTATGTATATAGATATTGCAGTCAGTCTGCATGTTGGGGGTTGCGGGAAACGAATCTAACTAATATAAACTTCTATTCTGATTATATATACGTGTATATATGATTCAAATAAAGCACAAAGAGTTACGATCGGTGACTTTGGAGTCACCGAAGAAGTTGTACGACAATTTACTTTTGAACATTCACAGAAATATGGTTGAAAAAGAAAAGGACATTTTCGAATTCTCGTTTAGAAGTGATTTGCCAAAGTCAATTCTAGAGTGTCGTAATCCGTTGAGATGGTTCGGCATTCTGGAGCAGCGAGGAAAGCTATCTTGGCCGACATTGATTGCTTGGTTCATTATCTTCAAGAAGCCTCACTTTCTCCTTTAATTTCGGAAGCACGACATTTTCAGGCTAAAATCAGAGTTATTGGTTTTTTTCAAAAATATCTTCAAGAACGTCTACCAGGAGTTCGTTTAGGTACGTATATAATATCAAATTCGAAGAATTAAATCGGGTATATATTATATAACGATTCTTATATATCTTATATCTATAATCTTGTATAACGACCATGCATGGTCATTAATTTCTGCATGGTTATGATCATATCATATATATATGTATATATGCATGGTCTATGACCAAATCTAAAGTTCTGGTCTTCTGGAATATATATATGACGTATATTTATAGTTATCGTCAACTAAGCATTTGATCAGGCATTAGGCATATACAGGAACTTGCACTTAAAAAGGTCACTGTTAGTCACTAAAAGACAAGTTAATATGACATTAGAAAATATGATACACAATAGAAAATATGACATTATTTCGCAAGAAATTTGGTATACCAAACTCTCCTAAATTTAGGGGGCGAATGAGTGAGAATTAAATGTTATATATTTGGATAAATCCACGAATTCGTGTTGGATTTTCGATTAACATTCTCTTGGAGTTGACCTATCATTAATATCTCTGTTTTGGAGGTCAGTGCTTTCGGGAAAAGGCCAATTGGCAAGAATCCAAATTTTACTATCCGCTGTACAAATATAGCAAATTTATAACAATCATTACTAAAATTTAAATTCTCAAATACACCGGCTATACGAGTATCTTAATCAAGTGTCCTGGCATATTCCAATTTCTAATAATGGTTTACTCGTATATTTTGCTCTAGACGATAAGTTAAACGAGAAATGGTGTTCAGAGCAAAAACTGCCAAAGCACTACTTGAAAAGATGTCAGGAATTGCTTCGAGGGGCACAAGATTATGATATATCTTTAAACTATTTGCGGAGTCTATTTTCTATAGGAATGGTCATATTGGTAAAGAGTTGTTCTAGTAATGATTCCCAGTCAGCTTGTTTCATGCTGCTTTACTTAGCTGATCTATTTTACCAAAGATTTGAGGGAGTGATAGTCGCTGATAAAGAACTGGTAAGCTATGTTTTAAACTCTTTCCTCTTCCTCTCTTTTAAAGATAATTTCAGTTTAAAGAGATGATTACGAGTTACTTTGTGTTATGAGTAATATTTTGAAGACCATTATATCCTATTGTGGTGTATTCTCATTATAGATTTTTCTATTTTTAGCTGAATATCAAGCCTTTTTTGTCAGGTAGATTTTTATCTCTCGATGGTCGTGGAAGAACGCCAGTGGTTTTCAGACGCAGAAGTTCAGTACAAGCTAAAGTTCTTCAGCAGTTTATTCTGAGGCGAGATTTACATGAATTGAACATGTCGTTCACTGTAATAATGTGTTTGTCATTACCACTTGCTGGACTTGTTACAAGTTCAGTACTAGGTATGATTTCAAAATAAAAATGTAAATATCTGATTAATTTTGGTTGAAAATGGCTCTTCGATCTTTGAATAGTATAAGATCTTGCATGAATTATTTTACCATAGCCATGTATGTAATTCCTGTGGACCTGACATGCATGCGCAAGACATACAATCGGAAACTACAAGAAGAACAGCGAAAACTGCCAATGTCATTTATTGGTGTGGGAGTTTCGTACTGGCGGTATTTCTGACTAATATAGTAATGCAAAGATATCCTCCTTGGGGGAATCTTCAACAGAACGTCCGTCAAATCGCCGGTCTTTTATGCTCTACTGTGAGTCTGTGAACAGTGAAACCGGCAAAAGGGTAAATTCGGATACACTCCCCACCCGATTCTCTCAGGGGTAGTTTTGCATGACTATAGATATATATGCAACAAGTATACTTGATGGCATTATGTCTTAAAAAAAAATTCTATAAATATAATTATAATGGTTTAATTCTCATATAAGGTCATGCAATGTGATCGCAATATAGATATAGGCAAAGTTTGGTCAGTTTCGAAAGTTTGATCAGTTAGTCCTCCTTAATAAAATAGAATAAAACCCCATATTATTTTGATGACATGCAGCGGTAAAATGACAAAATGAAATATTTGATGGTTAGCTATATGTTTCGATTTAAAATGGTGTAATATTGCGTTTATTTGAGTGCAATTATTATCAACTTGACACTATATACATTATAATACCCTTAATTTGTACCCACTTTGCATAAATTACTTACATGCATGTGTAATTTTTTACTATTATGGCACTGAAATTCTTACTATTATGGCAATTTTGACTATTATGGCATTGACCATAACTGGCATTGATATGGCATTGATCGACATACCGATCGGCAGCGGACATCATTAGTTAGTAGGCTAGATTAAGCTAGTGCTCTGTAAAGCATCCTCCGTGATCATGAACGCCAATGAGAAGGAAAATTATCGGTAGTGTTTCAGACCTGCTCAGTTTTGGGTTTTAGGTAGGCTATTTTTGACCCGGCTGTTTGTTTTAGCATTGTTTTTGACATTAAAGAAAGTTCTGGAAAAAGTTATTTAGGAAGGGGAAAACCCTTTCAATAAAAAAGCCCATCATCTATCACCGTCATCTCCGCCTCGCCAGCATATAAAAAAGAGACATGCAGACATTGCGGTCAGTCTGTTCTGTTGGGGGTTGCGGGAAACGAATCTAACTAATATAAACTTCTATTCTGATTATATATATATACGTGTATATATGATTAAAATAAAGCACAAAGAGTTACGATCGGTGACTTTGGAGTCACCGAAGAAGTTGTACGACAATTTACTTTTGAACATTCACAGGAATATCGGTGAAAAAGAAAAGGACATTTTCGAATTCTCGTTTAGAAATGATTTGCCAAAGTCAATTCTAGAGTGTCGTAATCCGTTGAGGTGGTTCAGCATTCTGGAGCAGCGAGGGAAGCTATCGTGGACCGACATTGATTGCTTGGTTCATTTTCTTCAAGAAGCCTCACTTTCTCCTTTAATTTCGGAAGCACGACATTTTCAGGCTAAAATCAGAGTTATTGGGTTTTTTCAAAAGTATCTTCAAAAACGTCTACTAGAAGTTCGTTTAGGTACGTATATCAACTTCAAATAATTAAATCCTGTTTATATATATATATGTAATATCATATTTATTGTTAAACCATGCATGCACTGACTCGTATAATAATCAGGAGAGTTGTATACATGCAGCTAGCCCATTCATCTCAGTACCATTTACGTGCCTAATTATATATTTATTTTTTAACGCCTGCATGTTGGGACGTGAAAATAGAAAGCTGGTAAATTGTATGGTTTTACATATGTATGCGTAAAATATCTAAACGTGCGACGTTTGGTCACCTCCGCTTACTTGGTAGTTGGTACTACGTGATACGATATAGGAAAATAAATATGCACACTTTTATCATTTTGATCGCTGCGATGAAATGATTACTTTTTCCACCTAAAATAAAGCACCGTGAAATAATATAAATAACAATAACTGCATGATAATAATAGTTGCATCAGTTGCCCAAGTTTATTATTACCATATATATGAGGAAATACTCTAATTCAACTGAAATTATTGAAAGCATGCATAATTTATGCAGTATGGATCATGGCAAATTAATCCCGCGCTTATATTTTGCGTATCAGCCAATATAACATAATCTAACATTTACGTGCATGCTTGCTTCGAATTATAGTTTACCTTACAAAGTTCCAAACTGCGCGGATACCGCGCGTATATAAATAAGACAAATAAGCACGGGGCTGAACTTTTAGTAAACTGTGAGTAATCCTTAAGTATAATACAACGATATTAAATAAATAAAGATTTTAGAGGGTGTTAATGATTTCTTACCGATATTAGCGGTAAACAAAACCAAACACTCGGTAACTAGCTATATAGCATATAAAGTTTTAGTTTTTATGTAAATATTGTAAATGCGATATCAAACATTAAATGTGCATTGTTAAAACAATTGTTTAACCCTCACATGTCGGAATCATATATAATGAAAGATTTTCGAATGTTCTGGTATATTTTAATAATTAATTGCACCGTTTTGATTGAGCGCGTTATTTATGTCATGCGGCTGTTCGTTTCAGATGGCGGAAACTTCTGGAAGAAAATTCATCTAAATTCCTCTCCACGTCTTTGTTCTCATAGTGACTGTTTTATCAATATAGGGTTAATACTTAACAGTTATTCTGCGAACTCGGCTATCGGCCATATACGACGAGACTGAGCCGAATAACTGTTTTATTATCTACACAAGCTTTGTCGCCCTTTCGGTGCATTTTGGTGTGCTATTATCAACTAAAGCTTGAATTTATATTTCACTCAACTCCCCAAATCTTTCAGCCATTTTGTTAACTTTCTCTACTAGACAGATATGAGCTAATATCTGTCTAGTAGCCAACCAATAAAATTGCAGCATACCTCATATCTGGCACTTGTGTATATAATAATTACCTATATATTGCTGACTGCTGAGATTCATGCATTTTTACAAAGGTGACAATTTTAGTCTTTGGACCGAAGAAATTTCTGGAAAAAGGTATTAACCAAAAAAACACCAATCATGCAAGAAGGCCATTGAATATTGTCGCATTATGTAATGCAAAATACATCCGCGGTTTGACATATGTATACATAGGTTTTATATATAGTCATGAAGATGTATAAATATTGCAAAAAATTTTCGGTTTCAAAAACAATTTAAATCACTGGATTCATTCACATAAGATTTATCCAGGCTTATAGATAATATAAGGGCTATGCAGTAATTTTAAATGTTTCCTTATATATCAAATAAATAGATAAATTAAATTGTTCTGTTTGGTATGCCTGCATGCAGTTCTGGGTTGTAACTATCAGTAAGAAATCGAGCTCGAGTATAGGCTACGCGTGTTTACGAAAACACGTACAAGAGTCAAGAAAATGGCTCATTCAGTGTAATCCCGAAGTGTATGGAATGGATTTAGCCGTTCATAGAAACAGATTCCGCTTCTAGTCAAGAACGTTTTGAATTCAAAAACGCGTCTTTATGCGTGTCAGTGTTAAAAGAAACACACGCATCAAAAGAGCGGCTTACAGCCCTTTTTCTATAGCTATAATATAGAACCTATACTATAGCAAAAGTATAGTTATTCTTCTTACGCTTGAAAGCGGTTGAAGAAGTTTATATTCTCTATAGTTAACATCCGTCTAACATCACATGCACTGTCGGCGTTACATCGTATATAGAGTTAACTGACGTCAAGAAGCTGTAACTCTTACCACGCAGCACACATGCAGGATGAAAAAAGGCAACGATATTTGGACTTTAAATCTATACTTTTAACGCTCGTATATATATAATGAGTATATCTTGGTAGCAGGTTTCTCAATTCTCACAAAAAAGTTAAATGTCATTTGATATCATTAGAGTAGTCTTGCTATACAGGCGTTTATATGTATACGGTCGTTCTGTCATCGCAATACGGCGTAAGAAAATCTTTACCAAACGATTTACCAAACTTAAAAAAATTTGGGTTTTTATAGACTCAACGTGCTATCCAGTGTTAGCAAAAGTTTTTGAAATCTTCAACAATCTCAATTCGTCGTTACTCAAAAGGAATTGAATATCGTATTTGAAACTTCCCACTCAGTATCTCTTTACAAGCAGCTATTGCACCATTGACGTAGGTTCAAATGTAGCTATATCCCACAAAAATCGCGAGAATGCTTATACAACGGGAAAACCCCTTTGTCCCTTTCAATATATGAAACTAATCACAATGTGCCACGTCTCATTTCACTATTCGCCAGAACGCTTCAGTGTCGTCCCGGCAGACGGTTTATATAGTTGTACATCATAAATGCCAATTTATACGCGATGTATTGCCAGCCTGTTGGCGGTCAGTGTGGGAGAACAATTTGGTTGTAATTTATCTCCGGCCATATATGAATCAAATAAAACAAAAAGAGCTACGAATCGTGACACTGGAGTCACCTAAGAAGTTGTACGACAATTTTCTTCTATGCGTTCATGATAATATTGGCAAAAAAGAAAAGGATATCTTAGAATTCTCATTTAGAGATGACTTACCAAGGTCGATTCTGGAGAGTCGTAATCCGCTAAAATATTTCGAGATTTTGGAGCAACGAGGAAAGCTATCATGCACCGATATTGGCTCCTTGGTCAATTATCTTAAAGAAGCGTCACTTTATTCTTTATTATCGGAAGCACGATATTATCAGGCTAGAATACGAGTTATTGGATTTTTTCAAAAATATCTTCAAGAATGTTTGCAAGAAGTTCGCTTAGGTACGTATATCAAATATCAAACCAGTTAATAATTTTACATCAATATTTAGTGTTCTATATATATAGAACAACCTATCTTTCCGCTTTTCTACTGAAACGAATGCAAGCACGAGGGAAATTGTAAGGGAAACGACTGCAAAGTAAGCTGCTTTATTGTTTGCGAGACGCCGTCAGTTAGTCTATATATAAGTTGAAATTCATGTTGTAATTGTCGCTCATGCATGCATGTATGTAAAAATAGCGACATATACAGCTGAAAGTATAGTATTTATTTCATGATAATTCTATACAATATCTAAAAATTCTAAAAATATTTAAATATTCTAAAAATTTATTTTGCTAAGATCCTGGAAAAGAAAATTCGAAACCAAATAAGGTATATGCATGTATGATATGAATCATATGATATTTGTGCATGATGTAAGATGTAAGCTATTTATGTCATAATTATATATCTATGAAGGAATATATATCTGGGAATTTTTTTTGGAGACGTAATAAATATCTCCTAATAAAATGTGAACATATTTTACTCAATGTATATCATATACCAGTCTAATCGTGAAACTTCAAATATATGTCTATATATAGCCAATATAAGATATCAATCAAGTCAAGCAAAGATCAATTTATGCACCCAGATGAATCCGTCTATATATATGTATGAGCTAAAATTTATTACATCATTTCGTGATTATGAGACTATAGATCGATTCAGCTTTATCATAACACTAATCATCGTCAGACAGAGTGGAATTTAACAGACAAACACTCTCAGAACCGATTTAAATTTGCATGCATGAAAATCATTTTTGGCTACAGCCGACTAGTCTTCGCTACCAGACAGGCTGCATTCATTAACAGGATACAAAAAATGTCTTTGTATTGTCCATTGTCCCGATTTGTCCGGCTCAAAAAGGTGACGCGCCGACCCCGCTAATTGGTCTGATTTCCTCAAATTGCATACATATAGTCGTAGATGTAGGGTTTTGGATAACGTCATTGCTAGATGTGATTTGAAAGAGGGTAGATTAACGCATTTGACTAATTTTGGGTTGATATTAGTTCCCTAAATAGTATAGGCCCTTCATAATAGGCCTCTATACAGATTGTGCTAGTGAATAAAGTCTTTGTACTATATGTCCATTGTCCGGCCCAAAAAGGTGACTCTCTCGTACGGCAATTGACTTCAGCGGACAGTCTGTCCGGCAGCATGTTAGCACAATTATTTTGTACGATCGGAATTAAAAAATATTCATATACGGCAGAATTTCGTCGGTGTACGCATGCAGTTATACTCTGTTATCATATAGTTAAACGTTAAATATATCACTGTTTCACTTTTTATCTGTAGACGATAAGTTGAACGAAAAATGGTGTTCAGAACAAAAGATACCAGAGAATTATTTAAAAAAATGTCAGGAATTGCTTCGTGGACTACAAGATTATGATATAACTCTCAACCATTTGCGAAGTTTGTTTTGCAAAGGCATTGTTATCTTGGCGAAAAGCTGTTCTAGTAAAGATCCACAGTTAGCTTGTTCCAAGCTACTTTACATGGCTGATCTGTTTTACCTGAGATTTCGAGAGGTGATAGTCGATGATGAAGAACTGGTGAGATCAGTTTCACTATACTTCAATATCCTTAATTCCTGTTAGTTTTACTATATTTCAGGCAACGGGTTAAACAAAGGGCATTTTACATTGTAAGGCCCGGTTTACAAAGTTAAATTTTTCGTGATCAGGATTAGAATTTTCAAACAGCAAATCCCAGGAAATTAAACGATTTGCTATATATATATATATATATATATATATATATATATATATATATATATATATATATATATATATATATATATATATATATATATATATATATATATATATATATATATATATATATATAATACCAACAAATCGTAAGTTATTTCATCGTAATATTCAGTACTGAATTTCACAAGTCAAAATTGCAACTGTGATCACAGACACTTTGAAAGTAAACCAAGCATTTGACAGTGTAAACCAAAAACCGGCATTTGCACACACATATATATATTCTCATCTGTACTTATGTTTTAAGCTGAACATCCAACCTTTATCATCCGGTAAATTTTTGTCTCTCGATTATCGTGGATCAACTACAGTTATTTGGCGACGCAGAAGTTCAGTGTCAGCTGGAAGTGTCAGACGTAGCCAGATAAGAGGAAAATATGTTGAAGTTGATACTTTATTTATGGTAAAAGTATGTCTCATATTGATAGTAGTCGTAGACGTAGGATTTTGGATAACGTCATATTGCTAGGCAAATTAACATTAGCCTTTCTCACGATGACGTTTTTGGGGCACTTTCAATGTTCTCAAATGAAAAGCGATTTTCTTAGAATCAACAGACCATTTGAAGAATAAATTTGAAGACAGTCACCCTTACGAGTTACGCTTACGGGTTTGAAAAAAAGTACCCCAAAAATGGCGGCATATTTGTCATCGTGAGAAAGGTTAATTGCATTTTAAGATTAACAATATACTTAAAACCGAAACCAGTATATTGGAGTGGAATGTGTCAATGCATGTGTGTGAAGTGCATGGAAGAGTGCAATTGTGAAAGTATCAGTAAAGTACCATTTCAGTCTAGATCTTATGCTATATACTGTAAATAGGTAATGGATAATCAATATACAAACGTTATAGTAAAGAAAATAACTATGATTCGCAAATAAATAAATACACGGTATAGTTAATTAATGTACCATAAATCAAAACAAATTTTAAATAATGTTAACGATAGAAACAAAAAAAAACTGGAACTGGAATCACATGCAGACGGAAATATAAGTGTACATAATAATGCATTCATTTTTATAAATAATATAGTTTGCTAAATTTTGTTTTATGTACAGAGTTTATTTTATACAGTGTGATACACATAAAAAATTCACCGCTTTCTTTAGTTACTACACTGTCTCATTCTTCTTGAAAGCAATACACCTGATCCTCTTATCTCTTTCCTGTTTAAATGTTTTGAGGGACGAAGGAAGGCAAATAAACCCAAGCAAAACTTCTCGTCTCTCGAGTGACAAGCTGCCCAAGTTATTATTTCACCAATTCTGCCTAAACAGAGGACCACCGCCTATGCTTTAGATCTTGACAACGAACTACCGATTGGTGAGAAGCTCTTGAGGCTAAGCCTTTTTATCAGGGCGCTTATATATTATTATTAATTATTATATATTTATATATCAACGCCCTTGCTTCTTATTGGAATGAGCCCTATAGTTTGGTGGCTAACCGAGCTCAAGCGCGATGCATTATGGTGCGTACGTATATACACGGAACTTGTTCTAGAGCTAGTGGTTTAATTTTGGGTTTTATAGGCACTTTAAGGCGACCTCGCTGCGGCAGCAATTATATAGCTCAGTGGATATATCTTATACGTCACTGAACTCACAACGCAACTGGATTAACTTTTATTATTTCAAAAATATTTATTGGGTTACTGGGATGCATACATTTTTAAAAACAATTTAACAACCTTTGAGAGTTATCGAAGAAGGACTGAACCTACGACTTTTTGTCTAGTGAAGGGGGCTCTGTCTGCATTGTTGCCATGTTTCTTGTTGGTCTAACAGGAGGGATAGCAACTGGTAAGAGTGCTGTCTCACTTATGTTACAGCAGCTACAAATTGAAGATATTTTTATTGATGCTGACAAAATTGCTCGGGAAGGTGGGTTGATTGCATCATTTGCATGTGCTATGTATGTTCATTTTAATTCATTTTGCATAGGCGTAAGTATATAAACATATCTGGGAATCCATCACAATTATTGCTACTCTGGTTTAATTAATGAAAGTATATAATCACCACACATCTAATTAAACCGTACCAGAATGCAAAATAAACATATTAACCAGGATGCATTCTGTGTAGCCTACGCTGAGGATCTTCAGCATAAAGTTAAAAAATTGTCATATATTCATAATAAAATTTGGCATGCAATTATTTAATATTAAACATTGAAATGTGCACCATGGCAAATCAAGCATTGAATAACTGATGAAGATTAAGAAGAAACCCCTGATTTAAGAAACTAAACCTCTTCACTAAATATTAGAAGATCTTGACCATTTTCTACCCTCTATCCTGGCCATGGTAATGACTTTCAAATTTCTTTGTTCAGTGGTAGAACCAGGTAAACCAGCATGGAGAAATATTGTCAAAAGTTTTGGAGAAGACATTCTTCTTCCAACTGGTGAAATAAACAGAAATATGTTGGGAGATGTTGTTTTCTCTGATCCACAAAAACGAAGATTACTCAACAGCTGTACACATCCTGCTATCCGTAAAGCAATCTTGTGGAAAATATTAAAAATGTTTTTAGAAGGTAAAGGCTACCAAATTACTCTACTTACATACCTGCTTCAATGATACTATTATTTAAAAAGTGAATATTTCTGGTGAAATTTGATGTAATATTCTCGTGAAAATTATTTCACTTGGTTACTGCATGCAGGGCCGCCGAGAGGGGGGGAGCCCCCGGCCCCAAACCTGAAGGTTCCCCTGACTTAAGAAAGAACCTAAGATTAAAGAACCTTAAAAAATGTTGGGCTTGGTGTATTCGCACACTAGTCGAAAGTACGAGTGACAGTTATTGTTATTTTAATTTTGAAGATATGTTGATATTGTTTGTAAAAAAGTTTGTGAAACCTTTGCACAACGCTTTGAAATACTTTAAGATATTTAAAACCATGACGTCATATGGCCCCAGAAAAAATTTTGAGCTAGGCCCCACAATTTCTCTCGGCGGCCCTGTTTCCAGTACACTTGACCATGGTCGAATGCGCCGTTTTCCGCCAGACTCCACTAAGGTCGAATACGCAGTTTTCGGGTAGACTCGACCATGGTCGAATACGTATGTATATATATCAGGCAAATTTAATATATTGTACTATTTCACTCAAAAATAGAGTATTACACCAAATGCTGATTCCAACTAAGACCAAAGCTAAAAACAACATGTCAAAATAAGTGCATGTTAAACCAAAATTTCTATTTTCACTGATACTCATTTGTCTGAAAAATAAACATTTTCAGCACAGTATCGCGCTTCCACGTTACAACTTTTTGCAAACTCACGTGGCCGTTTTATTAATCATTAGACGTTCTTTCTAGTTGTTTTGGATTTTATTGTTTTCGGGTATACCTAATTAAATTTTCCTTTACCCAGGCACCTTCGGTCTGTAATTGCTGCATGTGATTATAGAAATGTATTTGCACCGGCGACGACAAGTACCTTGACCGTCGTTCTTGCGTATCCGATAGACAGGAGCGGTCCAGACCGATGCGCACCATATTCCGGTATATATTCGACCATGGTCGAGTAAACCATATTCTGCTATATTCCGAATTTAAGGTAAGGTCGAATGTACCGGAACATGGTATATTCGAATATAGTGTCCATAATATGCCCAAGAATGCATGGTACATTCAACCATGGTATACTTGAATATAGGATATTCAACCTTGAGAATGATATTGTTCAAAACATCTATCAGTCAGCCAAAATGCTGGATCCATCCCTGGACTATCGTGTATAATTTGGAGGAACAATTTTACTAGCAGAGAACTTTTGTGATTTCAACAGGACGTCGGTTTGCTGTTTTGGAAGTCCCATTATTGTTTGAGTCTGGCGTTTTTGCACCGTTCATGAACAAGATAATAGTTGCCTATTGGTAAAGTTTACTATTAATACTAACTATCGTTCGCTTTCGCTAACGAAATGAATTCTATAATATAGTATAGTTTTGTGTGTAATTTTGAAAAAATATGCAAGAACGAGTCTGTGAAAGCAATGATAACAATGGACGAGTTCGTAGGACATGTGAAATTTAGAGGCGTATACGGTATACCGGCATGCTGATTAGGTCCTTTGTGCATCAACAGAGTCTTAGCTAATGAGTTGCATACATGTATCATATTTACCTTGTTAGTATGGCAGATACTATATATACAAACTCTATAGAAATTATTTCTTCCTGTAGTGACCAAGACACCCAGCTTCGCCGATTAATGGAAAGAAATGATTATACGAGAGAGCAAGCTGAACAAAGGATGGCCTCGCAGATGCCGTTGGATGAAAAGTGTCAATTGGCAACTCATGTGGTGGATAATTCAGGTACCACAGCCGAAACCTTCCTGCAGGTAGAAGCCATTCACAAAGAATTGAATAGTTCTTGGGCCTTTTTGCCTCTCAGGATTGCATTCGCAATAGTTTTAGGCGGTATTGGTTTTCTTTGTTATTGGGTCATTCAGAAGATCCTGTGAGGCCCTGATACCGTACTATACAGTGTGAGTCAAAAAAACGTATGCTATTCATGCACGATTAGAATGCATTAAGTTTACTCACCCTGCGAAAAGACAAAGAGACTTTCGCTATTGTGGATGATAGTATGAGAATTGTAAACGATGTTTTGTCAAAACAGAACTCGCAAAACAGTTCTTTTGATTTTAAGAACGATTAGTGATCAATATTTGAACAATTTTACGATTTTGAACAATATTTGAACAATTTTAAAAAGAAAAAGGAATGAACGCGTCTATAGTTCAAGGTTGGTAAATTGGCTGAATCACTAGGGCAGTGAATCAAAAATTTCTTACTAGTGCTAAGCGTCAAAGGCTCGTTAAATTTTAATGCGACTTTCTTTTGACGCAAATCATGCAAACTGCAAAGAAGCGAATGATTGTGATATGTGATGCCCTTTTTCTGAGTATTCGTAATTTTTCACTCGTCTACATTTTCACTATTATCGCATCGATTATTAAAAGTATTTTTGCATCTAAAATCGCAGTAAAATCAGGACGCCTTTATTGACATTATACGATTCATTGAAAAAGTTAATATTTAATAATTAGATATCTATAATTAGTAAAAAATTATTATCATGCCATGTAATGTGTAGCGCTTGCGGCTTCGCTCAGATTTGCACAAATTACTTGAATAGTCCTGTTGTTAATGAGAAGTAGATACTATATGAGTTTTTTTTGTGGCAATATAATATGTGGATTCTCAACAACGACCCTAAGTTGGAGCTGCCGGCTTGCCGTTTGCATGCTCCTCCTCATAATCTTGAATACATTCATAGTCTTGATGTTTCGATTGAGGATATAACAGATAATGTTGAATTATAAACAATATATCGAAGAGAACAGATATCAAGCCTAAGCCAAATTTCGTCAGGTCACCGAAGATGGCATCCCAACTATCTGCAAGTAAATAATAAACACAGCACTTGGTGAGTGCAAATATATTTGAATAAGATAACAAAACCCCTATAGGTGTACTGTTGCATAAGGAAAATTTATGCCGAAAAAACTGATGAACACTCCAAAGCTTAGTACCAGAAAATACTAGCTTAGTATGGTTACTAATAGTGAGTTATTAACTATAGACTAGAGCGAGATTGCAACAAAAAACTTGCGTGCTTATATACCCATTCTGGGAAAAGGATTCATATGGTAAGGGGGAGTTACCATACCCTTCATTTAAAGCCTGGAGCCCCGGGAATGATGGGCTATGGTCTTCTTAAAACAAAGCATTTAAGTACTGTAAAATGTTCAAAAACTTTACCATTGTTGTAAGATAAAATAATCATCTGAAGTATACTAAGAGAACCGCCAGTAAAATCTAGTAGAACATTTCCTATGCTCCAACCAACTGTGCTCTTCCTTCGAAAGTTCATATACGCCTATACGAAGAACGAGAACAATGACAATGATTAATTTGAAAAGTAAAACATATTTTTGTCGCACAAAGTCGCATGGTTCCAAAGGGGACACTCGAAATACAGCCGAGATATCACCAGTCTGAGTGACCAGTCGACTTCACTTGAACACTTTACTTTTTCACACATAAACATGACCATAACGATTTGGATGTTATGAAAAAGAAAACGTGATGATGTAGGCTAGCATTGTCGCAATGATAATGATACATATTATACTAGTACATCTAAATGACGTCGTGTATACTAACCTGTGGGATATATTTAATCAATGTCACACCAATTTTGACATATGAGAAATAGTAGAGATAGTCAAGCCAAGTTATTTTGTCCGTGAAGATGGTTACCATCAACGCGATGAACACGAACAAACAAGAGACAGATATCAGTATCTTGCACAAAAGGGAGACAACTTGGTTTCCTCTCTATACGAAAAGTATAGTTAAAATCTGCATTGAAGATTTAATATTAGCTACATGAGGTAATTTCTAATGCTATGTGGAACATGTATATGCACATTTTTTCTACAGAACATGTTTATGTTTTCAATAGAACACGCAGCAATGCTTAAAAGTGCTTATTTAAGAACTAGATGCACTAGCTAATGAACAACATCCTTTACCTATACGAACAATTAGCGGTATTCTCCTACACCTTAACATAACCCAACCTTCGCGTGAGCAAAATTTGTGCCGAAATTTGCACAGAAATGCGAACTAAGTATAAACTCAATAGACTTTCTCAATCTCAAGTGTTTCTCATGCATGCAAACAAAGACTTGGTAGTAGCAACGTATGACAAAACCTCACATCGTAAATTAGTATTTGTACGCCAGTGATTATGGTCAAAAGAATTGCATGAAGTGTGAAAAAAACATCATTCACTTCAACTGGATCTTCATCTTCATTAGGATGCTTCGCCGTGTACTCAGCCTACAACGAAATAATGTTGATAGATGATACATATGTATACTTCAAATGTTACCAGTTTGACCAACATTGAACACAATGCGAACATTGAGCGAAATAACGTTGATCTCCTGAACTATATACCATACTTCACATGTCACCAGTTTGACCAACATTGAACACAATGTCGGGGTTTTGATTTTCTGACGTATCCTGTGGCGATAGGCATGTGTACTGCTTACAAATTTTCGTTCGTTGGGTACCTTTTTTTTTAACTGTACGATGGGACCAGATCTAGCAAGAAGTATAACATTATAAGAAATGTTTACTCACCTTGATTTTCGGAATCCAAAACATTCCAACGTTGAAGACGCCATATGCAATAAACCCAAGAAGATTATAGCAGACGAAATCAAAATTCAGACCAATAACGCTGAATAACAAAAATAGACAATCGTCATTGTAGGGAAAATTTTTTCAATTGTATTTCACAATATGACAACTCTCTCTCCCCGTTATGCAAAGAAAAAACAACCCTAAAGGCCTTTCACTTAGGCGATACATTATTCTTTCCACACAAGCAGCTACCTTTTTCTTGACCAATTCACGTATACCTATTGACAAACAAACAAAATCTGGCATTAAAGCAGTTAGGAAAATTTTTTCCAATTTCGGTTGATTGATTTCATCGCTCGTGTGCTTTACCTGGGGGTAAAATGATACCGACCACGCTACGAAGTACACCCAGCCAATCACCATATTCACGATGACGAGGGAATATGAATGAACAATATGCACCTTGACTTTGAAACTGTGAAGACTAAATTTGTTGAAAATAGAGAACATTCAGACATTGCTCTGAATTACAAAATGGGGGATGTAACTAGAAATCATTTCAACAATGCAGGCATACTTGCTGATATTGACGGATGAACTTGTGTTAAAGATAACATAAGTCTCGCCAGCATCCTGACCATACACGTCCACATAAGAAGACTTGTTTACACTTAATGTTACCTTGATAATGAAACAATAATAAAGTTAGATGCAGGTATTAATTGATCCTGGTCTAAATCCACATATTTAATTGTCATTTGCAATTTTATTTTCACTGCTTTGTGTATACTCAGCAAACTACCCTCACAAGCTTGGACACCAGACAAGCTTTTATATGAATCGTATATGCAAGTGGATCTGAAAATCGCTTTCACCCACTATCTTATCTTGCTCTAAGTCTAAAATAATACAGTTGCTTACATTTGATAACATAGTTGTGGCAACGTCGTGGTTTTCAGTATCAAGCAAAATACGGACACTCCCCAACCGTTGTTGCCTATATAACATCATATACACGTAACCATCAGGAATTACTACATGTATCAAGTACAACTTTAGAATTAAATGGATGTAAATTGCAAAACAGTAAGTACATGCCAACCTCAAACCTGATATAGACAGTCGAAACGAAGTTTTTTGTCCGACTTCTACTTTATCCGGTGTGCTTTCTTTTCCCAGACTGCTTGTGCTCCCATAAACTGCTGAAAACAGAAATTGTAAATACTATATTAACTACTTTATCAAAAGAGAAGTGGTTTCACTAAAAAACAATATGTGGAACCGGATTTGAGAATTGAGACTGAAAAAAAACAACTCAAATTCAACTAGTTTGATAATTTCCTTTTTTCAAGACGGGAAATTTTGAAGTAGATCGTGCGCAATTGGTCTTAAAGTTTTAATATATTATTTGCATTTTTATGTAACGGCTTCTATCGTTAGTAATCAGTTAACGTCTCAATTTATTGACTATGTGGGGTTTTTTCTGAAACATCATACATGCAAAAAAAAACTTGGCCAAGTGGTACCGGTTCAAGGCCTTGATCCTACATACGACACGGTGGTTCGAATCCAAGCATCGGTTTCAATTTCACTGACTTAATTCTCGTTCTAATTATCTCCAAAATTGATCTCAAACTCTACCTCTTGGGTAGTTCCAGAGGTACAAGAAGAGTTAATTTTAATTTTTTGTGTATCTTTGTCTTCACGCATCTCTATAATCTGAGAACGAGTTCGGCAGATAATGCATCGAATGAATGTGAACGGGATAAAAACGTGCATCGCCACTATCATATAATTTGAAAAAGAAATTATATAACTATAACTGTTTTTTATGAAATCTTGCACAGAGAAGTGTTAAGCCTTCTGCCTGCCTGGTAACCAAAAGAAATGTTTGTACAAGCTTTTACATCCAGTGAAATACCATTATACCGTAGATGGCGATCGTTCTACTAAGTAGCTTAGGTAGGAAGAAGCAGGCAAACATATATATTCTATCCCCTTTGCGCCCTTGACAGAAGAGTAAACGTTAAGTCTGTATAATGTGTATCAACAATGCTACAAAGAAACCCTAATAACATCAATGGTTTTGTTAACAATGACAGCTGACAAGCATTGGTTAAGCAGGTTTTTATCAAAGACTGGCCTAGTTAGTTGGAAGCAGCAGCTATTAGATCATCATTTCACTCAGTACATATCCCACTGCAATATATCACATATTACCATACACATCCTCATCTCATGCCAATTATCATTCCACTACATCATCTTATCATCTTAAATGTTACCTTGCTATTTTGCATCCTACCAAATTACCTCGATATGATACATTATTTCCATCTATAGTTCATTTTAAAAATACATATCATCTCAATAGTTTGCCATCTCACTATATACAATTTTACTACCTCATCATCTCATACATTCTACTTCTATCCCATACATTCTATCATATCATTCTATTGCATCATTGTATCACATATCTGCCATCATATTTCCTTTTTATCCTTCTACATATAATACATCATTTCATTGGAACATCCCGCTACATACCAATTGGTACCTGATCATGCCATTACATCTAAAAGTTATATGGCATCGTCATCTTACTTTATTATATTACATCATTCCACTACATCATCATTTCACTACACAATATATCATTTCACTATGTATCACACATACATCATCTCACTAGATAAATTTTATCATTTTTGTAATATATTTATCATATTTCCCACAGATACATTGTCATCTTTCCAATACATCTTCAAATAATCCTATTATTACATGATCTCATTTTGTCATCACCTAAGAACATCATTGATGACATTTGACATCATTTGACAACATCATCAAGTGACTGTACTACATTATAGTGAGGATAGAAGGCACTTTTTAATCTTTTTAAAAGAATTGGATAGTATTGGCTGTCTGGTACCTATATACATTTATAATGGCAAGTATAGTGGTAACACCAATAACCTGGCATTCTGTGTTCTATTGTATTTGATATGTACAGTTCACAATATGCCAATACTATTGTGGATCCACACTGAAAATTCTCTCTGGGAAACCTTTACACGAGGACAACATAGTGGGAGATGACCAGTGATGTGTTAATTATTTGAGTAAAAATGTCACTTGCTGATTCAACGAAACAACAACACTGTTACAACACTGTATAACATCTACTGTCAGCGGCCAGGACATTTAAATCCCTCAAGCATATCAAAACAAAATAACATACATACCGAGTACTATTATATACCTACCGAGTACGCTTTCTTTTAAAACAATAAAAAGTATAAATTTAACAAAATTTCTCATTTTTGCTTCGTTCACCGAACCGCGCAAGTTTTATAAAATTATGAAACGCATCCTATCATGGTAATATCAACAATATCACGCTGATGTCACGAGGACTACCACGCGAAATCTCCCAGGAAATCGCCCCTTCAAAACTTCTTCGCTTCAAAATCGAACTTCAGTCCCCCCCCCGTAAACAGCGGCGAAATTTAGAACTGGTGACTAAAAACAGAAGGAGGAAGACCACAAGGAGTGACTAACTTTTCATCATGGCGGAACAAAGTGGTGGAGTAGGAAGAAAAAGTCGCGCGTTTGCCGACAAGCTAAACAAGTAAGTCGATTGGGATTGCGATATTCGTTCGTGCAAAGAGTATTGCGTATTGTGGTTATTGATACGCTGTGTTATATTTGCCCTCCAGGACGTATTCTGCGGCACAAGCCAGAGAGATGGCCGCATCTACGATCGCATTTAGCCATGAAAGATCGAATAGTTTCGGTTCTCAAACCAGCATAAATAGCAGAGCAAGTCAAGATACAATACAGGGGATGTTTAGCGGCACAGTAAGTTTATATCTTGTGCTATGATCTTTATATTTTAAAGTTGTTTGCGGGTAGTAATTGATTATGGTCTCGAGCAAGTTTGTGGTTGCTTAAGTTAATTTTAATTAATATTAATTTAACATCTGCAACCGGATGCGAGAATCATTCAATATTTTATTCACTGTAAACAAAAAATTTAAGTTCAGTATTGTGATCACTGTTCATGAACTGTCAAGGTAGGTATTAAACTGGTTACACCAGCTATAGTAAGTAGAGTATCAGAGTATGATACAGTGATAGCTACACCTTGTCATGAAAAAAGCATGCTGCTAAATGCTGGGATGGGAAACTAAAGTCTAATTTGGTGTGGCCTAACCACAATGAAGTACATACAACACAATGAAACTCTTTATCTCCCTCTATACACATTTTCAATTTCAATTCAAATCTAGAATTTCCTTTTGATATATTGAAAAAAAAAAGTTGAAATAGGTCACAAGCAAGCCCTAATAAATCCTACTACCTGAGGCCTATTTTCTACTAGGAAGAACATGGCAATATCAGATTAAAGAGGAAAGGACCCTTTCATTTATGGGTTCTTGATATGGACTAAATACATGTCTGTTTAGTGTCTTTAGATTCTTAGCCTGGATTTCCACTTGCAAAGGAATTGTTTGCTAGTGAAATCTTTGCATATTTTTTTTTGAAGTAAGAACAGTCAACCAGAATTAATTTATTTATTCGATCATAATTAAAAAAGAAAATATGCAACTAGGATATAGCATACTAGAAAAATAAATCTTTTTACTATATGGCTTTTCAAAATCCTTTATTCTGATTGGTTGATGAGCAATCTGTTAAAATTCATATCCGGACCATGGTCTGAATATTCCGTATCTGGACCAGTATCCTGGATGTCTCATGCAGTTTAGCCATATAATAAACAAATTATTGACCTCGCTTGTTAGGTCTGTACTGTGAAATATCAGACTGAAGTTTTTTGCTTGCACCTCTCTCCTTCATCGCTCTACCCTTCCTTAAAGCCTTGGTTTGATATTTCACTGTAGAGACCTCATGCTCAGTCAATAATCAGTTATTATTGAAGTCTCGCAAACATATTCAAAGAATTTTGACTGCAATCTTTTTTTTTGGCATTATGGTTTTATTACCAATTTCACATACTGGTAAATGAAGTTGCTAAAAATCATAAATCCTATATTTTTTAACAAGAGAAATTTAGGGAGGCAATGTTTTCTGTTGGCAGTCATGGTTAATCTGTTTCAATGGCTAGTACTAACGATTAAATTTTTTCCCTATCCTTCTCGACTACATACATGTAGGAATAAGTAGCACTCACAACAAGTAATGTAAGGTCACATAGTGTCACTTTGTGTATCATAGTGATAAGTGTCTGTTACACATAAACAAATGCTATACATGCATGCATTCATACACATGTACGTTCTTCAAAAAACCAAAACCAGTTTTTTGAAGTGTAAATAAACAGAGTAAATAATGATTCACATGTGCTTTACTTCAACTGATTAAATTACAAAACTAGGCACAATAAGTTTAGTCATGATGTTCCACATCCAAAATAGCCACAATCAGTATCTCACGTTTAAAGGTAATACTCAAATGGCTTTGGATGAAAAAACATATAGGTTTGTGTAATGCTGTTTGCTTGTGGACAATTGAAAGAAACATGTTTTGGAGTTGAAAAGTGGAGAAATTACTCTTCTATTCCTGTATCTGCACTCGCATTATTTTTTCCGTGAGTTTTTCTCGTTTCAGGTATTCAAAATCCGACTTTAAGGTTTACAGGATAAAAAACGAGATCGTTTTAATAATTGAACATACAGTAAGAAAGATCAGAATATTGTAAGCAATGTTTATACATTGTAACACCGGTTTTTATAAATAATTAAATTACTTGAGGTAAATTTGCTTTGTTTGAACTCATTCCGAATGCACACTCCTTCACAATGTACTGTATTTGTGTCAATTTCAAACTCTTTAGAGTACTCCAGTAGTCCGGTATATCAAAGTTAAACGGTGTTATTATGATTTGAAACCTTGCAATTACGTTATTGCGGGTATACAAGAAATTCAAACTTTAAGCATTTAATCTGATTTGCTGTAACATCAGCTGCATGCATGTATTTGCCGAAGTCTCCAACTTTTCTTTATCTTCCTTTGCCGAATCCCAACCGGCTTTTCTTAAACAAGAATTACTCACCAAGTCCGTTGTCTCCCATTTGTAAGATTTCACAAACAAAGATCGTGGACCCGCTGGACTTTGAGAAGTACATATTGGAAAATCAACCGTTGGCAGACGAGAATGATCCCGTGAGTAAGTTATTGGAATTTCCTGATGACGATATAGAAGTGACAACAATTCAAAGGCAACATCGTACCGTTCATCCAAGCACCCCCAAGGACCCCGGGTATGTACAAAATATATTTCGTATATAAACATACGTTGAGGTCTTTAGGGTAGTTTAGTCCTTTCCATGAGGCAGAAATTGTGGAATCGGTAATTTCCTTGTAACCGATTTGTGACAAAAACTTGACGTTCCTTTATATATTCGTATATTGTATATATTTGCTTTACTTGGCCCTTGCAATTTCGAATATAGCAATTTCGTCATTCAACCAATATGGCTGTTTGATAAAAAAAATATGCATCTATGAATGTGTCCGACTGTCCGAGAGACAAAGAAAATATTTATTTATCTACAAAGCAATTTTGATAAGGCTTCCATGCAGGTAATCTCATGGTCTCTTCGTTCGCATAAAACCGTCAAAACTTTGCAAATCATATGATACCTTTCACATGTCATGAAGCGAGACATAAGACGTGTATATTAGAGTAAAAGGGGTGATTTCGTCGATTTTGGCCTGTTTCAGACGTCGAACTTTCCATGTGCCGAACCTAATGTTGATAAGCTAAAGTCTTTGTTTGAGTTCATTTGCATTCGATTTGGCACATGAAAAGTTCAACATCTGAAACGGGCCGTAATGACTAAAGAAAAGGGAAATTCTGTAAAAGAAATTCACATAAATGCCTATACGTTTGTCAATTTAGCGTATTAGAAAAAGAAGCAGTGTTGCCATTTTATTTTGAATTCTTTTTTAGAGCTGATACTGACCCTCTTGTTGTGGATTGTGTAAAGTTGTATACCTCTAATTGGCATGTTGTCAACAGAAGGTAATGACATGGAAAGTACAGTACACGATGTCTTTTCAAACACATCTCGATTGATTTGGTACAAAAGAACTGCATGCTTTGTAGATTATTAGGTTTCATATTAGAGATTTGTTATATAAAACAAGTATATGTATATGTAATGAATGTTTTCATTCGTGCTTGTAAGAATATTTTCATAGAGGTAAAGATGAAATGTTCCATCCATTTTTTACCTCTTGAAAACATTCTTACCAATGCACTCATAAACATCCATTCATAAAAAATTCCATCTTTCATGTCATGAAAATATTCTTACCATTGCACTCATGAACACTCGTTATTGGTATAGTATAATTAACCATTGATTTTATTAATCTCTGATTTCAGGTATCAGTTTCGCAGTAAGGAGGAAGGTAAACCCGACTCAAGAAGAAAGATCGATAGAACGGGAAGCTTTTTGGAAAAACTTCCGAAACATATTTACGAGATCGACGAGGAAAAGGCCCGCAAAGAATTCGATCTGGTAAATTTATTTTCCACGTCTCACTATATTTTACTTGATCCATGTTAAATAGCTATTATTCGATTACAGCCGGATTCTAGTGAAACTAAAAAGACGTCACCTGCAGATGAATTACCAAAAGGGACACTCGCCGCCAGGTGAGAATACGTATATTATCAAGTCAGTCGTAGCATCTTGAACATCATACTCATGGCTTTTTAGTTATTCGTGTGTGTTTCGTAAAGGAGTTAACTTAAGGTGTGCCGTTCCAGATAACATACATCTGTATATGCATTTTTGGCGAGGTTTTGCCTTTGATGCCTTCATGATGTCTTTTCTGATGAACCACTTGCATGGTGTGCCTTTAACCGTTCAGGTGGAAAAGACATCCTTTTACCTGCAAAACGTAGGCTACCATGCAGAACTTCCATGCAGCGCAATAGGCAAAAAAACCGCATTCAATGTCCGTAATCGCTTTATCATTTTAGCATTGTTGATCTGCAGACGTGCTCTCCGGACGATCTGCTGCCAGCAGTTTTAGATCATATCCCGATTGACGAGGTGGATGGAGGCAATTCTGACTACAGACAGTACGAGAGGATAAATACACTCATGTCTGTATGTCCTGATGAACCGGTATGACTTTGATATCATCGTACTGTATAAAAGGAAATGACCATGCAGATACCACAAACAAAATATGTGTCAACATCACGTAGATGCATGCTCACCGTCTATGCATTGTTAAAGTTTAAGTCATATCAGTTAAAAAACTTTTCGAAACTCTGACCGACATGCATCATTCTATAAATAATCTTCTAACTTTTCTATTTAATAAATGACAACGAAATGTGACACGTTCAAAGAATTCGTACCATCTTCAACCATGCTGCATGTACTGTGGAAGAGCTGACCTTTCGTTGTTCGTGATTTTTTTACTTTTGTGAATTGACTACTGCTCGTGCGTATTTATACTTTGCAAATATCTCACAAGTGAAAACGTTAAAAGGTTCTAAAAGAGAGAACATTTCCACTACATACTCATTATTAAAAGGGTGACCTAAAAACTCGTAGTAGCTACCGTGTTCCCTGTGCATGAATTTATCTAAAACTTGTGTTCTCATTTTCAGGACGACGCTACTGAAAGACGAATTCCACCACCTATTCCTCAAGAACATTTTGGGCAGAGAATCCTTGTGAAATGTTTAGCTTTAAAGTATGGGCTATTAACAGAACATAGCTAGATATGTAGATTTCTTACTGTCCATATTAAATATATTTGTATTTTACCATAAATACATTTTATTCCGTGACCTTTAGGTTGGAATTGGACATCGAGCCAATTTTTGCCAGCATGGCGTTGTATGATGGGCGAGTAAAAAAGAAGGTGCGGGTATATATATTGTCTACACTGATGAAATGTGCCATGCCCGTGAAACTTGATATCTTAGTTTAAGTGCATTGTACGAAAGTGTCGAGAAATCCCGACTTTCTTAAACTATAGAATTCCAGGTTGGCTGATCAAGATCCTTACAACTTTTGTATGTGTGTGTTTTTTTTCCAGATATCTGAAAATTTTTATTTCGATATGAACACGGACGAATATAAGAAAATGCTCGGCAAATACAACCATAAAATTGATATATCAACACTCAGCCGTGCCGCAATCTTCTCCGTGACCTATCCTTCAACTGATGTTTTTCTTGTCATAAAACTCGAGAAAGTCTTTCAGCAAGGCGATATTGCTGAACCATATATCAGAGAAACAGACCAATCAAAGGTATGGAACAGTTTTTAACGATTTTACTGCTTACCTAATTTATAAATATGTAAGAAGACTAGTTCGTTTTCATTAGTGCAGTTTTTCAATTTGCTAATGTGCGACTTTTCTGTAACGCGTTCGTGTGTGGTATCACACGTATGTATTGTGATCAGTATAACCCTCAGTATCATGAATATGTCAATATGTTATTGTTCCTTTGTTGTTTACATGATAAACTATAAGAAGGAATTTTTATTAACGTCGTCAACTGACTTTTCCCATGCACTTAAGAATTGCCTAACTAACTTGTTCGCGTATATGTATCTCTAATTAAAATCTTGAACAATGTATGCGCAAACAATCCGAAAAGGAGATGTCGGTGAGGTACTTTCTGTTGTGGTTTCTTTTAACTGAATTGGTATGTTTCGTTGTAGAACAAAGAGAAGCTAACTAGTGCCGCAAAAGAAAACTGTAAACGCCTTGGTAAATACAGGATGCCATTCGCGTGGACGGCTATTCATTTGATTGATATCATCAATGGCGCATCCCATACTGATCTTGGAACGATGACCGAGAAAGATGCTTCGGTGTCGTCATCTTCTCAAAGAAAGGTCGGTCTTCCTCCGTATTTAGTTGCATGTGATATGCAGTATAAGTTTTGAAGAAACGTACATTTGAAGTACATTTGAAGAAAGTATAAAAAGCGTACCAAAATTCCAAAGACATTGTAAAATGTAGAAAATATATCTTACTAAAGTCTAAAAAAGCGACCAAAATTCATTCTGTCTAATTGGTTTCTTTTTAATGGCTTATATACTTGTAAGCTTAAACGTGTCTTACTTGGAAATTAAATTGTACAACTAAAGCTATACCTTTTGACACAATTATTGAGATAAGTGGTTTCCTTTACAGAACAGTCCTCCAGAATCACCCGCTACTCCAACATATCTGAAGAAAGAAAAGACTGATTCCTTACCTCGGAGATCAAATTCTCTGAGTAATCAACGTCGTTCAGTGTATGGTGACCTCGATGAGAGTCCGTCCGATTTATCCATTTTCAGACCCGTTACCTTAACAGTGAAGAGTTTCTTCAAACAGGCAAGTGTAACACGGGAATAACCTGTACACAAAAACAAACATCAATCGATAACCCAGGCAGGTCTTTCAGCATCGTATTGCAGCAAATACAGCCTTGTGCTTTTCTGTCGCGCACCGTAACGTTAATCACATAGGTTTTTGATTCGCGTAGTACATGCATCCGTAGTTAAATATTTACTTTCTTTTGTTGTCAAACGTCGTCTGCAGGAATCGGACAAATTGAAGGATGACGATCTTTTCAAATTTCTGGCGGATTTACGACGCCCTTCCTCGTTGCTGAAACGCCTGAAATGTATACCAGGTAGGAATTTAAGATCTCTTCGGTGCGGCCGGCAGGGAAAATTAGGTTTACACCATTTGTATGGCCCGATTTATAGTAGAGACGGATCATCCGTCTATAGATGAACTTAGGCAAGCATATATAGTTTGTCTATTTAGACGGATTTCATTGGTATGTACTTCGTCTTGATGCATCATCTGTCTGTTAGTATAAATACGGGCGCGATTCAGTTTTGTTTAACGTATTCCTTTACATAATTTGTCTAGATAGTTCGCCGTGTGTTTACACGAATTAATGATCTGTCGGACGGATCATTCGTCCAGATGAATAATCCGTCTCTAGTATAAATCGGGCCATTTACACTATTTACCGTTTTAATTCGCCCAACGATGTAATCTAATATAATAGACTTATTTTTGTGTATTGTAGGAGTTTTGAAGCTAGATATTTCTCCCCCTGGTGAAAAACCACCTTACTGCTTGACATCCGAACTTCAGCAGGTACATATTGTGGTGTACACAAGTGATACACGTGGTTGTTGGGTTGTTGTTCTTTTATTCAAGTTGTCGCTCAGCCGTCAGCGTGTTCGTGTTATCTTAATGGATATTTCGCCGTCCTTCTAGGTACATCCTTATCAAGATGGACAGGTGCGACCGGTCAAAGAAGCTGAAGAGTTCGTTCCCAAAGAAGTATATGTTCCCTACAGCACATACAAGTAAGAATGCGTTTTACTCTGCGTTCATGCATGACTTTAAAAATCCTAGCCTGAAAATCCAGGAGTACTGTGAATTTTCAAGCTTTAAAAAGCCTCGAAAAGTGTTTGAACTCCCCCTGGATATTTTATTATTTTAATCGGAATTTTATTATGATTTACATATGGATATTTTATTATTTTAATCGGCAAACTGTATACGAAACAAAACTTTATGTCACGCTGTGTATTTATTTCATTTTTTTTCAGGAATCTTCTCTTCGTTTATCCGATGAACGTGAATTTTTCAAGTCGATCAGGATCTGTGCGTAACATTGCTGTAAAGGTTCAGTTCCTCTCAGGAGAGAATCCAAAAACTGCACCACTCGAGGTAGGTACATATAAAGCGTTCATTGTTTGTTGATGCAAGTTAGCAGCTATTGATCATATTCATTTTTATTCCCTCAATCACAAGCTGCACTCCCTCCACCAACTTTAGCATTGAAAATCGTTTCATTATGGTGCATTTGGGAGTATTGTCAAGTGAATGGGTTATTGACGAAATATTTCGCTGTTGTTAAGTATTCATTTCATTATTTCTATCTAGTGTTTGTTTGGTAAATCCAGTTGTGCATCTTTCTCTAAGGCAGCTTGGACATCCATAACATACCACGACAAGTAAGTGCATGCATGTTTACCATATTGGATATTTACATGTGATGTAGCTACCATGTGTCGGAGCCTTTCAAAGAAAATTAGTGGCCCACAAGGCAAAAATTAATTTTATGAGCTCTCCCCTTAAAGGCACAGTTTACCCTTTATTTCATGTACTGTATCTTATCTACCGTCCTCGATTTTTGCCTCTCTAAGGCTGGGGCTCGCAACTTGCAACGTTTTTTTTGTGGAGTAATTTTTCTTATTTTCTTACCGACGTCTGTAACACTTGCCATGTTTTCCTTGAATGAAATATTTCCAACGTCTTTACAGAGCGCCAGACTTCAACGAAGAAATCAAGATAAAACTTCCGGCTCATTTGACCGAGCAACACCACTTGTTGTTTACGTTTTATCACATCAGCTGCTCCGTGAAAAAAGGTGATGATCACAGTCCCACAGAAGTACCAATAGGTTATACCGTAAGTCAGCTTTTATATTATATTTTCTAATACACGTGGCTATATTATCCCTGAGTAGCTTATCTTTCTTTGTAATCACGACGTTCCTGATGGCTCTTATGATGATTTGAGAAGTCACTGCGTGTAATCTTCATGATCGTTGTCGTGATTGTGTTATGAACTCAGATGATTATGTATGATGTTATCTTACCCTGAATGGAATTCCCCTGGCAAAGTAAAACTGATCCAGAAATTGTTTTAGAATCAAACCAGCGTTCATCAGTTTGCCATTATCTCTATATGCGTCACCAACTGAGCTACAGAGTCCCTGAATGATCAAGTCGATTAGAGTAGCTCATATCGCGGAGCAGTTTTTAGTCCTTCGGTTTCAACCCGTGACTTTGAACGATGCTGTTGTGTTTGCACTCAGTTGGTAAAATGTTTACTTAGTAAAGTCACGTTCTTATATATTAGAGTGTAAATGTAATACACGTGTATGTTATTTAAGAATTTTCTGTGTTTTTATTTTCAGTGGTTGCCGATGTTGAAGGACGGTCAACTAGTTTTGGGTGAATTCGATCTCCCAGTGTGTATGGAACAATTGCCAAATAGTTACAGCATGCTTTCACCAGAGGTTAGAACTTGAAGTGTGCCGGTGATTGTTTTGCAGGAGCAGGATTTCATTTGAAATATCTCTTTTCCTACGCAGATAAACCTTCCAAGTCTGAAATGGGTCGACGGTCACAGAGGTGTTTTCAACGTTGCAGTTCGAGCTATCTCTTCTGTCCATTCTCGGGTAAATACACCTAAATATGTGCATCAGTAGATCATTTGCAATGGTTTGAAGTTGGTTAATTTTCAGTCATGAAAATCTTCGTGTAACACCAGGTTTTCTGCGTTTGACGTCAATGTGAAAAAAGGTCTATTGCATCAGTTTGCAAACATCTACTATTATAAGACCAAGAAAAACTTTATACATTCAAGCTCTTCTCATTCAAATCCTTCACAGGATGTGTGCATTCATCGATTCCTAAAGAACTGTCATCAGGTCGAGAACAGACATCTCCCTGTGTCCCCCAGTCGATCGAACGATTGCAACCTCGAGACGGGTCTTAAAAAGAGTGTTTCTGATTTACGACAAGCTCAACCTGAACCCCTGGTGCGATTTCTTCCCATCATTCTGGAGAAGCTCATTATGTTGCTTGTTAGACCTCCTGTTGTCTCCGGTCACGTGGGTAAGTCGTTGTGGAATTAAATTATTTTATGATTATTTGATCATGTTAGTAATCATGCATGTTTTCTTCGTGCGATTGTACGAATTAATATTTTCATTCCGTGAGATATGGAAAAGTATGGAAAATATGAAAACAAATGGAAATTCTTATTGTACTATTTAAAAAACATAAGTGTAAGGTGTTATATGAATAGATCATGTTGGGGACACTATATGCAGAACGACTATACTGTAGTCTATAGACCTTTCTTATAATGACGTCAAACGCGGAAAGTATGATGTTACACGAAGTTTGATTGGCTCCACGAAACTATCGAGCCAATCAAACTTCGTGTAACATCCGACTTTCCGCGTTTGACGTCATTATGAAAAAGGTCTATTAAGTGAGTTCTTGAAATTCTTACAATATGTCTTTTTCTATGAGATGTCGGGCATGTATGATGTGCGTGCACAGAGAAGGGAAAACAATTACACTCCGTCTATAAATTACTGCATTGGGAATTTTTTTATTGCCTTCCTTTCCTTAAGAAGTTTGAATTTTTGTTTCAGTGAACATTGGCCAATCAGCGTTCCAATCTTTGGCTAAGATAGTTGAACGAGTTCACGAACTTCTTAAAGATAATGTTGACAACCATGGTCGCAGTAATTTGTTGTTGTCTTTCGTAACGTATGTCTTCAATGCTCCGTTTTCGGTCTCACCTGCGAACTCTTTTGCTGACTTGTACAAAGGTATGTTTTAATTTGATACTGTTCTTCATATTCAGTTCTCCATGATAATGGCATTGAATGTCATCATGGTTAGGTCTATCCAGCAATTTAATAATGCGATATTCGGTGAGATCTTGTTTAAACCCCGCTGTTTTGCAGTTGAAATTCCACTATTTTTGTAGAGTAATTAGCCTTTGTGTGCACGAGTAGCAAAATCCCGGCTTTTTAAATGAAATGATTGAAGCTGAATTTGTAAAAAACAAATACATATACGTTTTGTTTATGCACCTTGTAACCGAGCAGTGTTGAGGACATTGTCGCATCATTCGTTTTCAGATGAACGTCCTATTAGCATGCACGTGACACGTGAAGAACTTTTACAAAGCAAGGTCCACAGCAGCAGCAATCCCTCGTTAAATGCTCCGTCCGATTCGCTCTCACCATCTCGGAGCTTGGGAAAGAGGTATGAAAGGGAGGACTGGGAGCTGGAACAGATCAGTAAGGTCCCAGGGAACAGGAGTAGTATGGCGGAAGCTAAAGCAGGTCATATGAGACTGCCTATTTCACCTGCACATAAAAAGGTACCGTGCATGTTGTTGATTGTTTTTGTTATAATTTTTTCTTTAATTTGAAGAAAAACAAATTATGAAAAATTGGCCCTAGATCAATTTGTAAAATGCATTCGAAGTAAATTTCAATTTTTACTTTTCTCTTCTGGTTTAAGTTTTTTTGGAATTTGTTTGTTGCTTATGACTAGCTAGGGTTTTGGCTCTAGGTCATCGAAAACTGTACAACTTGCCTGTCTTTTTAGCTTGTTCACGAAGAGATCGCCTTACAATGGGCTGTTGCTACTGGTGAAATAAGACACATGACTCTTGCACATGCATGGTTTTTCTTCGAGTTGATGGTAGGTAAAGCTTTGATGAAATTACGCCGCTTCACTGTGCATCCGGTGTTCTACTGTTTCCTGAATCCCCAACGTATATTTTAAACAAGGCAATGCTGTCGTTTGTCAGAAAAATTATGAGAATTATGTTAGCTATATCAGTAAATATTACTCTTCAAGCATACATTTTCTTCATTAACATTTGTCAAAAATAATAATCAAAAGTACAGAAATTTTCCCATTTTAATTTCATTCGCCAGATATTTTTATCCTTCTAAGGTAGAAGAATGAAATCAAAGGACATAACTACATGCCATCCTTAAATCTTAACGCAATTCATATAGGTGAAAAGTATGGCCCAGTATCTGGACAATATTGACAAGTTCTACTATCCAAGAAGCTCTCGCTTTCCAGAACAGTTTATGGATGACGTCAGAGCGCTAGTGGGCATGGCAACGTCAGAAATTATCGAGCAATTTAGCCAGGTACAGTTCATTTATAATGAATTCAATATAAAGTTCAAGTAGAGATATTTTGTTTTGCACATAGAATCTGACAAATGCATCATTGTGAAGAATAATACGATCAATAATGGTTCCCAGCGTCTCGTAATGATTTTAGTTACTTGAATGTCAGCAATTAAATGTTCTTTCGTTACAGGATGCCTCCTTGGCTAAAGATTTAAATTCCTATTTGTCCTTCTTCTTCTACGATATCTTGTCTCTGATGGACCGTGGTTATGTTTTAAAACTCTTCATGCATTATTATACTGAGGTATGTACGTCAAGATTCTGATTTCTAGTCACGTTATGTCATACAAATTTGATATTCGGGCGATTCATTATATTAGTTCGTGATCATCCAGTGAGAGTATCCTATAATGATAGTACGTACAGTACATGCAGACCTGGTGAAAAAGCATTTTCTAACTTGACTATACTCTTGTCAAAAAAAGAAACGGAAATTGGCTAATAACTTTTTTCAACGACCCTTAATTCTTTTATTTGGCGATGATGACGACTCATCACAGGGGCTAGCTACGTATTCATAATTTTTTATTTACATCTCTTATAGATAATGTCAGCGACGGTACAAAAACCAGGACTAGCTGAGCTTCGTCTTAATTCTTTACGTATTGTTTGTAGCCACGAGCATTACGTCACCTTAAATCTTCCCTTCAAAATGCCATTATTCCCATCACCTCAAATCTCGCCTTCCCCATCCATGGCATCTATCGAGTCCAGTGCGTCTTCGATGATGACGTCTTCAATGCCGCCCAGTATGGCCGAGCTCTCGGTCAGTTTCCGCCGGCAGCATTACTTGTCTGGATTACTGTTGTCTGAACTGTCGCTGGCATTGGATGGAAGGTGAGTAATGATGTCCACATGTTTGGTGTTCGTTTGTCTTGAAGTGAAAATGTAAGGTACACGACTGGGTACAAGATGTACATATAGGAGATAATGTGGCAAGAATGCATGGATTTCTCTTCCATCCGGCACTTTTGAATCTCGACAAAAGCAACAAATGTTAAACAGTTAGTTTAGCACAATTATATCTGCAAGTGCATTTAGAGCTGTGTATGAAGAGAAAGTACCTCAGAATCGCTTTCTGTGTGTTTATCCGATGTGGGTAACACCAAGGCGCAAAGCGAAATTCCACAGCAAATATTTCTCGCAGAAACTTTTACAAGCCAAAATTTATTCTCTACTAACTTTTGTGTTTGCATTCCTTTTCTCTGCCTAGTGACACGGCTATACAAGACCAAGCAATCGACTGTATTACAGACTTAATACAGTGCCACGATTCGGACACAAGATATGATGAACCATCGTGCAGGGCAAGGGTAGCTTCGCTTTATCTTCCTCTCCTGGGAGTAGTCACCGAGAACTTTTCCTTGCTTCACGGTGCTCCCATTGACGACGACCATGGTGGATTAAATATTTCTGTTGCAAATGCAATAGCTACCTCGTCCCTCACGTCACGATGGGTACCAAACAACGATGATATTGGCAGGGATTATTCGGCTCAGGTATGTTTTTACTGACATTTAGTCTTGTCAGATTGTGGATGCTTCTCATTCTTCAAAATGAATATGCGTATTGTTACTATTATTCTGATGTTTGGGAATGAAGCATCGTGTGTTGGCTCGACTTGCAATAGTTTTGTATTCATTAACACTATTTTGACATTTGGTTACGTTCTCTAGAAATCTCAAGCGCCTAGTCTGACTCCAGATTCCACGCGTCGTCTGTTATTGTGCTTCCTTTGGGTGATCAAGAACGAGGATTCCAACGTTTTAAAAGAATGGTGGGCAAGGCAACCTTCATCGACGTAAGTGCATGGGGTTACCCTAGTGTTTTTAAAGAAATCAGTTCGGTGGTTGCAAATAGTTGCGTGTAATCATCCCCCAAAACCCTGGGACCGGTTTTACCAAGCCTGGATAGAGATTTTCTCAACCGTGTGCATGGAAACGATATTATAGTTTTCCTAAATATTTTCGAATTTAAAAATATATACGAAAAACTATTTCTTATAAAAAGATTTAAAAACTTCATGGAGTAGTAGACGTTCGTTATTGTGGATATAAAACTAATTAAAAGTCTAAAAGGGTCTTCCATGCAATGTTGTGAAATACTCCAAAAGCCTTAACATTCAATGTTTGTCTAGATTTTAACGTCCGTGCTTGATTTTTATAGAATATGCAGATTACTGGACGTTTTAGATTTATGTACAACAATATTCAAATATAATGAGATACAAACATCGGAAACAAAAGCAACAGCAGTTCCTTCCAAGCCAGACAGTTCATCAGCAAAAGCTAAACTGGAAGAAGCTATTCTCGCGAAAGGAGCTGCACGGGAGATGATGGCTCGTCATAGAGAAAGCAGATTTTTAGTAGGTAAGACCAAGCACTAATGCATTACGTTTGCGGTACAGTACAAAAACGATGATACTGCATGGTCAATGGAAAATTGCATTGTCGACTAGTTTTAAATATTCGCATCCAAAAAATGTATTTCACATATAGAAACTACTGTAATATATTGTCAAATTGCAATGCTTTGCTACAAAGTGTTGTGGCTGCATGGATACCTTTTGTACTTTTTACAATTACCATCATTTCGTATTGCGACCAAATCATTGATAAAACTATAATTTTTATTCACAAAGCTATATTGGTAGAGACTGTTATTTTTTATTACAATAGACAAAGTCAGTGGTATTTCTGCAACGGGCGAGGCCAAATTACGTTGGCAAAAAGATAAGACTCAATACAAACAAGCCAAGCAGCAGGAAAGGTGCGTGTTTTGCAAATACAGATGCGAAATCGTTGATTATAGTGGACAATTTAATAACATATAAAAGAGTTAACGTATACTTCTAAAAATAACGTGCAACTGATATCAATATCGGATATTAAATAATTTATATCACCGCTTAGAGTATTTATTAATTCTCAACCATCTTTATTGGTTGTCAGTCTATAGTAAATATGAGGCATAGTTTACCAGCCAGGCATGTGATCTACAGTATGCATTTTGTTTTAGGAAACAAAGTATGCTCACACTGATGATCATACTATATATAGTTTTAGCGTGAACTTCAATATGCATATTTTACTGCTATTATTTTCATCAGTCTCCCTGATTGTTTTATATATTTGAGGGAATATTTCGTTGGGTTTTTTTTCTTGAAATTCACATTTACATCTGCTTTTAAGGCATGATCCCGATATAGAACTGAAGACGAAATTCTTTGGCTGTATGTCTGGAGAAATCGCCATGATTATTTTAGACACCTTGGAAAATATAGTCGAGGTTAGTCCACTAAAAATTACTCGTTTTATTGCTGTACAATCACGAAAAAAAATATACTGTTGGTGATGCATAAAGACAACAACGATTAGTATTTAGAATAGGTATTTAAAGTGCTTCCGAGTTCGCGCGGAAGTTACCGCACTTTTCATGAAACAAAATTTGTACCACATTCAGAAAGCAGCACTCAATGAATAGAGAGATAATTTGTTTAGAGATCCACCTTGAAGGCTTCTGTTTACCAATCTCGAGATTGTTAATGAACCTATTCTATTTACAGACTTCAATCTCATCAGATCATTCTCATACTATCCTAAGTGGTGTTCTGAAGGTATTGCTCCATTGTTTGAACTGTTACCAAAGCGAACGTGTATTACAGAGCATGTTCCCAACACAGCGTTCAATTGTCGCCAAGGTTAGTATGAATAGATTGCAGGTTAATGCTAGAGTGCTAGCTACGGTTAAACCACCAAATCCTGTCCTACACGCAAGCACTAAGTGTCTTCCTGTTTTACATCTTGGAGAGTTTTCGTAGGTTTTTCGTAAATTTGCCTTTACCTGTGCCAGAAACTGCATTGCAACTGCATTTCTCTCCGCACTCTACCTTTTATCACTGATCTTTTACCACTCTATACGGAGGTCGAGTAGATCGAGGTCTCAGTTGTACTAATATGAACTTTCTTATACTTGCCTTCAGTAAGTTGACGTTTTTTACTTCTCTTGTGTGCTTCGAGGGTTTTCTCCGGATCCTCCATGCATCTCTTATTATTATATTCCTTATTATTTATATTCAATTTAGTATCCTGAACTGTTGTTTGAAGATGACACGGAGTTGATAGCAGACTTGTGTTCTCGTTTGCTTCATCACTGCAGTTCTTCACAGGCCAGCATACGAACTCAAGCAAGTGCTTCATTGTATTTACTTATGAGACAGAATTACCAAATCGGAAATGTAAGTTCTTGTTGTTTGTTTGCATGTAATTACAGATGTGTATACTTTTACACGATAGAATCGCATGACCTATCATTAGCTTGTGTACAGTGTGTAATAATATAATTGACTGCTCAAAAGATGATTGAGTATATTCATGCATAAGGAGATGATATATTTTAGGGGAAAAGTGTTATACTTTTCAAATATTCTTCTAGATCATTTACGCGTAGAGATTTGCAGACTATAGTCGTCGCATAAAATGCATTACTTTGTCTATTTTTCACTAACAGAACTTCTCCCGTGTAAAAATGCAAGTGACTTTGTCGTTGTCGTCTCTTGTTGGAACCCCTCAGGTAATTGTTTTACAATGCATTTATATAATGTATATTTGGTATAGCTGGTATATTTTGTCTAATAGTTTGTCCACAAGCAATCCTTTTCGATCTTTAGATCGGTTTTTTTCTTTCCTCGCCTTAATTAAAATGCAATCAGATTGAACAATGTTTTTTTAAATAGACAATCAAGTTGAAATATAGCTTATTTGCAGCTATGCCCGTTATACTGTATGCCGTAATCTACTTATACCATTGCATGATGTTGTTTGTTAAAAGAATGTGCTTATTACGTCTTAGTATGTGAATGGTGACCATCTTAAACGATCATTGAAGACTGTCATAACCTACGCTGAAACTGACCATGAACTGAAGAACACCAATTTCCCGGAGCAGGTACTATTTTCCGGAGATTCTATCAATTTATAAAGAAAGATGTTGTATATAATAATAAAGATCATAATATTGATCATAATAATCCTAATAGTAATAATAAGTTATCTTATTTGCGCTCGATATTTTTTTAAGGTTCGTGAATTGGTGTTTAATCTGCACATGATTTTAACAAACACGGTGAAAATGCACGAGTTCAATGAGGTATGTATAGCGTGATCATTATAAATTACACTTGACGTGTGATCATTCATGTTGAAAAAAATTTTTCGGTAATGCCTAATTTTTCTTCATCACTACCATTTTATCATTTATTTTTAATGGCTGCACAAAAGTTCAAAAGGGTAAAAGCTATACCCCAAATAGAGTTGTTCTCAGGTGAAATTGACCCCACAGCTACTCTTTTGGGGTAATTTTGACCCTTTTGAATTTTCAGTGTTTGTTATCGCATGCTTCTGTGTCGAAATATTTTCAGCTTCTAAATTGATCTATAATTTACCGACCTTTTTTGTATAGGACCCGGAAATGTTGATTGACCTCATGTACAGAATTGCTAAAGGGTATGTATCCACGTATTCCAATACAATATGTTTACAAAGTAAACGTTACAGTTGGACAAGTCAAATCACGCAATCAGTCAAGGCGTCAGGTTTTTTACCACCCACAACAGATCAGTGACCCACAACAAGCCCACCCTGCGCTCCAGTAATATGAAGTAGATTGTAACCCATGCAGGCTACATCCGTAAAAACGACAACCACCTTAAGCAATACGTTACTGTTACTTTCAATATTGAAGTAAAATTATAAATAAGAATAGACAAGAAATGTCCTATTCTTTTACTTCAGGTATCAAAATTCACCTGATTTGCGATTGACTTGGCTTCAGAATATGGCTGCCCAGCACACGAAGGTACAATTGTCATGGGTCTCACCTACAGAGTGACGGTTCTTTATCAATATGTGCGGATTTTTAATGAGACATATGTGAAACTTGCGACTTAAATTTCGGACATGGACGTACAAGTAACATAATTATAGCTAGGTGCAGAAATTGCGTTTAATTTGCAGGAAAAGTAGCCTCGTGTAAAACATGCTCACAATATGTGTGACTCGTGTGACTTTTAAGCAGTTTTAGAATTTATAGAATAGATGAATAGGCTAAATGTGTTGCGATTTTTTTTCTTACAGCTGAGCAACCACTTGGAGGCAGCCATGTGTGTGATACATGCAGCTGCGTTGGTCGCAGAATATTTATATCTGGTGGAGGACCAACCCCATCTTCCCATTGGCTGTGTCAGCTTTGAAAAGATTTCTCCAAATGTTCTTGAAGAAAGTGCAATATCCGATGATATAGTAGCTCCTGTAAGTACCCACATTTGCCTACTGCCAATATAGAGCACGACTACCCAGCATTTGTTAATCTATCTGTGTTGTGTTTTAGTGGCACGCATGTGATATAACTGTGAATACTCTTGATTATATGAACTAAAGATCCTAACAATCACTTTGCCTCCTCTTTTGCTACGACATTCGCCTTTCACAAATAGCAGAAACAATTTATGATCCCCAGACCATGAGCTTCTGGTTTGATGAAGTTTCAGTGCATCAGCCCATTTGTTTTGGCTGGATACTCATGGCCAACAATTGTCTTAAAATTGTGAGTAAAGCTGTGTTGTGTTTACAGGATCAAGAAGGTATCTGTACAGGAAAGTACTTCTCAGAGAATGGTCTTCTTGGTCTCCTCGAGCAAGCTGCTGCCGGCTTTAGCTTGGCTCACACGTACGAATGCGTTAATGAAGTCTACAAAATTTCCCTTCCAATTTACGAAGTAGCTCGGAATTTTAAAAAGTTATATGAACTACATGGGAAGTTGTCCAGTGCTTTTGACAATATTATTAAGAATGTAAGTATGGATAGTACTGCTGGATTTTTTAGTGGGGATAATACAGGGGCCGGTTGTATCAAGCCCGTTTAGCTTTAACGGTGGTTAAGTACAAAATGGGAATCAAGTCTATCGTTTTATTCAACAAGGAAACAAAATGTTTTCAACCTTAATACTGTTAACAACTACATATTCAGTGCATAATATTCAAGTTGACTCAAGAAAGATGTAAGAGTGTTATTTAATTTTGACTTATCCGCCGTTTAAGCTAAACAGGCTTAGAGTTCAAGCATATAATGATTAAAGAAATACTATGCAGTGGAAAGCCCCATTCTGCCTTAGTGGAATATAGCGTGCAATACATTCAGTACAGTACAATACTTGAACAGTACGATGTCTACGATCACCGTACAGTACAGTACAGTATAATTACAACACGATCACAGTACGATAATGCAGTATAAGTAAAATTGCAACATATAGTTCAGTGCCTAAAACAAAGAATAGAGTGAAGGACATATAAATAATTGTAGGCTGCAGTGAAGTTAAGACAACTTCGAACAGAAAAGAAGCCTAATTTTGAAAAATATAAATTATAGTTAGCTGAGTTCTCTAATTTTCTACTCCTTAAATGTTTAGGAAGGGAAAAGAATGATGGGAACGTATTTTCGAGTCGGATTCTTTGGTGAAAAGTTTGGTGATTTAGACGGTGAAGAATTTATTTACAAAGAGCCAGCAATTACTAAATTGCCCGAAATTTCCCTTCGATTACAGGTGTAGTATTTGCGAAATTCGCAAATTGGTTGTTTGATTTTTGTGAAGTTTTAATTGGGTGGGACAAGGAGACTGATGAAGCACTGGCTATAAATTAAGGGCTAGAGCGTTTCTGTCGATTACGATACAAGACTCACTGACTGTCGTAATATATTCCCATCTGAATATTTTAGAGTTTTTACAAGGATCGTTTCGGTGAAGATGCTGTTGAAGTGATCAAGGACTCCAACGCCGTTGACACTTCAAAACTTGATCCCGAGAAAGCTTATATACAGCTTACATATGTGGAGCCTTACTTCGCTGAATATGAAATGAAGGATCGTAGGACATACTTCGACAAGAATTATAACATACGTATGTATCCTGATGCAACTCTCCAAATTATTATAAGAAATATATTCCTAATATTACTATGTTTTCATGAAGGGAACCACGAATAAAACACAGTGCTAAGCAGAAACTTTTATTCCTGCATTCTATTAGCTTTTGTCGATGCTTTCGGCTGTTTGTGTAAAAATTCAACTATATTTTGATGATAACATTAAGGCGGTGTTACCCTATGCAACTTTTCCTGCAACATGCAATGAAATGCTACTCCTGAGGCATCTAAAGTTGACAAATACGAACATTTCTTACGATCTGCTAACGTTTTCTTAGCATTTTGGACACTCGCTACAAATTAACATCCCTCAAAATTATAATTGCATTGCAAGTCGCAAGGAAAACTGCATAGTATAACAGCGCCTTTAGTGAAATATTTTAAGGTAGATTTACAAAGGTGATTTACAGTTGTCCACGTTTGTAATATTGTGTTTTCTACTAAAAGATTAGCTTTCTCGAAAGATCATGTGCCTTTTGTAATTGTACTAAACACATCATTATTCACCTCAGTGAATATTTCTGAGCACGCGGGCACTTTCCGAATTAGGCTATGTGCACACGAGCGTCGTTTTCGAGCGTTTTCAAAACCGTTTTTATCTAGTTTATCACTTTGACGTTTTGTCCACACGATCCATGGAAAAATATACTCAATATGTTAAATTAGTTTCAACTTCTATTGTAAATTGACGGTGTTTGAATCCGTTTTGGCATGAAAACGAAAATGAAAACGCTCGAAAACGCGTGACCGTGTCCTCATAGTCTTAGACGTGTCTACAGAAACCTTGACTTCTTCCTAAATAACATTTTATCTCCTAATAGGACGGTTTGTTTTTGCGACACCTTTCACACCCAGCGGCCAAGCTCACGCCGACAGTTTGGTGAATCAGTATAAACGTAAAACAATCCTAACTGTCTCTCATGCTTTTCCCTATTTGAAGACGAGAGTAAATGTCATAGACAAGGAGGAGGTATGTTTATATACGAACTGATTTGATCCTGGCGATTAGGCATTATTATATCTATTCAATCATGCCTATATTATATATAAATTCGCTGGAAACTGGCTCGTAAATCGGAGTGATATAAAACCTTTTATATATTTATATTCTCAAACTGAACAGTGTTTTATAAGTAGAAATAGTAGATGACACGAATTTAGATTCGATTCCTAAATATACCTTTACTTTTATACAAATATACGTTCATCTCGGTCATCTATGCATGAGTAAAATGATGGCAAGACGTATATTCCTGTCAACATGTTTAAAATTTCATGTACTTTTTTTACAAAATTTTATTTACTTTTAATATACCTTTAATATGCTTATATGTAAATTTTAATATACTTCGACAAACGAAGACCTATAATGGACACATTCAAAGCGATATGTTTGGTTTCAATCTTTCGGTTGAGTATTGCAAACGATTGGGCATCAGGATAAGGCATGGAATTTTATTTGTGGTCATATAAACACAGGATAATATATATGGGTAATTTTGACAGGCTTGAAACCCAAACGCTGTAGAGAAATATTTCTTATTTTTCCAACATAAACACATCGGTTCTTGTTCTATACAGATCACGCTGACACCCATTCAAGTAGCAATTGAGGATATTCAAAAAAAGATCAAAGAATTAAAAGCTGCTGTTTTACAAGAACCTCCCGATAAGAAAATCCTTCAAATGGTTCTACAAGGCTGTGTTGGAACTGCTGTTAACCAGGTTTGTAAACATCATTTTTTTTCTTTGTAAGTTGAGATTATGATGCACGAGACATCAGCTGATAGTATAGCGATCTCGATGTTAAAAAAAGCCGTTACCGATTGTGAAGACCCAGTTTTCACCCAACATCGACCGAATAATCACAAACCGATACGTGCCTTTTATTTTATAATTTGTGTACCGTATATTCCCTCACGTAACTTCCCCCCCCCCCGGCGGCTGAAAAATCATTTTTAGACCGTCGTTAGTCACGATTTTCGCTTATATTAAAACTAGAGATTCTGTCGAGATATTTTGTCTACAAATCTGTGGTTGCTTTATCACAAACAGACACACACAGATAAAAGACCAACGCAAATCTTTTGATACGTTACTAATGGACATATTGTAGAATAAAAGTAATTCTAATTGTCAAAATTAAATTGCCCCTGTGGCCTAATTGATATAGAATAACTTTTAAGACTATGTGTACACGGTAACGTTTTCGAGCGTTTTTATTTTCGTTTTCATGCCGAAACGGTTTCAAACAACATCATTTTACAATAGAAGTTGAAGTTAATTTAACATATTAAGCATACTTTCCCTTAGATCGTGTGGACGAGGCGTCAAAGTGATAAACTGGAAAAAACGATTTTTAAAACGCTCAAAAACGACGCTCGTTTGCACATAGTCTAAAAATACAATGTAAGGTTCATGTGCATCGTGATGTAATCTCTTTCAGGGCCCACTGGCGATGGCTTTAGCTTTCTTGTCAGATTTCAATGAGGATAATAATAAAAAAAGTGATGAGAAATCTTTGAATATAAGCCGGGATCATCATAAGTTACGTCTGTGCTTCAAAGCATTTGTCAAATGGTAGGTACATCGTATGTTTTATAATCAAGCGTCAATTTTGAAAATCTTGCTGAAAAAAGAGGATGTATATTCAAGCACGTATAAGACGTGCATGTAAACATTTCATAACAGATAAATTGCATATATAAGAATTAAAAGTGTCTATGTCACTAGCCCCCTTTACACTATACAATCAATTTATCGGCAAGCCACAGCTAAAATGGCTACGTAGACCGTAGACCTTTGTATTGCTTGCCCTAGTTTTGAACACTAATCCTTTGGTTATTTCATGTAATAAAGCTGCGGGGAAGCGCTGAAAAAGAACAAAGAATTGATAACAGAGGAACAAAAAGAATATCAGAAAGAACTGCGGAAGAATTATAAAGCTTTGCAGGAACAACTTAATCCTTTGTTGAAAAATAGATTTGGAACTTTGCGTGGCTCCGTGGGAATGAGAAAAAAGTAAGAGTCGAGCTCAGTGACGTATAGGAAGCACGATAATTGGGGGGGGGGGGCACAGATTAATACCATTTATGTTAACAGACTGTATAAGACAATCGATTCGGAAAGAAATTTATCATGCCCAAGATGAATATATAAACCAATGTATTCTGACCTCAGATAATATGCCATTGCAAAGACTTTCTCAAAGGACCAACTTAAAATCTTTTGAAAATTTTTCGCTTAAAACAAATTTGACTGTACATAATTTTCTCGGACTTTAAAGATGAATTGAATCTCGAAAAGAAGTCTGGAATCTCGAAATTCAACCGTTGTCAGATTATCTCTAAATTAAAATATTCTTTACTTTTGCAAATTAAAAGCTGTTACGAAGTCATATTAATTTGTTTTTTGTTTGTTTTTAATATAGGGAATCATTAGCTTTGCGGAAGTTATCAATGGGGCTCTCAGTACCAGGTATTTCAAAGGCGTAAGCAAGGGTTTGCACAACCAGCCGCAGAGTGTGCGTAAAACCGCAATTTATTCACTTGTTTTTCATACCTCGATGAAATATCTGATTATATCGCATGTGAAAATAGTTATCTTATTTCGATCTGCTCTGATGAAAAATGGGAAATGGGATCAGAGTAACTGTAACAGAGGAAAAAAGAACTCGTGGTTCCCATGCAGATATAGGAACTTGGACAGTTCGTATATAGCCTGAGGGACTATACTTATAGTTACTTGCAATCTAAGCATTGTGTTCTGAGGTTGGAAAGATAAAATCAATTCCTTTTTTTGGCAACACCTTGCTCAGGCAATTAACTCACAGAATCACAAATCCACGTGACAAAGTTCGTGACTCCGAAAGCCATTGTGAGAAAAAATAAATAAAATACATTATAGATTTTTATGCTGTAAATAAATTTCCCGTTGAATGGATCAAATTGCTTTTTTAATACAGAAGGATTGGGGTTTAAATTGCGTGCATTCAATAACGCCGTGACACCTTTCACAACATTTATCGGAATACATATCCTTGGAATACTTAATAGCATGGAGAAATGTTGTTTTTGAGGTATTTTTATCAACCCTCGTTAAATGATATCAAGCGATTGGATTTTCGGGCTATATGCGGAAGAGCACTCTGCGATCGAATGAAGCGGACCGAACGAATGTGTCCTCCCCAAAACGGTGACGAAAATCGAGAGATAAGCTTAAAAAACGTGCTTCCATACTCCAGGACTGAGCTGTCATAATACATGCGCTTCTTAAAAACCCTAAGAGCTTCGTGATAAGTACTTGGTAAATTTCGTAGACACACAAAAAGATTCTTATCAAAGGGCAAACAGAATCTTCATCAATTATTAACGGCTGTGTAACTATTGCCACAGGTTGTCTCATTAATTTGCACACGAATAGACAAGGTTCTATTCTAGAACGCAAGAACGGGGGGCGGTGGTAAGCAGAGCCCATCTCGCCTTTTACCACAGCAAAAGGCCAAATTTTGCCATTTCCATTTCGACCCCCCCTTGCATTCACACCGTTCCGGTGCCCCTGGTCTTCTATATATTAGAAGTTATAACTTGACGCTTCATGTTAGCCATATAACCTGAAAACTCAATAAACGACGGAGAAAAGACAATCGATTATCGGTTGCTGCAAGTCGTAAATCTCGGGTGGTTGATGCATGTCGGTTGACCACATTGTAACACTCCTTTGGGTGCATGATCTAGATTAGGACACAAGACGTCTAATGTCTGACACGAAGTGAAAAACATTCCATTTACGTGAATATTTTAGCTGTCATAGTGATATTGTTTGCTCTTTAAGGTCCTAAAAAAAATTCACAACGTTTGATGATATGCATGTATAAGTGCAAGTAAATTACCTTCTTCCAATGGTTTTCAGGCGGATTTTAATTTCGCCTTTTAAATGAAGTTTTGAAATGAAGATGAATATATGCCCCCCGCCCTTACTGAGTGTATATCAAGCATGTATCATGTACCGCTCGTTGGCAGAATTTGGTCATCTATAAGTGCATTTTGTTTAAAAGCATATAAATTTGATTTCAAAGTTGCTCTACTGTAGCATGCACGTATGTTTCCATGAGCAAATCAAGGGCGGTATACCTATAATTCGGTGTTGGCAAGGTGTTTAGGTGTAGCTTGTATACGTTTTTAGTTGCTAGTGACAGAGGAAGAATATTAACGATGCAGATGAGAATATATATAGCCATACACCATTCAACAAATTTTCGGTGAATAAATAATGACGGTCATTATACATATCGGCCAAAGACTCATTAAATAGCGTTTTAGAGATTCTGAGACTAAATATTACAAATGAGTGGAAAATTTTATATAAAGTAATATTTTCAAGGATGTTTGTTTCATAGCTTACCAAATTATAAACCAAGCTGTTTCGGACTTTCGGCAGATGCAAAGGCACGAATTTGCATGCATTCAAACGTTATCTCGGTGTTAACTGACTTTAATAAAAGATGCGCCATCCAGTCACAGTTTATATGTCAGTTACACAATCATGACCTTCCCTGCATGCGTGGTGTGAAATCCCGTGTGGGAAGAAGAACCGCATTTTCTCGTCAAGAAATAAAGCAAATTATATAGTCGCTACAAGCATGCCATGCTGCTTTTATCCGTTTAGTTTTTTTGCCACTCGCTGGAAAACTGTTAATTTTTTCTTGCATGTCATCATTTTGTTAGTTTAAACAAATAGGTTGAATCCTTTACTGATGACGTACGTGAATGTTTTAAATCATATGTTTAAATATATAGGCATTGTCATGGAGAATTTCATATAGGCGAAGTCAGCTCTAGGCAGCCGCCGGAAAACAGTACAATGAACACGAGTCTTAATTTCTAATACATTATAAATGAAATTCGTTGATGTGTACATTGTAATCAGCCTTGCCGGTCGCTTTGGATTTTTGTCACGTCGAGTGTCTTTTCTAGGCTCTTTACCTGTTTCAAATACATGATTATGTTCTCTGACACGGCATTCATTAACGGCACCTGTTTATCCTCAGCCAATCAGGCCGCTGTTCAGGCAACATGTAAATACATCAAACCGCGAGATGAATATACATGCATGATGCTTATATGCTTGCTCTCGGGATTACAAGCCACAGTATCGTGGTGATTATCGCAGCTTCAGCAAGTTTATTTTATACACGACTCTGTAGACCAGACCATCATGAGGTTCGCATTTTTGGTGCCAAGGCAGGCTTTCGATATCAGTTAAAATATCACCGAATTTCTAGATTTAATTGCTCGTAGTTGTGATGAATCGTCTGGTCCAGGAACAGCACGCTGCGCCAAAGTTTGGCTCGGATGGAATGGAAAGAATACGCCTGAATGTTGGTGGACAACGACACGAGACGTATCTCAGTACTGTAGGAAATCTACCAGATACGCGGCTATATTCCATCATCGAAAGTGCTGTGAAGTCGCCGGATTACGATCCGGAAACTACGGAGGTTTTTTTTGACCGTCATCCTGCCGTCTTTGCTCAGGTATTGAATTACTATCGCACGGGAACGCTGCACTGTCCTACGGACGTATGTGGGCCGTTATTCGAGCAGGAACTCAACTACTGGGGAATTGACGAGAAAGACATGGAACCGTGTTGTTGGACGAATTATACGCAACATCGTGACGCCGAAGAAAACCTTAAAAACGTACTCTACGAAGGCACATCCGAGGAGTGCGTAACAGATTCATCCTTCATCTCCCAACAATCGGAGATGACACGTTTATGGAAGAAAATCCAACCTCAAGTTTGGGCTACGCTGGATGAATCTCGTTCATCCAATAGGGCAAGGGTGAGTAGTATATACATCAGCTTATTTATATATACACGTAGTCATTAGGGCATGCGTAATGCAAGCGTAATGCGGCTTCCCCCTGTTTGAAGTTTCGCCATTTTATACACTGCCAAATCCGATCTCAATCATTTTTGTTTTGATGACAATTATTGCTTTTCGGTACATTTAATAATATTTGTTTAGTCTCACGATCACTGGGGAAGTTGATATAAATTATATAGCTAGAATTCAAAACGTATACACGCTTCGGACGATAATCTTCTGAAAACCGACCATTAGTCTTAATCAAACAAGTTATTGTGGTTTGATTTCTGCTATAAAGGCTAAATTATCACTTCTAGCGTGCATGCACTATGCCGATGGCACAACCCGATCTCGATGCGGGAAAGTTCGCTTTATTTTTAGGCCGTTCGGTGTGGAATTCACAAAGGCATGTTAGATTAATGTTTACCTAATATAACTAACCGATTGAAATCAGATATAAAGGCAATCCTCATCGATACGCTTTTTAGCAGTCGAGCACCTGTCTTCGCATCACATATATAGATATATATATATATGAACACACGCATGTCTGCGTAGTTTATATCGCGTTAAGAATCTTGAAGCTAATAACATGCACAATATTGTTTCTCTGCTGTTGTCAAAATGTGACACTTTGCGGGTAAAACCTTAGCGGTCGTATAATATTATCCGGCACATTATCTGCATGTAAGAAAAAAATAAAAATGAATAATATATCCTATGCGCGGCGGTATATAAGCAGCTTTTTTATGTGCATGCGCGACATGTAGGGGGCTCTTGACATTTCATTCAAATTACTGCACATTCGGTGTTGGTTTGAAGCTTGTGGTGAAAACCTAAGCGCGGACGGTGACGTCTTTTGAAAAATTAATTAGTGGATCATTTCATCATGCATGATGGAGTCACTTGGGTTTCTGAAAAACCCCGTGTGCGGGAACTGTTCAGTTTCACATTGCAAAATGGCAATTAAAAATTTATGCTGTTATCGTGAAAATTAAAATCCACTCTGTTTCCCGCGGGGTTATATATATATGTTTGTTTATACTGCATGCAATATTCGCACGCGCGGAGTAAATGCTCGAGGATACAAAACCGTTCAGCCCTAGCGAACTGTAGGAAATATTGCACGACTCGAGCCTGTGCATATACAAAAACATTGTTTCCGCAACAAAAATAAAACTCCAACTTGCATGGTTTTTCCAATTCAATCGAAACATTTTTGTTTCCGTTAATATTTCCACGGCCACGGGTTGGCAAAGGCCAAAACAGCTATAGACACTAATCATAGGCAACATCGCGACCCCCATGCCAAGTATATTTGCTTGTTCGTGTCTCTGCCTGTTTTTTTTTTCCCATTATTTTTTCATATGTCTATACTGAGCCATAGGGCGCATTCATTTTTCTTCAATATTTTCGCCCTCCATGCATGCATAACTGTCGATAACTGTCATGCAGAACAATTTACCTTATTTGAAAAGGTCGTCGACGAAAATGCGAAAAACGTGCGAAGGAAAGCGTTACATCGATTGAAAGAGTGCTGTGTGCATGTGCAAACCGGTATAAAACGTTGTTTTTATTTGACCGCATTAATAGGGTGTCCCAAAAATGTCCGATATTTAATATAGAGGATATTATTTCGAATATAATACTAATAAAAGTCCAACATCATTGGTTTTCCTGCAAATTTGTAGATCAAAACTTTTGAAGTTTTGAATTGTTCGATTTTTACAGCGGCCGAATGAAGTGAGGCTAAAATTTGCACCTGTCCAAGCACAGTTTACCGTGAGAAACAAAGCAGTATAAAATGTGTGAACTTCGACCAACTGCAACCAATTAATAAAACCAACTAAGTTAATTACTTCTAATCTTTTGTAGGCCACCTAATTGAAAACTCCATGCAATATATGCATGTGTCGACCATGTATATGAATATGTGTATATATCAACCATGTTTTATTAAGTTCCCGATATAACCAAGGAGCAGCGTGGCAGCGTCTTCAAACAAACTTAGCATCAAATGTGGTATAACAACTGCCTAAATAGACAAAACACTTCTCGACGTTTCGACCTGAGGGCCTAACTCTCCTGAAGAAGGCCCTCAGGTCGAAACGTCGAGAAGTGTTTTGTCTATTTAGGCAGTTGTTATACCACATTAGATGCTAACATGTTTTATTAATTCATAGGTATTTTCCTTCGTGTCCGTGATGTTCATTGTCGTCTCAGTCGCGATGTTTTGTGTAAATACTGTACCTGAGGTGGCCGAGACCAAAAGTTGGCCTTACTTCTTTAAAGCCTTGGAGTTCCTTTGTGGTATTTGGTTCACGCTGGAGTTTCTGTTAAGGATCGTATTTTGTCCTGACAAGGTGGCATTTGCGAAGAGTTGGTCAACGTGGATCGACTTCTTAGCCATAACACCTTTCTACCTCAAGTTATTCGTCACTTCTCACGTTAAGGCGATCGACGCCCTCTTGGTAATTCGTTTATTGAGATTGTTTCGCTTCTTCCGTCTCATTTATGGACTCCAAGTGCTCTCGCACACTCTGAAAGCCAGCTCCTATGAGCTCGTTTTACTTCTCTCGATGCTGGTAATTCCGGTGATATTGTTCTCGTCCATCGTGTTCTTCATAGAGGATCACTTTGATAAGAAGAACACGAAGTTCCGCTCTATTCCTCATTCATTTTGGTGGTCCCTAATCACCATCACGACAGTCGGTTACGGTGATATGCACCCGGTAACGTGGCTCGGAAAGGTTATCGGCTCTATGTGTGCCATTTGTGGCGTACTGATCGTAGCACTTCCCGTTTCCATTATCGGAAGCAACTTTTCTTTGTTCTACACTCACGCTCAAGCAAGGCTGAAATTGCCGAAGAAAAAGAAAAATCTGTTTATACAACAGAGATCGACGATATACTCAGAGAGACAGTTGCCTAGAAGACGGGGTGCAGTACGGCGCAAGGTGTCCTCAAGGGCGAGCGACACCTGTAGTTTCATGATGTGCGCCGACAGCCGAGCTTCGTCTGTGCAAGGCTACAACTTACCAAACGGGACGAAAGCGCATAGCGGCGTCCATGATGACAACAGATCAAATGCTTCGACGGGGAGGGTGATGAAAAAGAAGATATCAAGTATCTCGATTAAAATTCCATCACTTGAATCGCCTTGTGAGGAAAATCCCAACGATCAGGTGGAGCCGTCATCCCGGAGGGGATACTCGTCGTTTGACTCCATGCATTACGTCACAAGACGAAGATCTCTTACGACCCCTCCTGATGGAGTAGTATCGAATACAAATACTGCAGAAGAGGGAGAGAGCGTCGAAAGCTTGGCATGTGCAAATAACAAAGATAAGCGGAATGTAAGGTTCAACGGAACGCAAAGCTCGCGGGAAAATATTCCGCTTCTCGTAGAACCAAGTGAACCGTCTATAGAGTTACGCGACATCGGCCCCGTAACGACCGAGGATTCACCTCTTGGCGTGCAATCAGAAAACATGAATAATAACCAGTGTCTTCTTACGGTTGAACCTGAGGAATATTTAGGTTCTCCAATGCAGGCTTGTGAGTCGGATAGCGAGCAGAATGCAAGCGATCTTAACGATGCAGAGGGATGTGTTTCTATGAAGCGAGTACCGAGACGGCGGAAAGATGGAGTTGCTAACTGGAGGAGACGACCATCATCCTTGGAAAGCATTAGCGAGAAGAGTATTAAAATGGATAGATTGTCGAATAACGTCAGTGACTCGGGTGTTGAAGCCCTGGACGAAAATATTTTACCCGAGCTTGAAGTAACGAGGCCCCTAGTGCATTTCAACCGTGGACGAAGGCAACCTATTTTCTAACACCGATCTCAAAGTGTTAAAAACAAATATCCTGTCCATGAAACGTGTACAGATAAAGCCAGCCCGAGCATGAGGACATGAGTGGTTACATAATAACACAAGATGTTAATTATTTAACTCCATCGTTATAATAAGACATCATGCATTGCCACGGAGTTATCATGCAGTTATCAAAAGCGTCCCAATCTGATAATGTTATCACATGCACACGAAGGCGAAATATGCGACGCGTGTTTATACAGGGACAAAAATCGAACTGCGTAACATACGGCAAAAACACAGGTTGATAATATTATAAGAGCAATGGGCACTTCACGAACATGCCGTTTATCGGGTTAAAACAATTCGTTGACGCCTAACAATTAATGCATGGCTGAAAGTTGATAACAACAATGTTCGTGGGGCAACAACATAGTTTTCTCCTGACCTGTTTCCATCAACCTGAAACAATTTGAGCGTTTCTAGCCACGTGGTAGGTTCCACTCGCTATAAACTTTACAGTGACCTTACAGTGACACAGATATCGCTTATATGCGATATGAATTTCTCGAAATTTGCGGTTTTCATAAAAACTATTTATATATTAAAATATATAAATATTATTTAAAAAACGAAGCACATAATATTCATGAACATCGAAAACAAAAGATTGAGTATTTATGAATATTTAGTGCTTGCGTTTTTTTTACACCTTGGACTATACTAACTAACAAAAAATCTAATTTAACCATTTTTTAAGGGGAATAGTATAAATCATATTACATATATAATATATTCGTAACCTTCACGCCTCGTGTCATGGATGATATATTTTTGTAATCATGACTGAGCTGTGATTATACTCGACACATGGGTTTAAATAAAGATTAATAGAATTTGATCTGTAAATAAAATAGTAATACAATGATATACGTAGTCTGAAGAATTACAATATGCATAGACATCATATTTTGTGAAACTGCACTTAAAAATCTCGCTACTGAAAATAAATATAATATATAATTGAAGTGGGTAAGATGATGTAATACAAAAAGCATATACTGCATAGTATAGTTACTGTGAAACAGCGTGCTCATGCTGGGTTACACAACAGAAAGCAACTGCAAAAACTAGCCAAACGTCTTCCCTGACACAGCTAACCCAAGCCAAATATAATTGCCTAATATAAATACATAAAGAGATGCCTGCGGAGGAGGCTATTCATTCAGTACCCTTAAAATATACGGAAAACATAAAAGTTAGAGCTAGATTATAATCGAGAGTTGGGAAAAACAACGACTTAAAGCTATATGTAAACTCATAACAACGTAATAGGTAGAGTTTGAATGCCTTAGGGGCTGTTTACATGAGCCCGGTTACCCGAGATTCAACGAAGCGTGAAATGATTTTGAGGTATTGTAATGAGCAGATAACATGATCCTGGCAGTCGTATAATAGCATGTGCTTGTTTGGTGTCATAAAGAATTATTTCAATGCTTCCAAGTCCTCTCACGCTTCGTTGAATCTTGGGTAACCGGGCTCATGTAAACAGCCCCTTAAGCACCTGTTGCCACCCACAAGTGTACAACAAATTTTTAACATGCATAAGCAATTTTTATCATGTTCATGCATGATGACAGTATAAAATGTGTTTTCACCCACAAATGATTTTATTTAATAAAAACACAACTTATGCATAATGACTTATCAAGCCCGTGACGCCTGCAAGGATTCTGTTTTTTGTAGTCATAGCGAAAATTTCAAGCTACAAGGTCTATTACAATTAACATGCAGAAATGGATAACAATATTTAAAATTATTAACTCGAGTCAAGCACCATGACCTTCGACATGTCCCTCGTCTTGCAGGGTGTACAAAAAAAAGTACCTCCTATTGAAATGAAGCTTCTGTTGGAATTTGAATGCGTGATTAATGAATGCAATGGTAAATGGCATAGACATAGTAATTAGGTTAAGACATTCAAATTGAGCGTCTCCCTTTAATTTTAAAACACCCGTGAGTTTGGCATAATAATATATTCTAACAGAATCTTTAGTGATTTTAAACACCCGTTAGTTTGGCTAATAATACATTCTAACAAAAGCTTGATTTTCATATCTATACACCCTGTACAGGGTGTCCCAAAAAAGTCCCCTCTATTGAAATCAAGCCTTTGTTAGAATCTGATTGCCTTAATATTATGATAAACCGAATTGAAAGCAAGACGCTTTATTTGAATGCCTCAACTTAACTATGCTATTTACACACTACTGCGTTGATCATGCATTCAAATTCCAACAAAGCGTCATTTCAATTGGGAGGACTCCTTTGGGACACCCTGTATAATTCTCGCAGTTGCTGAAACTGCACGGTGATAAATTCCACCCTTGTTCATTTGCAGATCGAGTATACTTATGATTGAAAAACGGCTTGACAGAAACATGGAAAGGCAAATCGAGTGTAAAGACTATAGTAACTAATACTTTTTCTTGAATTCCACAATAAGTTTAGTGCGCCAAATTCTAATTCCATTGCTCATGGTTTCAGTCGGAGAAGACAAACAACCCACACGTGTTGTAGCCCAAACTATAGCTATCAAAATATACATATATATGGCAAGGGAAGTTTAGCTCGCGTTTCTGATAAAAAAGCACGTCGAAGCACTAGCTGCAAGTTGATCAACTACCGGAGACATGCAAGCCACACAAACAACTTGAGGAAGGGTAAGAAATTTTTATATACAATACTGTTTAAGGCATTCGCCGGGGGGGGGACGATAAGATAACCGATTGACTGGGCCAGCGAAGGTTGAGAGTTTAGGCCAACTATATTTTTGCGTACGGTTTCTCTTGGCATCTCACCTGTTCATGTTGGCTGTTGCCAAAACGAAGTGAGGTCATCAAGTAAGGGCCCTTCCTTTGTACGGTAAAAACGGACAGACTGGCCCTGTTGTATCTCAGTACACATTGCTGGTATTTTAGAGTGTCTCAAGAAATCCGGATCAAATATATCATGAATTACATCTGCCCAGCAGGGGAAATGCAGTTTCACCGCTTAATTTTCAACCTAATACTCTATTTCAATTAAATATATGACCGGTTTGACCATTTTAGCCCCTTAAGGAAAGCGCTCTGAAGTATTTAAATTTATCTGTTGTTAGTGAATATAAATCCTTTAAAAAAATTTTTTTAAATGTTATATGTTGTAATTTTCCTTGGCGAACAATATGCTTAGCCTTAGGTAATTATTGTTTACCGGCATGTGCTTCAAGCAAGAACCGACTTCTTAGCCATACTCGTATCTAGGATCTTTACCTCCGCACCACGGGGAGAAAGAGACCCTGGTCCTTGGCCCAGCGTGAGACTAACAGTAACGGCTTTTCACCGTATAAAGGTTACTGTAAACTGACAAATGGGAGAGAGGGAGATATAGCGGTAGTTAGGCGCTGTTGCTGAATTACTGTGACGTTGACAGAAGCTAACGTAACCTCTCACATCTCTCTCTCGACCTCCTGTTATTATTGCTGTTAAGCTGTTCAGAAGATCGAGTTTTTTGTTTATTTCTCTTCTTATAAAAAAGGAAATTTATTCAGAAACACTGCTTCTCGTATTTTAAACTAAATGTGAATTGTATTTAATGCAAGCTGGTACAAGCGCTAGTACAATGCAGAATACTTGTGAATTTGAACTGCGTCAGTCTTTTTGTAAGCATCCTAGGCTCTCTCAAAAGTCTTCAGTATTTTCTTCAATATATCTTATTAATTCGTCATCCATCATATCTTGATCATTGGCGACCACATCATCATTATCGATAGTGGCAGGTTGTCTAGATGCACGTGGCCGATTTATAGGAACATTAGAATTCCCTCCATTAATGATATCATCATCTAATTCAGCCAAGAAATCGTCATCGTCGTTAAGCAAAGATTCGAGGTCTCTTTCTGGATTTGTATCGCCAGTTTGAGAGCTATTATCATCGATAACGATAATGGCAGGTTGTCTAGATGCACGTGGCTGATTTATAGGACCATTAGAATTCCCTCCATTAATGGTATCATCATCTAATTCAGCCAAGAAATCGTCATCGTCGTTAAGCAAAGATTCGAGGTCTCTAAGTCTCTGTGAATTTGTCTCATCAATTTGAGAGCTATGATCATTGTTTTGTAATACATGATTTGCGTTATCATCCGTCTGCTGACCAACATCATCATCGCCATTGGCCTTCCTGTTCAATATTGACAATAACACAATATCAGCAGTGAACAGACCATTTTATTTTCTTAGGGCGAATAAGTGTTTTCAATCAGTCATCACACGTCAAATAGATATACGTTTATGGTTAAAAGATGTCAGAAAAGACATTAGTCATATATTTTATCATAAGTTAGAAGTTCATACTGTTATACATGTGATGTCTGTCATTTTACAACTGATATACCTGACAAGATGTTGTAAAATATTCATTTGTGAATTTTCTTCCACCATATGTGGAACATTTCCTCCTAAAATCTCAACATTATCATCAGTCAAAAACAGCATTCCAGATCTACATAATGTATTTTCTTTAATCAATATCTGAAAGAATGGTAGGTCAAAAAGATTAAAAAATCATAATGGTTTGGTACATTTTGGTTTAATTAGAATTCAGTGAATAGTTTACTTTTTTACTATTACAGAGGTACTATTTTAAGAAGTTTCCACCTTTGTTCCTGGCTTTAAATTGGTACTTAATTTTCTCATTGGTTGATATTCCATTCCTCCAATTGTTTGCCTTCCATCTGTCAGTTCTAATTTCAACATTCTACATGGTTTTGGCTGCCACTAACAGGGAAAAAAATTCAATAATAATATATTAATTATATATTACATTGTGTTTTCATCCAATCAAAATGCTCCTGTATTAATTTTATGTAGATGTATAAACACTGCAAGCATAAGCAAAGTTGTAAATTTTTATTGTCTAGATGGGTGGAAAAGTGCTTTGAGCTCTTTTGTGGCAGCATGGGCAGATTTGCATGCCCATGAGAACTTTATATTGTCCAAAGCAATTAGGCCCTTATTGCATAATTAGATTGAGCTTCAAAATTTCAATACACAAATGTTTATAATTTAAATTTTTACTGCCTGAGTTCTCTCCTCATCAACACTTGCATCGTCATTAATTTCATTCTTAAGTTTCTTCAGTTGGCTATATGCTGATGCACCAATATCAACAATTGAATTCATCTATAAAAAAAAATATTAGTTGTTTTGTGTATGCAATAAAAACATATTGGACAGGAAATACTAGTGATAAATAATAAATAATAATAATAATAAATAATAATAATAATAATGGAAGTATGCCCAGGAAAGAACAATATAATCCTAATTATTTCTCATGTACGTTTGCCTGTGCATGGGGCACAATGATATAAAATATGCAATAATTACTTGCAATATAATAATTCCCTGTGTAAAGGTTTTAGAAATAGTTGAAATTTGGTTTGGCAAAACAGGGAAACCACTATCACTCAGATCTGAAATTAACCATTGTTCATAAACATCATTCTTTAAGTCCTAAAACAGAAAATTCAGGAATATGTAAAGTGTATTGAACGGTTAATGGCTTTAAAGGAGCTAACCTAAAATTATTAATTTCAATAATTTGTTTTTTATTACTGTAATGAATCATTTCATTACCTATGCCAACCTGTTTTAGGGGTACCTATACCATTGTACATGACTTGAAAGAATCATAGGCAGGAAAATGTACAATTACTAAGCCTGAGATAGGTATTCTAGATATTTTTCTAAAAAATCACTATTGGACTACTATGTGTATGTTTCATTTGATACCACTACCTATGAAAAATATACCAGAAATGTTCTAAAACAATTTTGTAACAAAATAATCAGATTCATCATTCGATCATAAATACAAGACCCAGGATGCGTCAAGGCTATATAAATTAGCTTAGAGTTAAACCACGCGTTAACCTACCACGTATTCATTCCCCCGACTTTTCAGCCAAGATAAACAAGGTTCTAGCCACTCGACATCGACGGTGATGTGTTTGGTATTCTGCAACCACTCAGATGTGTTTGAAATTTCCCGCTCAGTTACCGCCATATCATGTCCATGAAATATGAACGTCTCCTTGAAATGTCACATAAATGTCTGTCTCATAAATTTTATAACAAAACGGTAGCACTGGATTGATAATATCTCAACGTTAGATCAGAATTTAAACGCGTTCTAAACCTGTTTTCGTGTATCAAGACAAGAATTGACAAATTAAAATAGGAAATCAGCCCAAAATTTCGGGGGGGGGGCTCCTAGCACGTATGGCGTTCGCCTATAGACAAATTGGCATTTCCATTTGAAATACTTTTTTGAACGGCAACCGGGGCACTCACCATACCTCGATGGAAAAAGGTGAAAATCAAAATGGGTTTTGGTTTAGATCAGCTTGTATATAGCGTATGTCATTCCAATATGTTACCTACGATCACGGCCGTACTGAAGGCGGGTGTTAGGGGTGCACCTCCGATTAGCAATTTTCGGACTTAAAAGATAAAATGAATAATCAGTTCGGTTTTCTGTCAGGAAAATATCCGGAACTTTTTATTTTTATTTATTCTTGCAAATCCCATGCCCCTGGTAAATGTTGGCCCATTTTGCTTGGAGGGAGTAGGCAATTGGTAATACTAAAAAGCTGGTATGCCCGTGTGCCATGACATGAATTGCCCCACTAAAGTAATTCCAGAACGTCCAAAAATTTCCAAGAGGAATAGTGTCGCCACAGCTTCGTCTACTGGAGTGTATAATCTTAATTTATTATATTAACTTTGGCGGGCATTGCGGTGTATTTGCGGGCCAAAATGAGAAATTTGCCGGGCTGAAATATATTTTAGGCTGCTGTCCCATTGCATAATTTCTTATTCAATAATTGCCCTTTAAAGTAAATATAATATTCTTGGCCATAAATGTGTTTTTGGCACTCCTCAAAACACATTTTAACCCTCTCTACGCTCGCTCAAAACAAAAACACATTTTAATATGCCCGTGAACATCAACTCTATTGTTATATTTGGAAAAATGATATATACCGTATATTATCAAGTTTCCGTTTTAAAAAAGAATATGTTGTCATTGACTCATTGCACACAATTATAAGTATACTTTATTGATTGAATTGTCGCATGCGAATACACCATATCTATAGTATATACAACTCGCACAACAGTTACTTTTTTAACGATTAATTACTAATTCATATGTGACGTTTTCATTTCGTGTATTTAGGCATATTAAATCTATTCTAACTTGTATATACGACTTGCATGTTCGTCCTTAATGCTTTGATCTTACTGCAGATTCTAATCTAAATGGAAGAAACAGAGTGTTATGTTAGTAAATGTACGATTAGACATACGACAAGGAATCTTTTAAGCATTTTCCCGCGATTTCTTGCTCTCTACCAAAAAGTATAGGCCATAGGGAGACAGCCAAGATGGGTTTGTGGAAAATTGTTTAGATTTAGGGCTTTGAATAGCGTTTTCTGCGTTATAAGAACACTTTCGAAAGAAATTTCAGTTTTTGAAGCAAATTTCAATAGTGATAACTTGAGCACTTAATTAGCACTCCAGGTAATGTCACATACAGTACACCACTTGTTTTCATCATAATCTTGTCTCATCGCATAAGGCCGTTTTTTGCACATATTTGCAACCAAGCACAAAGCCATCGCATATGATGAAGAACTAACTCAGATAACACATTTTGATTTGATCACAACTGGAATGACGTAACACTCTAGAATATACTGATGATATTGTACCTTGTACATTATTTTCTACATTCCTGTTAGTTTTTTGTATTCTTGGAAATTGTATCGCGACCTCCTCGCAGCTGGTCTTTCGCTATGACATTTCTTCCACCACGTAGTTGATCGTTGGAAATCACCTCTCGTCCACCGCGCAACTGGTCATTAGGAATGGAATCTCTGCCACCACGCAGCTGATCATACTCTATCATATCTCGTCCACCACGCAATTGCCTCTTCGCAATAGTATCTCGTCCGCCTCGAAGTTGGTCATGAGTAATGGCATCTCTTCCGCCGCGTAGTTGATCGTCGTTAAAAATTTTGCTTCTTCCACCACGTAGCTGGTCATTCTCGACGATCTCTCTGCCACCACGGAGTTGTTCACTGTAAATAACATTTCTTCCTCCGCGAAGTTGATCGAATTCTCTACTATGCTTGTCGTTCGCAATCTTGCTTCTTCCTCCACGTAGTTGATCTGCCTCGATGATGTCTCTGCCACCACGGAGTTGTTCATTGTAAATTACATTTCTTCCTCCCCGTAGTTGATCCTCTGATTCCAACTCTCTACTATGCTTTTTGTTAGCAATCTTGCTTCGTCCACCGCGTAGTTGATCTGCTTCAATAATCTCTCTGCCACCACGGAGTTGTTCCTTGGAAATGACATTTCTTCCTCCACGTAGTTGATCCTCGTGGGAAATGATGGACCGACCGCCTCGCAGCTGATCATTGGGAATTTTATCTCTTCCACCTCGTAGCTGCCTGCTTTCCACGCACCACAGGAATGCTACCAGTGTCAGTAATACTGTAGTCTTCATATCGTCTTTTCAATCTGAGAAAACAAGACGTTGAAATTTAAATAATGAACTATGAGTACCAGTATTTGACGATTACTGGAACTAAATTCGAGTAAGACCGTATTCACGTATTGCGTTTTTTTGACTATTTGGGTTATGATGCATGGGGTGAATGAACAGACAGACTAATTATTTATTCATTTATTGAAGCAACTGACGTTTGATCAAGCACTTTTCCACTACAAGACGTACTTTATTGAGGATTTTTCTTTATTTGTTTTGCAGAAAATGGTTTTGTCTCTTTGTCTATGGCCTATTTGTCTAACGTCTGGAAATCTAATTTATGTTGGGTTCGAATAGCAAACAGTTCCTTGACGGCCTTCTTTATGAACTAATTCATGGCGTCTGTAGGTAAGGGCAACATTTTGGAATTGCATTTTCTTGTGGTTTGCCTAGGGACCATATGAGTATTTTTAAAATTCCTCGTGGAGCTTATTTATCATTCCTTTTGAAATTCCCCATCAAATATGTACAATTCTGAGGAGTCAATTTCACATGATTTTCTAAGAGATAAGACAACATGAAACATTCCAGTAAGTCACATTCTGGTCAGATTATTGGCACACGAAAGACTGGGGTCGGAATGTTGGTACGTAACTGTGATGAATGCAGCTTCATTAATATCGTTTACTAATAATAATACAATGAATGATTTCCAAATATAAATAAATTCATGTTGTATCTTTGCAACAATCGGGCACATTCTTTTGCAAGAGCCGGACAATCGTGCAAAATATCCGAACAGGTGCGTATACAAATGGCACCCAACAGTTGAATAGCAGACTACTGGGTGAATCAGTGCGCGTAGGATGCGCGTTGGAGTTTCGAGCGATTTAAAAAATTGAAAAAAATACGTGTTTGTTCTCTCGCTCCCACACCCGCACTTACACAACACTCCTTATTTAGTTAAGAAACAATGTCATGCCGGGAAGGTCTGTTTGTAACCAGCAGGAGAGTTAAAACATCGTCTTTGAATGTCTGAATTGCAAGGTTAACTTATTAACGTATAGTAAATATAAGCGCCGCTCTTCTTTCTGTCAAGAACATGTTTGCCAGTGTAACTTTCGTTTGGTATACGCTTATAACTTCTTACTTCTGGTGGGGGAATTTGACTTACATTTCGTGGAAGATTAAGGAGCAATGCTATTTAAATACTATTTTTTGTAAAAGATGTCAGGTCACCCCGTTGAATGCAATTAATCTTACGAAATAACTGTGGGCCAGTATTTTTAAACGACATCATAATCTTATTATTATAATTATATAATCACATCATAATTATAATCATCACCATTATCGTATTATCATATTTCGTACTCGATATTACCCGCCCAAATTTAAAAAGAGCCGTTAAACGAATTGAATCAAAACTTGTTTAGCTTATTAAGATTCTTATACACACGATAATTACATCAGAAAGAACTAGACGCAAGGTAAGTAAGGTGTATACTATAGTTGCATTTTAATGCCCCGCCCACAACATATGACGAAGGAAATTGAAGACAAAAGAATATTTTTACGGTTACGGATTTCGTCCTCACATATACTACATGTCAATACTGAGACTAAGACAGGTGCACAAAAAATATAAAGGATAAGATTTTCTTAAGAAAATGAATTATTTTTGTGCGATTACCATATTTTGCCCTTTTTCGATATCTATAGTGTTTCGAGAAAAGTAACCGATCGTTTCTAAATTGCCAACTTACTGAAAATCGTCGCATTGAAGATTGATTTTTATTGATTGCGCTCGTCACGAAAAACTGCATAAATTGTGTTTATATTCTCTTCGCGTTATATGTTTCGGTGTAATAATAGAATTGTCCTGTGGAAATCACGTGGCTATGATGGGTTGAAATCTATCAGTTTATTCTTTTTCATGAGATATACATTCGCAGAGCCTAACAGGCGAACCGAGTAAACATGCATACTGGAACCAACATAGATATGCTATCAGCCATTAGATTAATTATATCATCACCTAGGCGTAGTTATACACAACATGTACAGCTAATTCAATAATAAAGGCTCTCCTTAAATATCATCCTTGAACTCCGAAAGCGCGTGGGATGGGTTTTGCTTAGCGGCTGCAAGATTAACTTGGAAGATTGGTTTTGTAAGAATCTCTAAGATGAAAGAGATGACCATAACAACAGGAAATATATTTAACTTTGAAGATAATCTTTGAATAATTAGGCATAGTAAGTTGAAGCCCTGCCCATCATCCCTTTCGTGCTCTGGTTTGCAATTTTAATTGAATATTGAATTAGCTATATATTGCATGCTTGGATGGGCATATCCATATAGTTATTAGCCAATTTGATAGGGAGGCATCACGCCTCTGCTTTTCAAATACCTCAAATTCTGCGAGCAAAATTACTGCTACAGATTCACTCGTACTTGACAATTTTGTGTTGTTCTCTCAAGTTCTCCCGTCTCTCAGTTACACATGCATAGAGTTCCACATAGTCCTTTTAATCAAAACCGCTAATGTTAATAAGGAGCCCAATTAGGAACTAACGATGATTAACAATCTTATTGATCCTGAAGTATTTAAGCAATTTTCTAATTTCATTGAATACCATATAATTAGAAATGAAGATAGTGTTAGTATGTAAGATCTATGAAGAAGTCTTTAAGGAATTTCACCTCAATCCAGAACCCACGATTCGCAGCGTGTATTATATTGAGCGTACATATCCGTTGTAAAAATTGCGTAAAAATCGCTCGAAATTAGATATAACCGACCTGTTTTGATAGTTGTGTCAATCCAAAACTGTGTCCAGGCGCCCTACTTTTGAATCAAAGTAAATATATCAGTTACAGCTTCGTCTTCGCCAGAGCATCATAACCTACATGTTTTCCGTAGAGCTAACCGTTAATATGGAAATTAAAACAATGTTCCATTTGTATTTACACCTTCCGTTATGAGTGGGAGTTCAAACATGTCAAAGTGATCGATCGAATCAATCAGTATTAACCAATAAAAAAATAATGACAATGCCATTCGCTGAAATTAAAATTGAATAGTGTACCAAACGTAGAGATAATCACCAAAGTTTATCATGCAAACCTTGGGATATATAATCAGGATTTAACCTTCATTAAAAATGAGACTCGATTTGAATCTCAGTAAGATAACCCTATAAGTGAGTTTGAATTGTGCTAAATATATAATCACCTTCTGTGCTTTTTGTTTTTTCCACAGACCCCTGGCTGCGTTTCTTTTTAAAAAAGTAAACAGAGCCTTAATGGCCATGGATTCAATTTGTTTACACAGCGACCTATTGGCAAATATTATACCTGTGCATATAACCACAGATATAACATAGCCTGCCTCAATTATAACACTTTCAACCACCCAATCGCTCTAACACGTACACGAGGGGATTAAGTTGAGGGAAGAATAATTTTAGCATATAACGATGTCGTTAATCTATGCATTTTTTTCTGCCATCACATGCAATTAATAAATCAATATTGTTGCAGCTTGTATAGATATCGATTCTCTAACTGAATGCTTTGGAAAATGAAAATGAAGGTCTCACTGCTTATATGTAAGCATATAGAGCGCTTGATATTGACTCTACCTATCTAGTAAGAATGTATTATAGGTATTATTATAGGTAGATTTTTAATAGATAAGTAATATCCAATATGCTGTGTGGCATGTATAAATTCTCTAAATGCATGCATGTATTCATAATATAGGACTTAAAGGTTGAAGATGAAAGCTTTGACAGCAAAATAATAACCTATCGCATCTGATATTGATGGAGATAGACTAGAATGTTCAATCATTAACAACCGAAAATTTCACAATTGATATATAGTAGATATGACGTGTGCAAGGCAAGTAATATTTTGTGAAGTATTAGGCCTTATATTTATTAGCACTAATAGGCTAACTTATACTAACATGTGCATGCATGCATCAGTATATATGTTAAATTAGCTACATCGTCGTTCTATAGTCTTAGTATAGAAAATAACTTTAAAATTAATAAACTGGATATTTTACAACTCAGCATAGTCAAGAGCAGGCTTTTGTATTTGAACTGCTTCTGTATTTTTTTCCCGCGATGGACGGTCTGATTTAGGTGTTTTGATCTCGTCAAACTCAGCTGCCTAAAATAGAATCTTGCGTGTCTGTGTTTGTAATAAAGCCGATACATTATGCACCTGAGTTAATGCCGCGTTAAAAGCTCTTAGATTTTTAACGTTTGACCGATCATCAGCTCAATGAACCTTGTAGTCGTGCCCCGCCTTCCCACTTTCGCCCACCCACCACCAGCTGTGGGACATAAAAGCCATTAGGATCGTAATGGTGACCACGCGTCTTTCATGCTATTAGCTATTCAACTTGTCTTTGAGTAAAGATAATGGTGGACGAATACCAGAAAAACAAACATCATTCTATATATAATTATTTACTTTGTGCCATGTGTGGTGTATGAAATTTATTCGAGCTAGGAATCAGACAAAATGACCGACTTAAAGCACGTTTCTGAAGTAAATACGTTCTGGCCTGGCTTTCGTGAAATCATTTTGAAACCATTTTTGTTGCAATTTTTGATGCGATTTTCTTCTAATGATGAATGTGAATTAACGAGTGCACGAGTGGGTTCGTTACAGACCGTGAAATAAAGTCACTTTTCAAATTCCCTTTGTCGTCACACTCTATAGTCTGGTGACTCCTATATAATAGTGATAACTCTAAACTAAAAAGTGAGAGGATAAATCATAATTAAATTGTTTGTGTTTGGATTCTGATTTGGATTTATAGAATAAATTGGAAAGGTTTTTAAAAAATTTTGTCTTCTATTGATAAATTCTATTGATACAATTAGCATGCACTCATTTGAAAAATGCACAATCGATCTTTCTGGGCTACCCACAGGATCATTTACTAATCAGTTCCATTTGTTTTTCAAAATCGTCTTCAGTTCAACACTACCCTCAAATCAAGTATATA